CAAAGTTGTCTGCTGTCCTCCTGCTATCGATTCACTTGCCAGTCCCTCTAGCCCCAGAAAGAACCACCTCTGAGAAAGTGAGGGAAAGAGAAAAGGTGAGGACAAGGTATGTGCAAGTTACTGCTCCTTCATCTTACTCCTCTCATCACTTGGCCACTCAGCGGCGGCAAGTGAACAAGGAAGAACATCGAGGAGGAGGAGAGCACAGCTAAAAGGCTGCGGTGATTTGCATTGGCTTCCATACTGGAATGTGGGGCAGGGCAAGAAAGAGGCTGTAGCTAAGAGATACAGCATCTGCTGTGCATGTAGGAGGTTCAGTCCTCAGCATCTCCAGGTGGATGTGTGAAGTTCACAGTATGAAACAGTGGAGAGTCACTGCTGGTCAGTGCAGATATTGATGAGCTACATGGATCAATGGCCTGATTTGGTATATGGTAGCTTCCTATGTTTTAATGATACAGTACTGACCTCTGGCATAAGCCCTGAATGGAGCATTTTACCCTTGCAAACACAGGTGAAGGCATGCTGAATGCTCCCTTGACAAAACTGTTCTCTGAAGAGTCATTTTCCTCCCTGTATAAGTATCAGATGGGGAGCACAGTCTCATGCACAATTTATGAATGGGTGATCTCTAGGCTTGTAATTCTTTGATCAAGCAACAGGTAAGCTGAAGGAATCTTTTCCAGTAATCACTATTTTACCACTGCAATGAAAATCAAGATAGTTGAGTATAGTCAAACTAAATCTCCAAGAGCTTGTTCAGTATGATTCCCGCCCCCCCCAACTCAGACAAGAGAAAAAGGATTATTTCCAAATATGAAATATTGTTGCTTCTGAAAAATATATGGTATCATTAAATGATTAAATGACTTGTAAGGACACAGTCCATAGCCATTTCCACTGGAAAGTGGAATGCAGAACAAGTGGGTTATTTGTTGTGTCCTACACCCTCAAGGGACGCGGGTGGCGCTGTGGGTTAAAGCCTCAGCACCTAGGACTTGCTGATTGAAAGGTCGGCGGTTCGAATCCCCGCGGCGGGGTGCACTCCCGTCGTTCAGTCCCAGCGCCTGCCAACCTAGCAGTTCGAAAGCACCCTCGGGTGCAAGTAGATAAATAGGAACCGCTTACCAGCAGGAAGGTAAACGGCATTCCGTGTGCTGCGCTGGCTCGCCAGATGCAGCTTGTCACGCTGGCCACGTGACCCGGAAGTGTCTTCGGACAGCGCTGGCTCCCGGCCTTTAGAGTGAGATGAGTGCACAACCCTAGAGTCTGGCAAGACTGGCCCGTACGGGCAGGGGTACCTTTACCTTTTTACACCCTCATAGACTATAAATCTTTCTTTCTTTTTTGAGTTGTTTTGCAAATACATACAAATCAAAACTTACAAACGTGAAAAAGGGAAAAGAAATTTTAAAAGGTTACAAAAAAGAAAAAAGAAAAAGAAAACAAAGAAGAAAAGCAGAAATATAAATAAAGTACATACCGGTAATCTAATTCAGTTAAATCTTAATGAAGATAAAAGAAAATCATAAATAGAACAGCATTAATTCATTCATTATTAAGCTAGGTCTTTGCAAACCAAGCACATATATTTTAAACTATTGCCTCTTACATATCGTCTATTTTCCTGCGAAGCTGACACTTCTTAGGTATTCATATTCTTTCGTTCTTAGGACTTCTGTTAGTCTCACAAGTTCATTATTCCTAATTAAAACCCATTTATCTGTATTTCAGTACATCCCTCATCTTGGTATCAGGGAGCTTTTTACCTTTGCAGAGTTATTCTAGACACAACCAGGTCTTCACTGCTGAACCTTGGCTCATCAGATATTTATTAAGGTACTCCCATTCTTTCTTAACGGTCTTATTTGACTTGTCTCTTATTATATCTGTCAGCTTCGTGAGCTGCAAGTACTCGCTCAGAAGAAGAAGAGTTTGGATTTGATATCCCGCTTTATCACTACCCGAAGGAGTCTCAAAGCGGCTAACATTCTCCTTTCCCTTCCTCCCCCACAGCAAACACTCTGTGGGGTGAGTGGGGCTGAGAGACTTCAAAGAAGTGTGACTAGCCCAAGGTCACCCAGCAGCTGCATGTGAAGGAGTGGGGAAGCAAACCCAGTTCACCACTGCTCTTAACCACTATACCAGACTGGCTCAATTTACACAACCATTCCTCTTGGGTGGGTATGTGTTCCTCCTTCCAATATTTAGCCACCAATACTCTTGCTGCTGAGGGACGCGGGTGGCGCTGTGGGTAAAACCTCAGCACCTAGGACTTGCCGATCGCATGGTCGGCGGTTCGAATCCCCGCGGCGCGGTGTGCTCCCGTTGTTCGGTCCCAGCGCCTGCCAGCCTAGCAGTTTGAAAGCACAATTAAGTGCAAGTAGATAAATAGGTACCACTTTCTAGCGGGAAGGTAAACGGCGTTCCGTGTGCTGCTCTGGTGCCGGTTCACCGGAGCAGCTTCATCATGCTGGCCACGTGACCCGGAAGTGTCTGCGGACAACGTTGGCTCCCGGCCTATAGAGTGAGATGAGCGCACAACCCTAGAGTCTGGCAAGACTGGCCTGAACGGGCAGGGGTACCTTTACCTTTACCTTACTCTTGCTGCTGGGGACGTGGGTGGTGCTGTGGGTAAAACCTCAGTGTCTAGGACTTGCTGATCGCATGGTTGGCGGTTCGAATCCCCGCGGCTGGGTGAGCTCCCATCGTTCAGTCCCAGCTCCTGCCCACCTAGCAGTTCGAAAGCACGCTTAAGTGCAAGTAGATAAATAGGTACTGCTTTATAGCGGGAAGGTAAATGGCATTTCCGTGTGCTGCGCTGGTGCTGGCTCGCCAGCTGCAGCTTCGTCACGCTGGCCACGTGACCCGGAAGTGTCTTCGGACGGCGCCGGCTCACGGCCTCTTGAGCAAAATGAGCACGCAACCCTAGAGTCGGACACGACTGGCCCGTATGGGCAGGGGTACCTTTACCTTTTTTTTTACTCTTGCTGCTGACGTAGCATATTTTTTCTTTGGGGAAATTGTTTGTCAAAATTCCCAAGATAAATGCTTCGGATTTTTTACAAAATGTAGTTCTTAATAATTTCTTCAACTCCTCGTAGTTCATGTCCCAGGATTTTTTAATCTCTGGGCAAGCCCACCACATGTGATAGAAGGTTCCTACTTGATTTTTGCCCAACACTTATGATTATGGGTTTTATTTATTTTTGCCAGCTTTACAGGGGTCAAGTACCACCTGCATTTCATTTTCAAAAGATTCTCTCTTATTAAATAACAAGTTGTGAATTATATATTTTTTGTCCATAGTTCTTTCCACTTATCAAGTTCAATCACTTGGCCTAAGTCCTGATCCCATTTTCTCATCCCATTTTTAATTTCTTCATCTTTCAATTGCCATCTTATCAGTAATCTATATATTTTAGATAGTCTTTTGATTACTGTATAAGATATCTTTCTACAGATTTGATAATTCATTATCAAAGCCCTTCAATCTTTTATCTTTTTCAAAGACGGCATTCAGTTGATGAAATTCTAATCAAGTTAATCCCATCTTTTTAATTTCTTCAAAGCTCTTCAATTTTGGGCAATTTCCACCAGAAAGTAGAATGCAGATCAAGTGGGTTATTTGTTGTGTCCTACACCCTCAAAGACTGTAAATCTTATGATGAGAATAGGGGTGGAAGTTCGGAACAGTAAGATTCTCATTTGTCCAGCCACTAGCTTTCAGAAACATCCATCTTTTCCCTTACTTCATGCCCCCACCCCGAAATTCTTTTATCTTTTCAATCTGCTTCCCCTTTAATAAAAAGCCAATATCTTTTGGAGTATTTGTAGTCAAAATGTATTCGTACACATTCTAAAATCCCTCTTTCATAAGGCACTGAAACTGAATTTGTTGCTATTTGTAAAGCACAAGCCACCAATGGAGTGGACAATGACTGATTTTAAGAACACCATCCCACCATAAACTAAGTGTAATATCACCCCCTAGTGTTCTCCTGCTACTTTTTTTTACAGAAGTCCCCAACCACAGCAGCATCCTCAAAGCTCTACATGCAGCTGCTGCCCACAGGCTGGAGAATGACCTCCATTAAGAACTAAGGCATTATTATTCTTTGTTTTACTTTTGGAAGATCTAGGAGATGGTTCTTTTTAATCTTCTAGATCCAGCACCCCCAAACTCGGTCCTCCATGTTTTGGGACTACAATTCCCATCATCCCTGACCACTGGTCCTGTTAGCTAGGGATGATGGGAGTTGTAGTCCCAAATCATCTGGAGGGCTGAGTTTGGGGATGCCTGTTCTAGATGATGGCATTTCCTTTCAGAGGCCTGATTTTTACTGGCTGATACTCATGTTTTAGAGTTATTTTGTTTACTGGCATCTTGCTTACTGCTAATTTTAATCATAGCAACTTTATTTCCCCATCCCTCTTTATTACTGTAAGCCACTTTGAGCACATTGGGCAAAAAACATAAAATATATTTTTGTAAGATATAAAATTTTAAAATGCATATGCCAAAGCATATGCCACAACAGAGAGGGGTTTTTTTTTGGGGGGGGGGACAACTACTAATTATTAAAATCAGTAGTAAGCAACATAAAAGCAAAGGGTGGTATCCAGTTTAGGCTGCGATCCTAACCCTAGTTTACTTGGGTGATCAGTAGACCTTACTGCTGTACAGTCATAGTTTTTTTTTCCTTCCAAGTCAAGTAACTATTGAAATCAATGGACTTACATTATTACTAATTTTAAAGTCTCCTGATTTCCATGGGCCTACTCTTTGAGTATGGCCACCCAAGCAAAATTAACTAGGATATACTCACATATTACAAATATATTATATATAACAGTGGTTCCCAACCAACCCACCTGCATACTTGCAAACTGTTGATGGTTTTGGAAGACAACTTCATGATTTTTCTGCCTGTTGCACCAACTATCTTGGACTCTTGGCTCTCCCTGCCTGACTTGGAATTGAACTTTCACCACAGTAGGCAGTTTTAAATGCTTTATTTAAGTCAGTACAGCGTCCCAACATGGGTCTACAGGTTAGAAAGCCACAAGGCATAGCAGAGATATGATACAAGGCTATGCATAAACTAAGATGTTCCAGCAATTGCTATGTCCCCTGCGCTCTTATTTTGAAGAGCGGGGCAAGCACAGCTATTTGCTCAGATGACATCCTGGGACATGCGACTGGGCAAGGAGGTGGGTACTCCCCCAGATGCTAGAACTGGAAGGCCTGTTTATACCAGTGCTATCACCTCCACATCCTCAGAGACAAAGTTGCTAGTTCACCATCAGATTTATCCCTAGGTGCCTCCCTTCGCTGACACGGAAAAGTGCCCCCAACCCCAGGAACTTAGGCAGCGGGCCACTTGCTCCCCACTCCTGCTATCCAGCAACAGGCTTCTCACAGCTTCCGTTTAAATATACACAATGGTAATCATTTTAAGTAGGTTCTCAGCTGTAGCACCAACGTTAACTTACCTGAAAGCAAAATAAATCTTTCTTCAGCGTTTGCAGCTTTGGACGCAAGCTTATTTTCCCCCACATGAGGAAAATTTTAAATTATTGTGCAAATATTCCTTTTGTATACCCTGGCAGAAATGAAATCTTTCTCCAGTGGCAAGTGCCTTTCCTGTTATGGCATTCCAAGATTTCTGTGTATGCTACAAAACAGGAAAGCCAAAACAGCGAATCATCCTGAACATGTGAAAAATGCACTTCGCTTTAGGTGCATTTTGGAACATTTCAGAGCAACATAGGAAAGGGTAGTTTTTAGAGAGCAGTAGGTACCTTGTTGCTAGAACCCTTGTTCCTTTGAAAAAAATGTTATTGTGCTGCTTAAGATTTTGTTGGTCTCATGAGAGAACGCAATGAATAGCAAATTCTCTTCAGTGTTGCCAAACTTAAAACTTGTAAATAAAACAGTTACTATTATAAGATACCAAGAAGTGTAAAAAGTGTAGTATTAGTGGTGGGCTGCATTTCAGAAAGGCAGTGTGTTTAGCCAACATTGGCCCCTCTAATTGTAAGTCAATTACAGGATCACCTTTATAAAATAAAATGACCGGATTTTGTGGAACGTGGCTGTTTTGGCTCTTAAGGTATTGATACCATTATAATATTGGTGTCAGGATACAGCTGCCTTGTGACTAAGATGGTGCTTAATAAATAAGCACTATCCAATCAGTGCACGTCACTAGACATCTGTTTCCTGTTTTCTTTCTTTCCCCATTATCATTTCATCAGAGTTTCCCTTTCACCTGAGGTTTATTTAGAATACAGCACTAGCCAAAGTATGCTGTTTTGTTTTTAAGGACACACACACACCCCAGGTTGTTCATCCTACTAAAATAAATTGAGTGGAAATGAAAACCTATTGAGCTGGAATATACAAATAATATAACACTTTTGTCTTCCACTCTTCATTAAGATGACTAACTTCCTCTCCTGCTGCCAGTTTAGTAGCTTTCCTGTTGAATGTGTCCATTTCCAGAATACAATTGTGAATTGATTCATAAAAAAGCCAAGAAGACTGTAGCACAAATAAGGGAAAGCAATAAATGTTTCCCCTCGCCCCACATTCTCCACATTAAACCAGCAGCACAGCAACAAGAGGTATCACTTCTTAACCCAATAATCATCAGGATACAGAACAGGATGCTCTAAAATGAAACATGTGTTTACATTATGCGCTGGGTTTAAATGGAGGCCTTTATTTTTAGCAAAAGGTGCTACCCTAAAGAAAGATGCCTACTTTGGCACAGAAGTTACAAAAACTACATGCCTGGCACTTCGCAAGCAGATCAAAGCTTGCAATTCAAAGGGCTGCCACCATTACTCAACTAAAAAGGTTTAATCAATGAAAAGGAAGGGGTGTGTGGAACTACTGACTGCCACTTTTGCATGTTTTTACCTGTAGTTCTGTTCCATTTGGGACATTAATCTGCAAGTTATTTTTAAAGCAAATTTCTATCTAATACTTATTTAAGTATTCTTTCCAAAATATTTATATATACATTTGATTCATTTAAACGGCAGAGAACTATGTTGCAACATTCTAAAAAAAAGGAAATGTGTTGGATTGTTTTAAGTTTCAACCTGCACATTGGTCTGACACAAACAGATCAAATAATTTCGTACTGGGATTAACAAAGGTGAAATTTCTTGTGTGTCCCCCCAAAAAGCTGCTCTGATTATTCGAGCAGATTTTTAAAAAAAAGTTCTTACAAAACCTGCAGATGTAACATACCCTCTTCAAGGGCATCCCCATCTCTCATACATCTGGTAGGCACACAACACAGGTTTTCTGCTATGCCTTCCCCCTGACCATGGAACTAACTCCCTGCTGAGGCATGGGAGTTTGACATGACTATTACTGTAAAATCCGGAGTTGAGTTGCTTCAGTATAGTTGGTGTATCCACATCTACAGCTACCACAATTATACTGCATAGTAATATGAAACCTGCCTTTGGACTGAGTTGTGGCTTCTTCATATATTGAAAAATATATGTATAATCTGCTTGTGTGCCATCTGGTTAGCTCCCTGCTCAAGCAGAGTTTTGTGCTACATCAAAAGAAGCATCCTAGTAGTTTTGACAAGTGGATCAGAGCAAAAGAGCCAGCAGAGGAAGCAGGGACAGCACTGCAGCATGCTTTAATCTTAAGAAAGGTGACTGTGGGGCTAGGGAAAAGGGAGCAGACAACACCAGTCAGAGGAATTCAGAGGCTCATATGTGCCAGCTGATTTGTTTTTCTATGATGCCTACATATAGTTGCAAAGATTACTATTTTAAAACAAAATATTTGATTATATGATTCCAGAAACAATTGCAGAAGCTAAAGGATGGTGTTGTATGTATACGTACACTGTAAAGCAGATTGTAAGCAGGTGAAAAGCACATTTATTAGATACTCAGAAGGAAATCCTGATACCAATCAACTTATCTCACATAAAGGAGGAATTTTTAAAAAACAGATTATGGAACTATTATACAGTCAACATTTTATTATTTTATTTGTACTGTGACTAGCTGTGTATTAATATAAAATAGTGACAATACAGTTTTGTGTATTGAGTTCTTTTAACAGTTGCCTCCAACCTGAGCATTCATGAGCTGTAGTATTTTAGCAAGCGCTCATCTGTTGGTTTCAGAATTTTCTTCTCTGACATGTTTACCACCCAACCTGGAGCAAGGCCAAAGAAAATCTGTCTGGGGTCCTTGCGTGTGCTCAGCATTTGGAAGAGTTCATCTTTTGTAATATCTGGTAAGACATAACCATATTTCTTGGAAAGCTCTAGTCTTGCTTCTGAAATCTTCGATGGATCAGCCAGGTAGCCACGATTATTAGGATCTGTATAGTAACGGACAAGATTTTCAGGAGGAAGCATTCGCTTTGGAATAGGCTTGCCTTGTAGGAAAAAGGGCACTGGCTTGCAAAGAATACCTATGTGCAAAATAATGGAACAAAAAAATACAGTATTAGCTACTCTGGCATTTGTGATTTCATTGCCAAAAGGTGTAGTATGAATATTGTGTTCTTTAGCTTATATCCTGCTGCTGAGTGAGGAATAGGGCCTTCTCTGTGGTGGCTCCCCATCTATGCAACACCCTTCCCTTGGAGGTGAGACTGACACAGTCATAGGATTCTAAGTGGATTTTAAGCACTGGCTGAAGACCTACCTCTTCCTTCTATAGGCCTTTGGAGACCAGCTACAAATTGATAGATGTTGTCCTCTGATTATATGGTTATAAATTGGATTGAAATTATTGATTGAATGTTAATGTTGTAATGCTTTGGTGTTTGACTGTAAACCTCCTTAGGTCATAACTGATGGAGGGTGGTTTAGAAATAAATATTTTAATTTTTAATGTGCCCCAAACCATATACACCTGCTATACCTCTGGTGGGAAAATCTCTTAGGAATGACATTCAAAATTCAGAATTAATCTGGAAAAGGTGCAGCTTAATTTATTTGGGCCCATTAGGTTTACACAACAGCAGATTTCTGTATTGAATTCATCTATAGCAATTAGAGGATATGAAGTCAAGTACAGAGAATATGAAGTCTGTTCCCTTTATTTTCCATAGGGAAACTGGCCAAACTGCCTGGATGACGGTGAACACACTGAAGCAGAATCCAGACAAGACTGAGTTACTAGTGGCAAATGGGCCACTTGATCTGGATATGGGGAAATATGCCTGTGCTGGACAAGGAATCACACTCCTCTCCATAGCTTGCAAGTACTTCTATTGCCAAAGCAACAGTTTTAAACAGGGGTGGATTGTTCTCCATCACTGGCTGACAAATCTACTGTACCCATTTGTGATAAAATGGGTTTAGCCCCTGTCTTATGTGCCCTATTAATGTCTCAAGTAGTTTACCACATTGTGCTGTACATGAAACAGCCTTTGAAAACATTTTTTATTTTAATGAAATGCAGACGGCTGGACCAGACCACAGAGTTCATAAAGCACTGATCCGGGATGACCTTAATTGGCTATCCATTTGTTTCTGGTCTAAATTTGGATACTTTTTTTATCTTTAAAGCCATAAACAGTCTGGGTCCAGCATACTGTAATGCCTTCTCCATATATTAACATCAAAAGCAATGTTAACTTTAGGTAATGTCCTCAGTAGTGACATTTGACAGGGCTGAGGAACATCCTGTTCCCCAACCCTGCTAATAGCTTAAGTAGCTGCCTACATAGAACTTGTCTTCACATAAAGCAATCACAGAAATCTACAGGACCAAAAGGGCAAAAAGTGCAGTAGGCAAGACCTTTTTGCAGTAGTTACTTTTCCTATAGCAAAAGGAAAGCACAGGAAGGGAAGCACCTGGAATTCTATTATGGAAGCACAATAGACTAAATCCAGGAGTTCATTTGAATGAGGAATTGTCTCTGATTTGCAGGCAATCAAAACACATGAAGTGAAAGTGTGATGGGGGGGGGGGGGAGCAACAGAGACCCTCATGCAATTTTAACATCAGTTTATTTAAAGACATGCTGTTGAGGAAAGCATGCAGTGCCAGTGCCAGGTTTAGGAAGGGTCCATGGGCAAGATGTGCTCAGTCAGCCCACCTTGTAAGCTAACATATCTGTGTTGCTTACAAGCCACCTATAACAACCATTTCCAGACAGATAACTGCCGGCCATTCATTTGCCCTTTTCTTTTGGGCTCAGCCTGCATGACTGTTCAGAGGGCAGGAAAAGTACTGCTCCCTCCTCGTCTTGTTCCAGCTGCTGCTCACTCAAGCAGCAAGAGAAAGGCGATAGAGCAGCAGGGGCAGGGGGATCCATGTCTTCTGAATGAGCTCCCTAGCAAGACGCAGGCCTAAGAATGCCAACCCTTTACACCAGCCCAGCTAAAATGGCAGGTGAAATTCTGCTCATAGCTCATTTCTGCGTTTTGTTGCTGCTGAAAAATGCAAGGGTTGCCCTCAGGAACCATCTAAAAGACTAGCTGTATATGCTGATAAAGAGTTGCGATGAAAAGAAACACTGAAACAGAAAATACTGAACACTTGGACAGACAGAGGCAGTGAGAATTCTTACCCACACTCCTTGGATCATAGAAGGCTGTAGTAATAACGCCACCATTTTTTTCAATAGCAGCAATGGCGAGTTCAGATGCTATCTGCACTTCAATATTAATTTTTGCTGCAAATGTATCGGCACCCTACAAGTTCACATGAAGAGTGGTTAGGTCACATAAAGATAAGTTCAAGTGCATGGAATATAATTTTCATCACCCTTCATCAAAAGAAAGAGAGAGAGAGAGCAAAGGATACCTTATATTGGTATCCAAACCAGTGTAACTCAAAGAGAAAGAAATTTTCCCATCCCTTCTTCCACTGTGTATCCCTTCAAAAATTCTCTCCTGAGAGTTGGGGATTTATCTTGAGAAACATGGGGTAGGGTCTAAGCTGCTGTTTTGTGGAGCCCAGTTGAAAATATGAAATAGCAATCCTGTTGCACTCAAGATTGATGCTCAGTAGGGTTCACTACTTCCTTTCATAATTAGAATCACAGAAATTATTTAGCATTTGCCATTACAACAGAATGTAGAATTTCATCAAAAACATCGCTATATAAAAAAGACTGAAAATCTATTTGCTTTGAACTATTCACACCAGCAAGTCAAGCTGACAGGATGCAACATTTGCTTTCACAGAAGTAGCTGTAAGACTAGAAAAAATCATTTGGCTGCTTTCTTCTGCTATTTAAAAGTAGACTTCTTTGACATACAACAAACAGATTTTGAAATTCTCTGGAGTTTCAAAACCAGATTGCTGTTGTAAATCCAAAATGCCATATGGCCCAGGAATGAGTTGCATCTTTGGACTCTGAATTTATTTTTATAATGTTCACCCACTTTGCTGCATTCATCTCTGGAATCTATGTTACATTTAAAAAATTTGTGTGCAAGACCTGACAACACCAAGAATTTTGATCAAACATCTACTCACCAAACTAGGATTTAACTTTCATCTATTTTTCCATGCTTTCCATTGTTAAAATAATCTGATTTAAGAATGTGTCTTACCCAGCAAAACAAAACCAAGCAATCTGATAATATATACTGCTCTCTAGTGGAGTGATACCTACTTGTCTTCATCTATTAAAACAAAAACAAAAAAACAGAACATGCCCAAAACTAAATGGCTTAAAATATCATGCATTACAGACCTACCTCCTCCACAAGTTGGATACCATAATCTCTTTTGAGTGGCTGTATTGTTACACCTCTGGAATTTACCAGCTGCGTGAGGTCTATTGGTTGTGTGGGGTCAACTCTACCTAAGTCAATCAGGTACTGTAGCCTTTTGAGAGTGAGAGGCGGATACTGGCGCCTGAGGCTGTACAAACAAAGGAAAACTGTTTTAGAGTTTCAGAACTAATGAGAATATACTAAGCACAAAATGCACTGCAAAGCTCCTCCTGTGAAAGTCTCTCTGAAGTGAGTGAAATCTGCTCTACTACTGGATTAAGTGCAAAGGGTGCAACCCAAGATATCCATCACAGGGATGTTGCTGGACTATAGTACCTTCAATCCCACACTACTGAAAATCCTACAACTTCTGGGAAGTACCAGGTTCCCTATCCCAATCATACCTGGAAAGCAATCCCACCAAATTTTATCACTGTTGTGGTTTTTTTAAAAATAAAAACATATTGGTTGCAATGAGGCATGAGGGAAGGGCTGCTTGAAATGGGGTGGAGAGTTTCTCGCTCCATACATGCTACCTCTTGCATGAACAAGATAGGTTTTCCTGACCATGGATGGTCTCCGCACATGCCAAATACTCACATACAGTGGTGCCCCGCAAGACGAATGCCTCGCAAGACGGAAAACCCGCTAGACGAAAGGGTTTTCCGTTTTTGAGTTGCTTCGCAGGACGAATTTCCCTATGGGCTTGCTTCGCAAGATGAAAATGTCTTGCAAGTCTTGAGATTTTTTTTTCGCTTTTCGCCCCCTTTATCTAATCTGCTAAGCCTTTAATAGCCTTTTAGCAGCTAATCCGCTAAGCCTTTAAGCCTTTAATAGCCGCTAAACCGCTAATCCGTTAAGCCGCTAATAGGGTTGCTTCGCAAGACGAAAAAACCGCTAGACGAAGACTCTCGCGGAACGGATTAATTTCGTCTTGCGAGGCACCACTGTACAGTGGTACCTCGGGTTAAGTACTTAATTCGTTCTGGAGGTCCGTTCTTAACCTGAAACTGTTCTTATCCTGAAGCACCACTTTAGCTAATGGGGCTTCCCGCTGCCACCGTGCCACCGGAGCATGATTTCTGTTCTCATCCTGAAGCAAAGTTCTTAACCCGAGATACTATTTCTGGGTTAGCAGAGTCTGTAATCTGAAGCATATGTAACCCGAGGTACCACTGTACTGTCATTGAACTTTTGCTTCTTGTTCCTTCCTTATAATAGGATTCCAATCTACTTTTATCATGTTGCTGATAGCATTATTAACAGTGTTCCTTGACTCTAGCTGCAAAAGATTAAGCTGTGCACCAACTGATCTCACTTCTGTACACAACCAAGTACAGTGCCAGATTAAAGCTGAGTAGAGTTCTGCTGTTGAATGCAATGCACAACCTCATCATCTGTTATGACTGGCGCATCAAGACACCCCCTGCTTCTATCTAGGCACCTCAGGTCTGATTTGGGATTTGAGAATGGTGGAACAAATAGTAATTTGAATCAAAAGAGCATTTTGCTAATCCTCTTTCCTCTGTGAGAGGCTGGAAAAATAAATCATTAGTTTCTTTTTCATTTCTCAACAATTTAGGCGCAGACGTGAAAAATCTCATATTTGTTCTGCCTTACCTTCTTAAATATATGCATGTGTTTTAAACAGCAGCGCTTTTAAGTTTTTCTACATGTCTGCATGTAGTGATACTGTACCATGGTTTACTTTAAAAAGACACCCCCCCAAAAATGTAAAATACACTGGGCTACATCCAAGTATGTTATACTCAGAGTAGACTCATGAAATTATGGACCTAAAATAGTGGTGTGTATTGATTTTGAAAGCTGATCCAGCTACTAACAATGGCCCTGATCTGTGTCCTTCAACTACACCAGTCTGGAGATGGTGCAGCAAAAATAATTTAATTTACCTCCTGCCCCCACCTTCTGTCTTCACTGTCACAACTGGAGGGCTCTGGATGCAGCAGTCCACCCCACTGTTCCCAGCTAGGAGTTTGGATTGTGCTTTCAATAAATTTTGACTACAGACATTTTAAAAAGAAAATGATCATGGAAGCAAACTTACTGGTGACCTTTATTGTAGCCATATTTTGGAATAACTAGATAAAATGGAGTTTGGCCTCCTTCAAAGCCTAATCGAGGACGAGTTCCTCTTTTCCATTGGCTTCTGTGAGTTGTTTTCCTCCATTGAGTCTTTTCACGCCGACTCTTTTCCTAAAGGAAATAGCCAAACATCAGTTTGTTACATAACACATATTCAGTTTATTTGTGAAAGAAGAGTTCTGTGGCACAGGTACCCCCCTTAAAAAAAATATCATAGAAGATTGTACAATCTTGTGCACACATACTTGGAAAAAAATCCCCAATGAATACAGTGATACTTAATACTGAGTAAGCATGTATAGGAAATAAGGTCTGACTTTTCGGAACATACCACAAAATAAAACCCCATTAATTTGCATAATCCACAGCAAGGTGAGTGGTGTAGAAAAGTGAGTAGGAAAGAGGTAGAGGTATGGAAGCTGTCAGATAATAGTCTTAAAATAAATTCCACAACTTGTAATTCCTCCCCAGATTTCATACATTCTAACTACTTTAACTACTCTCTCATAAGAGCCACACCATACATTTAAAGCACGCCTACCCCGAATCCTGGGAAGTGTAGCTTACCCCTCAGAGCTATAATTCCTATCAACCTTAACAAATTACAGCTCCTAGGATATGTGTGTGCTTTAAAAGTATAGTGTCTATGTAGCCTAGTGTTTCAGTATTTTTAGAATATGGGAATTGGACAGAATAGGGTAACAATGCTAAAAAACTATGACTGAAATATATGGGCATTAGACACTGCTCACAGCTTTTTAAATATTAGTGTTTGTGAGTGTGTGTGTGTGTATATATATATATATATATACATACACCTGTAAGATTTGTATATTGCATATGCCTCAGATGAAGCAGGCTCATTCCTAGTAAATATCATGCACTATAAACTGAGCAGACTAAGATGCCATAGGGTTCTAGGGAAAATATTGTGTACTCAGATGCAATATGAGTGGGTCCAGTAAAAACATGCACACAGGCATCCTTTTGTCACCACCATGTGCAGAAAATGAAGTCACACAAGGGGGCCACTTACGGGAAATAAGCTAAACGTGGCCCTCGTTTCTTCTGGGTCCCTTTAGAGACACCAGTGACCCTATCATAAAAAGGGCAGGCGGCACTGAATAAGGGAGAGGAGGCAGGGAAAATCGCTTAGCAGCGCAGAGGCGGCCTAACGCTGCAGCGTCAAGCGAGGCAGCCGCGGGGCCAAGGCCTCCCTCCTCACCCGCCAGCTTCCAACTCACCCGACTCCGGGCGCCATCGTTCGGCCGTAGATTGGCGAGGCTGACCCTGGGCAAGGTCCGCAGCAGCTCCAAGGCCTTGGCGCGGCCCCCTCCGCCTCCTCCAGCCTGCGCTGCCATCGCTCCCCTGGCGCGAGCGAAGGGCAAGGAAAGCAGGAGAGAGGAAGCGGCGGCGTGGCGGGAGAGCCCGAGAGAGAGAACCAATCAGCAGGCTCTGCGCCGGCGCAGAAACACCATCAACCCCATGCTGTAGCTGTAGAGAAAAGAAATAATAGAGAGGCACCTCTCCCGGTTCCTCGTTTTGTCTTGGTATCTCGCCCACCCTGTGGAACGCCCTCCCATGAGATGTCAAAGAAATAAACAACTATCTGACGTTTAGAAGACCTCTGAAGGCAGCCCTGTTTAGGGAAGTTTTTAAGGACTGATGTTTTAATGTATTTTTAATCCCTTGTTGGAAGCCGCCCAGATGGGCGGGGTATAAATAATAATAATTATTTTTATTTTTATTTTTATTATCCATTGTTTTGAGAAAGGGGAAGCACAACGTGTCTGAATTCAATGGAATGGGCATCACATCTCAGTTTGAAGGACAACGGTTCCAGACTTCTCTTCTGTTGCAGGCGGAAGCACGCTGACACCGCTGCCAAATCACAGCTGCGCTGCATTTGGATTTCTACATTTACTATATTCTGTGATCCGCCCTGAGACCCCCGGGTATAGAGCGGTATATAAATTCAACAACAACAACAACAATACATTGTCTCCTGTAAAACAGCTGTCACTATCATTTATTTCATTTCTGAACTACAAGTGGTTCTAGGGTGGAGTACTTTAAATATAAAACCAAGCTAACCATTCCAGTGAAAACAGCAATGCAATTCCATTAAAAAATGAAAATAGAAAGTCAGTCATACCTCCTTACTACAAAATCAGTAGCCTCAGCTGAAATCCTTCCTAATGTCTACCCAGATGTAACCCCACTGGGCCTTCTCCCAGGTAAACAGTAGAGGGGGGGTAGAATTACAGCCTTACTGCATCAAGAAACCACATCATTAAAAGCCTGGATGAAGAAATAAGTCTAGCTAGCAGCAAAAAAGCTGGTGTCAGCTGGATTCAAGAGGTGGGTGGTGTTTCAGAGCTCCACTGCTGTGAAGGCCCTTTCACCAGATGCAGAAAGGTACAATCTCACTCAAAGATGGGTTTTATACCACTTTAACAGTCCTGAAGAGTAAGTTTACACTTGAAATGTTATTAATCCCACTTCTCTGTAGATGGGAAAGTATTCACTTATTTAAAAATGTGACAGCTCATTCTGCTGATTGGGCCCTGGATTTCTTCCACAAAGCTTTGCCCCGAGTGCTGGGCACCAGCAAGCCCACTCAGAAGCAAGACAGCAATAAAGAACTTGTGCTCTTATTTTGTGTATGGGAGGGCCCCCCGGAATATCAATTTGCATGTTTCTAAACATTAAAAAACAGCCCTACAGTATACCCTGTGGATGTGAGCTTAATCTGTAATGTGAAAGATTTCCCAAGTTTATTTTGATGCCATTTAGATGACTGCATACCAGCCTCAACATCTGTACATGTTAAGTGTCTTGGAAGAAGCACTCTGCTTGGTAAATGTTTTTAATATTTTCATTGAAGTTTGTAAAAAAATAAAAATAAAATTCTGCAGTGCAAATTCCAATACAAATGCAGCTCCCTGTCTATTTATATGCTGCTCTTGAAAAACTTTACCGAGGCAGTTTTAAAACCTCTGAAATTATTCTTACATAAAGACCAGAGTTTTAAAAAGCAGGAATCCAGGCTGTGTCCGGGCTGTTCCTTTTGTTGGTAGGACGGCAATATTCTGGATTTCAATGGCAGATTAAAGCTAAGACTTTTTGTTATGTTTTTCTGTACCTCTTTTATCTCTGAAGCTTTTTTGGTTTGCCTTTTCCATTTTCTTGACGGCCACTCTACAGCAGGTGCGGGGAAACCTGGGGGGAGGGGGGGATGGGGATGGGGACCTGACGGTAAACCTCCAGAAGTTGCTTGGACTACAACTCCCATCATTCCTGCCTGCGGGACACGAAGTCAAAACCCCGTTCCCCATCCTTTTGAGAGAAGAAAACAAAAAGCGGCGGCAATAATCAACTAGAAGCAGGCTGAGCAGAAGCCGTTGTGGTGCTTTTTTTAAAAAAAAACCACACACACACACACGCGAATCCATCCCACAGAAACAAAGCAGGCACTCGAGCGCCCCGAAAAGGCCTACACGCTTTTGGGAGGGCCCGCCTCTTAACGGCCGCCCTCGCTTGCTGACGCCACACGCAAGAGAAAGGCACGCACAGGCGTGCGCTCGCTCGCCTCCGCTGACGTAGGAGGCGGGGAAGGCGGGCCCGGCCGAGCTTCCTCCCCGTTTTCTTCCTTCCAATCCGTTTCCCCGCCCCGCCCGTTCCTCCTCCCTCCCGCGACGGTTTCTCACCGGCCTCCCCCCGCCCAACCTGCGGGTCGGAGAGTCCAGTGTATGTGCGGTAACAACATGTCTGCCCCGCTGCCAGCCATCGTCCCGGCCGCCAGAAAGGCCACCGCCGCGGTGAGTGAAGGAGGAGCGGCAGCGCCTGGCGCCTCTCGTAATGAGGGGGTGGTCTTTTTTTTGGGGGGGGAGAGTTGACCAGGCAGGGGCTGGCGAGGTGAGGGTGGGCGTCTTGGGTGTCGCACTCCTAAACTCACTGACTCTTAGGGAGGAAGCCCCGCGGAACGCAGCGCGACTTGCTTTGGCGGGCCCACAGCAGCGCCGTAAGCACCTCCCCCCCTCGCCTCCTGCCCCTGGCCTGGCTTTTGGACAGGCGCCCTCGTTTGTCTCCCGTTGGGCGATAATGTCCTTGAGCCGCACCTCAGCCGCCGCCGCCCCCTTGTAGGTAAAAGTCCTGGGTTTTGCTCGAGGTAGCCGGGCTTACTCTTTTAAGTGCGGTGAATGTTAAGTACGCAGTATGAACAGACGCGCGGTGGATCAACAGTTTTGATATATGGTAAAGATGCATATTCTGCAAGCCGTTCTTGCAGAAACCAAACAGCGTTCTCTTCCCCTTCCTCCCTCTTCAGGGAAGAAAAACAAAATCTGGCCGAGCTCAGAATCGAATATCGCCAGGTTTCACAATATGAGCCGAACAAAGCATTGTTGCGCTTGAAAATCTTAATTAAGACCGTTCAGCCGCTTGGGTCCTTTCTTTGCCTCAGATGGTGCTAATCCAAGTTTATGAGCAAGACCCTAAGTAGTAATTTATTGTGTTAAAATTAAAAATACTTTGCATTTCACGGCCTCGGTGTCAAATCCTGTGTGGGCAGGTGGGAAAATCACAACTGAATGTCACGGCAATCGGATAAATTGCTGAGAAGGCTTTGGGAAGCCAGCACATGCTCTCATTTATTGAGAGACTTGGCTGCAACAAAACATTTCATCACCTATTGCTGTCTCTTTCAAAAGTGTTTGGAATATGAACACTTGCACCAGAATAACCAGAAGCGCGAAGTAGAGCTAAGTGAGTTATTTTAGTATCAGTTTCCATGCAGGAGTGTCCCACCTAAGCATTTTATTTGCTTAGGTGATGAGAATTTATAATGAATAACTTGATGAGCAGCACAAGCTACTGCTAATTAGGTTGGTGCGGCCCTATATCCCTGAGGACTCATAATAATTATAAGGAAAAGGAATATAGAAAGGCTCATCACAATGAAAGGACAAAATAAACAAACATTCATTATAAGGAAAGAAAGGAAGAAACAAGAACAATTTATTTCAAAGACATATGAGTGGCCAGTTTGATTCTGTAGTTCTATTTTGAGGGCAGAGGTAAAAATGGAACCACCAGAGCATCAACCAGCATACAGTTTCTTCTTGCCAAGTGGTTCTGAGCTTCCTGGCTTTGCTCCCAGCTCAGAAACTTGCTACCTAGCTCACACTACAAGGTCAAACCAGAACAGGATCACACAAACTTTAATACAAATTTGGTTCTCATAGGTACTTTTGCATAGGAGGGACCACACACAGTGATCTGTGAGGTGACTGCTCTGTATGTTGAACAGTTTATGTGTGCCTTGCTGCACTGGTTTTCCCCACCCCAAATTCTTTTATCTTTAAAATATGTGCAATGCAGTCCTGTGCATGATTCCTTGGAAGTCCCACCAAGTCAGAGGAACGCAACACTACATTTCTTACAGTGCTATGGGCATAATCACAAGGTTGGAATTGATCAACATGGTGATCCAGTACTCAGGATGATAGTTACTGCATGGAGGAGCTGCCGTGCAAAGGCAGTTTTGAATGACTTGTTTACATACATGATGGATTCATTGTGAAAAAAGAAAAAGGTGAACCTCAAGCAGGTGCCCAAGGTGAATGTGGTTCACAATTCAACTACCAAATACATTTCAACAAATGTTTTCACTATAGACAACTGTAAATACCAATAGACAAGAATTAAACCCAGTAACCTCCAATCAAATATTGCTTATAACTTAAAGGTGCAAATAGAATACAAAATAGATGGAATTGAACCACTTCTCTGCACTCCACTGCTATGGGAATTCTAGCTTTACATACTAGCCAATTCTAGCCATATGGAATATGTTTTCAAGATGATTATTAAAAGCAATCTTAGAACTGTCAACCAACTGTTCATATTCTTCTCCAAATACAAAAATATGTGAACCAGCTGTGGGTTTATCTTCGTCAAAGAAGCCTTACTATATAGATGGCTTCTGGTGTTTGAATGAGAACAACAGTTATATTCTTCTTCTGTCCTTATCATATGAGCTCCCTTTGTTTACATGTGGAGTCAAGATTTAATGGAAGTATGTGGGTAGTTGCTGAAGAGTTAGGTGCATGCTCACTGTAGATATCTTTGTACCATGTAATATTTTTAAAAAATAAATGGTCTAATTAATGTGCTGTTAACTTCTAGGTCATATTTCTTCATGGATTAGGAGATACTGGGTAAGTGAAATATTTAGCTTGCTATATGATCTTAGCCTTTAAAAATGCAGCTTGCTACTTACAAGAGAATATGCTATGTGCTGAATTCTCACCGCAGCGGAATCTACATAAGCTCCCCTCATGACAGCTTATTACTGGCTTATGTGCATGCAGTGTTCAACCTCCATATGTTAATACCATTACTTCTGAACAGGATTACTATATCCTGGGATTTTTCAGATTAGTTTTATTACTTTTTTTAAAATTCTGCGTTTTACTTCCCTTGCACATGCCACATGGAACAACAGTATAGCATTGTTAATATTATCAGTGGGAGTGGCCTTAATCCTGTAGAACTGGCTTGGCACCCCACCTTCCTTTCTTGCCCCACCTTTGAGCTCAGGGTGGCCGGGAGTTTTATCCTGTATTTTTCTCTCAATGACTAAACAGTCATGACTATTTGTTTATTTATTGGGCAACACTTCCCAATATACACCTTCATTTTTGTTCTCCTTGGGAGAGTGTAATCTCTTCATCGACCTGCATAGGGAGAGGGAGGGTGGGAAAAGCATAGGTCTCCAGGAACAACTTGGGTGGGAGAAATAACATCCTCCCCACCCCCAACATTGATCCTGTTATTCCAAGCGTCCCTGGTTGGTGGCTGGGCTTCTCCCCATCACCATTCATTTCCCCCTGTTTTCCTGGCTAGGGAAGGAATCTATGTATGGTTTGGGGTGTAAAGATTCAGGTTAGCATCAATTTAGTGCTTGAAATGTGTTTAGTGGTTTAAATAGTGCCATGGAATGTAGCCTTTTAAACTTACATGCAGGTTGTTACCTGATTTAAGTTAATGGCTGGAAATTAGTCTAGAAAAGAATAAACGGGAATCCTCTTCTAATATTTTTCTTTCACATTGTGCTTCCTTAAAGCTCCTCCCTACAGAAGTAATTATTTTATACACTTCAATGTCTATTTGTTCCAGTGGGGCTTACTTTGTAGTAAGTCCGCTCAGGACTGCTATCTTCGGATGCTTAGAGTTACCAAAAGTTACATTTTGAAATTAATATTTAATTAACAAGTGTACAGTTGAACTGGTTGTAGCATTAATTTTTGCTTTACATTATTGTCTTATTTATTTTCAGTCTTGAAGCTGAATCCAAGTCTTTGCCTTGTAGCCAGCATAAACTGCAAAATAATACTGATCTAAATATTGAAGAATTGGAAATCTGATTTAAATCAAATTAAAAAAATAATCCTGATAGAAATGGACCCTCCTTTTAAGTGTTGGGTTTTATATACTAAAAAAGAGGATGGCTAATTATGACATAAGTAATATCTTTAGATAGGCATATTTAAAGGAACTGGAAGATTTTAAATGACAAGCTTTTTTGTTTTTTGTTTTTTTCTGTATTTTAATAGGCATGGGTGGGCAGAAGCATTTGCTGGAATCAGAAGCCCACACATAAAGTATATTTGCCCACATGCGTAAGTATATTAATCCTTTTTGGTTACTATTCTTCCCCCAACCCCATTTTCAAAATTAGATGGCAATTACATGTTTTGTAACAGACGGCCTGAAGGTTTGCTTTGAGAAACAAGGAGTTGCTATACATTCAGCTTTTTGGTTCTTCTTAAAATTAAATATTCATATCTATTAAGCATATTTCCGTGATTTCAGTTAATTGCACACAACATAAAGGCACAGTTTTAATTCCCTGATTAATAGTTTGGTTTTTTGGAGATTTTTCATGTTCCAACCACTTGCTTGTTTGATAGTAGTGAGTAGCAGTTTCCAACAAGCAAGCAGTGATTTCCTTTCACTTGTCTGTTATGTCTTTGAATGGTGATTCCTTCCATCACACATCCAGCATTACAGGCAAGAAGGCAAATCCTTGGTTACCTGCACCTAGAATTTCTAGCTGCTTGAGATGACCAAATGGCTGCAAAAATCTGCTTGTGGGGCTCAACAGCATGCATCCAAGAGATTCCCCAGCTGTATTATTTATTTGTTTCCATATACCCCACCCTTTCTCCCCCTGGGAGCACAGAGTGGCTAACAGTATGGTGCAACAATAAGAAATACAAGGTAGCAGGGAAATGCAGGCCCCTAGAGGTTCCCTTCTGAAACATTTTTAGGTTTTATCATTACAGGGGCTCTGGATTACATTAGAATTTCCTCTCCTGTGGAATATCCTTAAATAACTTGAGGCGTTGTACAGGTTGTGGTGCAGAGTGCAGCATGACACTTTAGAGAGAGACTGAAGAAATAGTAAGGTAATTTAGGTGTGAGCCTGAAAAAACCATGCTTTGATCATTCTCAGGTACACAAAAATGAATTTCCAAGAGAACATGAGCTATAAATGAAGTCATTAAGCTTATGACTTAAAGTGATAGAATCTTAAATATCCCACATTAAGTCCATGCTTTGCCATGTATCTTATAAGTATGTACGGTTTTTTTATTATAGGACACTGATTCCCAAATGGTGGCTTGGGACCACCTGGGAAGTACCACTTGACAGAACTGCAAAACAAGGAGTATGACTTCAATGAAGGGGTGGGGCTGAAGGTGGGTCCCAAACACAAAATCCTCATGGTGAATCCTAAGTTATGTATTATACTGCCTTGTCCAAGTAAGCCAACCAAGATAAAATATTTCAGGAATGGAAAAAAGCCCTTTATGCCCAAGTCTTGGATCAAAATGCTCAGTATTAGTCTTATTTAGGGACTGGCAGGTTGAAAAGGTAGGAAAGAATAGGTCCATAACATGTATTTTGTTTCATGACAGAAGGAACACAGGAAAACAGAATGTGTGAAATACCAGGAAATGATCTATTGGCTCCCAGTGGGTCAGTGAGCACAGGTGGAGAAATGTACATGATTCACATAGCACTAATTGTGATGGGTCACCATATTTGTTGACCAAGATATGACAGGTATTTGAGCAGGGGTAAGAGTGTCAGAAAATTTCATTTCCTGTCTTGGCCAGTTACAAAGTTTCTCTCTAAGGAGATCTGCCTATTGTGATATGATCTTATCAGGAGTTAGTGATGGTACCATTTACATATTACAGAAACACATGAAAATGATTGTTTTGAATGTTTTTGCTAATTTAAAAAAATCCTTTCTCCCCAATTTCCAGGCCAGTTATGCCAGTTTCTTTAAACATGAACATGGCTATGCCTTCTTGGTAAGTAGTGGATTTGCAAGAATTTTGTCATTTTTTTTAGGTTTGTTGCATTCTCTGTCCCTGAACGTACAATGTTATTTGTTCCAAATGGAGGAATATTGAAGGAGACAGAGGAGAGGAGAGGAGATTGGTTTTGGTCACTACATAGTAAAATGAGGAAGGGATATGGATGCAATAAACACTGATTGAACCTAGTCACCTTAATTTCATGTAATGTATGATATAATGCACTATGGTCACAGTTGTGTCTTTTCTGTGGACTGCAGCTCATAAAGAGGAAGAGGCCTATGTTTAGTCTAGCACAGGCACCCCCAACCTGCGGCCCTCCAGATGTTTTGGCCTACAGCTCCCATGATCCCTAGCTAACAGGACCAGTGGTCAGGGATGATGGGGAGTTGTAGTCGAAAACATCTGGAGGGTCGAAGGTTGGAGATGCCTGGAGCACATAGTCAGACATGTTGCTGCCATTATGCCAGTGTTTCCTTTCATTCACATTAATTTGGGTACTGACACATGGCCTTGTTCAGAGTTTGCTTTGTATTCCTCCTGTATAGAACATGTTGCTGTTTAGTTTCAATCATAAATGTGCCTTTTATGCCTATCATAAAGACACAGTAACCTCTGGTTTGGATCTGATCTGTGGTTTGTTTCAACGCTCATGTTCATGTTAAGAGTTGCCTACATTGGAGCTCTAAGACTTTTAAAAGCTGGATGACAGGCAGCTTTCTTCCCTACACACAGATTTAGTGGCAGAAAAGCTATATCATTTTATAATCGTTCACAAAGTGCTTAAAAGCTCAGACATATTACCAGAAAAAGTGACCAGTATAGCTAACCCTACCTTTTGCATGCCTCTTCCTTCTTCAACTCCATTCATCAAACTGTTTCCTCAAATTCTTGATCTCCATCCTGCAGTCATTCAGCCACAATTCTTTGCAGTCACTGTTGTTTCTCCCCAACAATCCCTTCCTGCCAGAAGTATTCAGCTTTGATCCCTAAGACCCTGTGTAAGGTTTTCTATGCCTGTTCATTTGTCCTCTTCTTTCCTTGGCTGTCTTTCATGCCTGTACATACTCTGGCTATTTCCCCCTCAGGTTTCTGTATCTCAATCTACTGTTGACTATGTCACCTAACCTTTAAGCTTGCTACACCATAGTCTCCTAAAACCTTTACTCACTCAATTTATTTGTCTTGATGATACAACTTCTGTTCCTGTAGCTGAGTGGTAGTTCAAGTGCTGTTGGTGCCTAACTCCCATCGCCTCTAGCCAGCATCACAAATGATCAGGAATGATGACAGTTGTAGTTCATAAACATCTGCAGCAACACATTGACTAAACCTGCTATAACCCATGTAAGCTTTTAGTTCTTGTCCAGCTGCTGCCTTGCTTGCTTTCCTTGGAAGAGGCTGTTTCTCAAGTCCTCATCTGACCTATGACAGTTCAGCACTTAGATTATCTGTAAGAGTTTAGAAACATAGACTTTCAGTACCAAAGGTTTTGTCACCCTTTTTATATTACAGCATAAAGAAAAAGGCTTTATTCTGCTAATACTATGGATTACATTTTTTTTATCGCTTCCTGATTGTGCAATAATAAATAAATAAGTAAGTAAATAAATAAATAAATATAAAGCCAGGTAGTGCTTTAAAACCTTTCCTACTAAATTTATCTACATTGTTTCATTTAAGGTTTGATATCATTGGCCTCGCTCCAGATTCACAGGAAGATGAAGCTGGGATTAAGCAAGCGTCAGAGAATGGTATGTTCTATCTATAACAATGTTATGCTCACTGCATGAGCAGAGCTTTTTTGATCAGACCCATCTAGTCCAGCATCCTGTTCTCGCAGCTGCCAGCCAGATGCCTTTGGGAAGCCCATAAGCAGGACATGAGCGCAACAGTGGTTTCTCTTCTTGTGCTTCCGAGCAACTGGTATTTAACTACATCTTCATGGGCAGCTTGCTATGTTTCTGTGTTGTACAGTGAGAAATGGAGCCAATTTTTTAGTGCATGGCACAAAAGCTATGTGTATGGTCACCCTGCACATTTTGGGCCTTCCCAGAATTCAGTCCTCTGAGGAAAAATGGGCCCCTATTCCTATTCTGATCCAAACCACAGAATGACTACAATCTTAATAGAATGGGTGTTGCCACATTGTGGCATTGTAGTCAGGACAGGGGCTGTATCCCATTATGTCACTCAAGTTTTTGAATACTATTCCTATTTCTCACCTCTCTTCATTCTCCCCTTTTCTACTTGCAATTGCATCATTTATGTTGCAGACAAATAGGTAGGATTCAGACAAATAGCTTAAAGTACAGTCATACCTCGGGTTGAAGTAGCTTCAGGTTAAGTATTTTCGGGTTGCGCTCTGCAGTGACGGAGTGCGTTACTTCCGGGTTTCGCCACTCGCGCATGTGCAGACGCTCAAAATGACGTCACGTGCATGCGCTGAAGCGGTGAATCGCGACCTGCAGACGCAGGTTGCGTTCGTTTCAGGATGCGAACAGGGCTCCAGAATGGATCCTGTTCGCATCCAGAGGTACCACTAATCTGAACTTGAGAAGAAACCCTAACAAGGTGGTTCTGATTACTTCTTTGCTCCCACAACTAACCAAAGTAGAATGTGAGATTTCTGCAAGCTCCAATGCACTCCACCTAGTCATAATCAAATCCTATTACATGATCTGTATTTGGGGCTCAATTCTTATGCAGTTTTGTTTTGATCAACTGCGCTTACTATATATTTTATTTGTATTAATATACATAGTTCACTGCTTTGGGAGCCTTGGGTTAAAAATTGGTATATACTGTACAGGTAAGCAGACAAAGTGGAAAGGCATGGGAAAATGGCTCACCCTCTTGAAGGTGTCTTGGACCATAACTTTAGGGTAGATGGAGTCATATTTGTCACCTAAGAATCAGTAGAATTTCACTGAGTGCTAGGAGTGTATTATGGGCTGTCCCGTGAATTCACTGGATGAAATAGCGGAAGAACGTTGCCTCAGGAGAGTGAGGAAAATTCTCAGGGATGATTCATACCCTGGCCGGCACTTTCTTGATCTCTTGCCCTCAGGCAGAAGATATGGAAGCATGATTAGTCGCACCAACAGGGTAAAGAACAGCTTCTATCCATGGGCTGTTAGGCTGCTGAATGAAAAGATAACAACAGGGCAACTGACTTTCGGGTTTGGTGGGTGTGCGTCAGTAAACGAGGGGAATTAAGACTAAGAGAGCTGAGTGGGGGGTGCCTATGTGATCTTACTGTATACAAGTTGTACAAGAGACAATAAAGTATTTCAATTTAAACCTTTGCCTGTTTTACCTCGTCCTGAGGTAGTCTTTTAGGTGAGGCTTTATATGCCTAGCAAGAGAGAAGATTCTGATCTCATTATCTGTAGCCATGCCTGCGGCTGCATAATTGGATAAATGTCTCATCTTTACCTGTTGGCCCCACAGTGGCTCTCTCCATGACAATCAATTGTCTACTTTTTTGTGATGACCCTTAACAGTTAGCTTTTTATGGTTGCAGTGAAAGCACTTATTGAGCAAGAAGTAAGGAATGGAATACCCTCAAACCGAATAATTTTGGGAGGATTTTCTCAGGTAAAGCCAATTACTTTTTTTTACATCTAGCACTATTTCTGTGTAAGTTGAAAGTGACTTTTATAGTATGACACACCTGCTATTATTACCATATAACATAGAATCTAGATAGTTTTTCCACTTACCATTTTTTTCTGTGACCTTCAAAAGATCCACATCACATTTTTAGTGACATTTTCTTGTGCCTATGTTCATCATAGTTGCTTAGCATTTGGCAGCATAAAGTTTTCCTGGAGCCTTTGTGGATTGGACATACCTCCTATTTACCTTTCCTCAAAGCTCAGGTTGAGCAGCAATTTTCAAACTCATAAAATATGCTAAAAATAAAAGTTAGTTCCATATGTTCTTGGCACTGATAGTTCTACCTGAAATATACCTTCCAGACCTTTTAGAGAATGTTCTGATCTTGGCATGCACTCTGATACAGGAATGCACAATCTGTGGAGCAACCACTGAAGAATATATGTCGATCATTTTTACTTGGCTTGTAAATGTTATAATTTCTAGGTTAACAGCATGAGGTACAGGAGATGAAGTGGTCCCTTGGAGCTCAAACTATCATAAAGGACTAATATGCTTAATTAAGTATGGATCTTGCGTATGGGAGTTAGTATGGTTGCGTTTGCTGTACAGCAGAGACTGCCTAGAGCAAGCTGTAACAAAGACTGATTTGCTATTTTTAAAATACAGTTTTACAATAAATAGTTTCACAGACCCCTTTGTACCTCCTCAGTAGTGTCCCAAAACCCAGCCACTTTGCTCATTTTTATCCAAATGAAAGGAAAGGAGTTGGGCCACCTGAACTCCAACATCCTTCCAGGTCCTTGTAGAAGTGCCCATAGGAAAACAAATGTTTTACAATCAGCCCAAGGATTGGAAGTGAAAGATTCAAATACAGCACACACTTGAAGAGAGTTGGGGTAGTGGGAGAACATATTGCCTCAAGGAGGTCTGCCTTGTGTTTTGAGAACCATTAATGTAAAGATCTATGAGTTTATGATCCTAGTATATAAAAATGCAGATGTGCTGTTTGACCAGTTTCTAAATGTTGGTAAGGAAGCCTAGCTGAAATTGCAGCATTTTCAGTGTGCATATTTTAATATGTAATTGCAGTAATGAGTGCTCTTTTGGTTTCACTAGGGAGGAGCTTTATCGCTGTACACAGCTCTCACAACAAATCAGAAGCTGGGGGGTATTGTAGCACTCAGCTGTTGGCTTCCGCTGCGGACCTCATTTCCACAGGTAGTGTACTGCTGTTCTAAAATTCAAAAGAACTGAGGTTGGTTATATTCAAAAAGCTTTCCATTTATATTTCTGCATTCAGTTCTCATGACAGAGAGGCATAATTATCACAGTCAGTGATAAAGGCAGCTTACAGCAAGTTAAAGAGCATTCTGTTTGGTCCATTTCTCTTCTTAGATCTTGACTATAGAAAAATATAAACAGTATTTCATGAACCCAAGAACTTAAAACAGGTTTCATGCATTTCTAAAGAAGGTATTGTGATATCAGCTGGATGTTTCTTCAGGACCTTTCACTAGAGCAGCACATGAAAAGGATATTTTCCTTAAAGTGTTAGTATGAGAGGCTTAGCCAGTGGGGTGCCTTCCAGATTCCTTTCCCCATCCAGCCACAAAGTTGACTTCATGATGCTGACCTAGCCACTGTGACTCAGACTAACCTATGTCATAGAGCAATGAGATGAAAGGGATGGTGAACTGCTCGGAGGGCTAAAATAAAAGTTGTGCATACCTTTCACCTCTTAATGTTCTAACATATTGCCTTTTGACAGGGTCCTATCAACTGTGTCAACAGAGACATTCCCATTTTCCAGTGCCATGGTGACCGCGATCCTTTAGTTCCGCTTATGTTTGGTTCTGTCACTTCTGAGACACTAAAGACTATGTTAAATCCTGGCAACATAAGTTTTAAAACTTATTCAGGCATGATGCATAGCTCGTGTATTGAGGTAATTGTTCTGCAAAATACTGATATCAGTTCTGTTTCTTTGTTTTCCATTTAAGCCATACTAGTATATAAGGCCTTGAAACAATTGTAACGATATAATTTTATTTTCAAGAACTAGTTGAAAGTTATTAAACATTTTAAAAACTCATTCAATAGATACAATTGAAGGATAGGATACAACTGTAATAGACTTAACATTGTCCTGCACTTCCTCTTTCTAAGTAATATCACATTTTCAGGTATAGTGAATTGAACCAACTAAATATCCAGTATTTTGGAACATAATTCTAACTTCCTTAGCATGGAACCTGCTGGCATTATATGTAATGCAGTCATAAATCTGTACTCAGAAATAAGTCCCGGTAAGTTCAATGGGGCTCACAGGCTAGAGCAAAGCTTTCCAAAATTTTCATGTTGGTGACACACTTTTTAGACATGCATCATTTTGCAACACAGTAAATCAGTTTTTTACTGATTACCGGAGGGTAAACTGACCACTTCCAGCCCTGGAAGGAGCGTGGGGAGTGTTTGTGTGACACACCTACACACTGCAGCCAACACACTAACGTGTCACAACACTCAGTTTGGAAAGACTCTTCGTCCAAAACGGTGCAGGTACAATGGCAGGCTGACTGTATGTGGGACTTCTTTTTTAGTACCGTAAAATGACAGTTCGTGTTTTAAGTTTGGTTGAATGGAAAAGAATCAATGCTTTCCAGGCTAAGAATGACTTTGCATTGTAAGGAATCCAGCCATATGCTTGGTTTTATTGTGTACTGATTCCTGCAATATGCGTAATTAAACCAGATCACTGTTTTTTATCCCTTAACAGGAAATGATGGATGTGAAGCAGTTTATTGACAAGCAACTACCTCCAATTGACTGAAACTATGTGAGAAACCTTTTGTTAAATGCACCAGCAGCAGTTGTCACCTGTACTAAATTCTTTCTTTTCATGCAGCCATTTCTAAAGTATTTCTGTGCCTACAGTGTTAACTGTATTGCAATGAATAGATCATATAACTTTGAGAAGTAATGCTCTTACTTCACTGGCCGCTCAAACTTCACTGGCCGCAGTGTAGATGCAAGGCAGAGGAAAAGCATGTTAGAATATAATTAGGCATACTCCTCCATGCTTGATTGTTCCAAATTTACATTTGTCTCTTGATAACTGAATACCTCTTCTTTAAAATAATTGTTTAAATGAGAACAGTTTATGTTCCAGACCTGTTTTATTACTGCTTGCAAAATTGGCATTAATGTATTATACATACAATATGCAGTATGTAAAACTGAGTAAGCATGCAGTGGTAGGATAAGTATATATACTTAAAGATCACGTTTAATCAATATTATTGCATGAGCAAGGGAAGACTGTTGCCCAGTCTTTAATTATTCCTGCACATTGATGAAATACAGTATTATCACCTCCCTGTGTGTCAGGCTACTTTGAAAACTTAAAGCACCTGATCTCTTAAGTCAGATTCCCACTCAACTGCACTTAATATGATTTTAATATAAATCTTTAATACAGTGAATTCCTAGCATAAACTCTCCTAAAGTATTGCAAAACTTAAGCTCTCAAATCCCCTTAAGTAGCCTTGTAAAATTTCTGAATTAAAAGTAAAAGAATATATTTTATGAACAATTTATTGTAAATTGCTTTCTTCTGCTATAGCAAAAGCAGGAATGTGCTGTGGTACAACTACAGATGTAATAGACAAGTGGATCTAGAAAAGTCATTGGACTCATTTTTCTTTGCACACTTAGCACAACAGTGTGACTTTTTTGTTTTAAAATGTTTCAGACTTCAAGTCTTTGTCAGACTAGAATCTTTCTCACATCCCAAAGTTATGGCAAATATTTGAGAAATAAAATATTCTCCCTTGCTCAGCCTGCCAAACCTTATTGCATTTTAATCTATACATATACAAATTAAATTTGAAGCTTCCTAAGTAACTTGTATAGCCAGCTTCAAAAAAATTTATGTACTGTATTCAGAAGCAGTATTGCAGATTTGGTGGTAGTGCAAATCAAATATGTAGAAAAGTTTGGACATTTCCCCTCTCTTCCGGGCCATCACTGAAGTTCCACTATTTTGCTAATTGTCTTGGCATTACACTGCTGATACATATTTTATTCTTAATGATGTTGAAATTACAGCTTCTGGGGTTTCTTCTATTATCTCTCTTCTTTATGCATATAATCCAAGCGTAGGAATACAATCCAACACAGTCATATGTGCATGAAGACAAGCATTTATTAAGTTACAGATGTTACAATGTTCCAAGGATGTTTGTAATGTGACTGTAAGTACTTCTCCTATCTAGCTTTGTATATCACATTCCTTGAGCCTTGCTGGACTTTCTGTAGCCTCAGGGCCATCTATATACCAGCAGAATTGGGCAGTAAAGTGGTTCCTGGTCTGCACAAGTTTAGATTTCAAATGAAAGAATAGTAGGTTTGACTGTTCTTAGCAGTCTCCCTAACTTGCTGTGTGCTAGGTGAGAGTTTGAATGAAGAACTGAAACAAGCCACCTTTCCATTTGTAGAAATGGATTTCTACATTGCATACAATGCATTTTATACAATGCATTTCAGGAACAGCTTTACCATTTAATTCTGCTGAATAGAATTCAGCCCTTAAACAGTAGTGAATGCTTCTGTACTCAGCCTTCCTTCCAAGATATTTCAGTGCTGAGGACCTCTGCAAGAGCTGGTGTGCACAGGATTTCAATATGAAACCAGTGTGACTCTCCTGAGTGCTTGTCCTGTTTATACTGGAGAATAGTTTTCAATATAAATTATAGCTTGCAGCAGAAGGCAATCTGTCATTTTTCTGGCAATGTGTGAATTTTTTTCAGATCCTTGCTTTAACAGAAGTTGGTCTGCTAAAAAGTATTTCTAATGGAATAGATATGTTCTATTAAGCAGTAGTGAAAATAGATGTTTTGATTTACTAGACTAGATTCATGTTTTATCAACTTGTGTGAAACTACTGAAATAAAAATGGTAGTACTCCAATAAGATACACATTTAGTTCACTTTGAAATTATAGACACGTAACATTTTGTCTAATCAAAATTTGATATCCAGTATTAGATGAAATACTTAATTGCCAACTTGCTGATAAATATTAATTATATTGTATGTATATTACAGCGTAAATGCTGCATCAAAGGAAAAAACAATGGCTTCATTTTACCCTGATAGGATGTAGCCTTTATTTTTCCCTTAAGTATTGTACAATGTCAATGCAGTGAATTGCTGAAGGAGTACAGTACTCTAACTTGTTATTCTAGATCTGTTAATTAAATGTTTGCCTTAGTGAGGTGTATTGCACTTCATTAAACTGCAAAATGCATCTTTTTATAAATAGGTGCTATTGACACTCAAAATGAATATAGTTTTAAGAATGTATTGTATAGGATGTTAATAAAGCCATATGTTTAGGCTGGGATATTTTATAAACAAATTTAATTTGGCTTTCTTTTTCCCTAAGTTGTAGAAATACACAGTTAAGGTAACATCTTGATTTTATATTTGTTTATAGAAATAAGTCTTGTTGAAATGGCTTTCTTGTAATTGAAAATTGTAACCTTTCTGTTACTGTGAAATAAACTCTGGACAACCAGTACATGAACCATTTCTTGATAGCAGACTAAAGGCTGCAGACTTTATATATGTAAAGTAAAGCAAAAGATGGAGAAGGGAATATTTCATCTTTTAAAAGGACCTTATATTATCTTTCATTTATAAATCTCAAAGCCATTTGCAATATATATGTGTATAACCCCCCCATTGAAATTCATACAGTTAAATAGCAATAATTTCAGGAACAGCAGCAGCAAGAATAAAAAATAAATCTTGCAGTAAGAGTCAGCAAATAAACAGAAAGATATTTTAACTGCTTGCAAAGGCATGCAATGTTTGTAGGGTGATAACTGATGCTACAACAGAGAAGGTTAATATTAAAAGCAGGTGGTCTTTCAGATATTAGGGCTTTAAACACCAATGTGAGCATCTTGAATTGCACCTGGAAATGAAGGCAACCAGTGCAACTGTTTTAGAATGGGTTAAATCAGACCTAAATGGAACCTCAGCCTGCAATCTGGCTGCTGCATTTTGGACCAGCTGAAGTTTCTGCGTCATCTTCACTGCACTAATACAATCTGGAAGTTGGCAGAACATGGAGTACAGTGGCCAAATAATCTCCGTCCAAAAGGAATAATAGGTGGCAAACCAGCTGGAGCTGAAAAAGGCACGCCTAGTCACCAAAACCGTCTGAGCCTCCAGTGATAGTGATGAATCCAGGAGCACCCCAGAGTGGCAAACCTTCTTCCATCCAGGGTGGTCTGCTAAAGGCTTAGTATTTATTTTTTTAGCAATTATTTTTTAAGCAATAAAAGTTTGGGTAAAATAAAAATGTCAGTTGATGTCTGAGTAATAATAATGTAGACTTCAGAAATAACTATTAGTAGAAATGTTCCTGCAAGTATTTTGGTCCCAAGTCGTTTAGCAGCAGCTTAAAACGGACCTTTTAAGATACTGGTGCTACTGGTGCTAAATCTCATTTGGCTGCCCCAAAGTTAACTGTCTTGGTCCACGAACAACTCTTACTCACTGCCCCGAAAGCCTTTGCTATGGTGTTCTGCATGCTTAGGCAGCACATGCTGAACAGCATAGCATAGTTTTTAACTGACGATAGGAAATCCCTGCAGTAGTTAGAAAATGCTGCAAGGCGAGACATATAGGTACGATATCCAGTAAATGGCGGGGGCGATATATATAAAAAAATCGACTTTGAGCTGGAGACACCTTCCCGCATCCCCACACCGGCCCTCTTTCCGCTTACAGGCCACCACCCTCTGTGCCTTATACCTGGGTAAGACCCCCACCCCGATCAAGCACCATTAGGGCAACTCATACGGCAAGGGATGCGTACACACCATGCAGTTTTACATCTGAAAGGCATTCCTCCCCCACACACCCCAAAAATAAAAGCAACGGGAACTGTAGTTTCCTCCTCGCCGAGCTACAGTTCCCAGCGCCATTAGCAAACTGCAGCTCCCGAGATTCTTGGGGTGGTGTGTGCTTTAAATCTACTTCTCCTGCGGTTCCTCCTCAGACAGTCTCTCCTGATCCCAACTCTGATGGAGAAGCGACATTTTCTTCCAAGCGCAGCAGCAGCAGCAGCCCCACAGCGTCCCTCCATTTCCGCTGGGCGGGCGCAGCTTTTGAGCTTCGGTGAAGCTCCACCTTCCCCTCCCCTCCATCGATGTTTTCGGCTTTCCCGCGCACCGCCTGGCTCTCTTTGGCTAGGCTTGATGAGCGCAGCCTGGCGCCGCGGCTGCCGAGCTGTCGCTTCTGGGTCAGGCCGGTTTATGTGCTGTGAGCGGCCCGGGCTGTGGGTTGGCGGCTCCATCTTTGCTGGCGCCGGAGTCACTGCGGAGCAGCAGCAGCAGCCGCCGAGACAGCGTTAGGCATTCGCGGCGGCGGCTGAACTTCGCTCCTCATCACCCGTATCGTGGAGCGTAGGCGCCTCGGGCAGTCGCCATGAGCGCCGAGGATGAGATCATTCGCATCGCGAAGAAGATGGACAAGATGGTGCAGAAAAAGAACGCGGTGAGGAGATGAGCCGGGAGGGACCGGGTGCCGGTGTGTGTATGTGTGTGAGAGAACGAGAGCGAGCGAGCGGGGTGGGTGGGGGTGTTCCACCAAGCCCCTCGCGCGCTCGGCTTGAACGTCCGCTCGACCAATCAGCTGCGCCTCGCGCTCAGCTGGGCGCCCGCCTTTTTCTTTTTCTTTTCCTGAGGGGCGGCTTATTTCGCGCGCGGATCCTCTTTTGTGAGGCCTCAACTGTCACCTTTCGGAATGTGGGTGGGGGAGAGGAAGGAAGCACCTCGCTTCGCCCTCGTGCCAGTGTGGCAGATGGAGCCGTTCCTCTGGGGGGCTCTCTCGACTGGTGACGACACTGTACGTCAAAACAAGGCACTTTCACGGGCGACGTTTCCTTGGGGAGCAACCGAATCCTTGCCCTCCAAAGAACCGGCAGTCCAGGGACCCACGAAGTAAAGCCCTTGCCTGTGGTGTATTGTGGCACTGCACCGCCCCGTATTCTTGTCAAGGCTGGTAGCCATGGTATACTCGCTTAAAAATGTGGCGCTGGTTGTCAGAAGGGTGAACTCTTTCTCTTTTCACAGATCTGAGAAGAAAGGACGCAAAAATATGTTATGAGTCTCGTTTGCTTGTTGGTTCAGTCATTCATTCATTCATACACAGTAAATTTATCATATGAGTATTTATACTCTTCTTACCTGAATTCTCCAGGCAGCTTGCAGTGTATTCGAAGCGCAACAAAGCAGACAAGGCTACAATAGTTACTACAGCAGGTCAAAGGTGTATCGGTTTCCCCTGCTTGCTCTCTGGTGTCCCATCAAATGCTGTTCTGGAACTGACTATTGAAGCAACCAGAGGTTATTCCCACACGGCCCAGGACTTACTCATAGAATCGTAGAGTTGGAAGGGTCATCTAGTCCAACCCCCTGCAATGCAGAAATTTCAACTAGCTCATAGACTCAGAATATGATTCCCTGGCCAGCTGCAACTGCCTCTCACAGTCCTGGAATTGATGCAGGAGGAGGTGCTGGGGGAGCAAAGATGTTAACATGCCACCTCCCCAATAGATATATGTTTTCTGGGTATCTGTCTCCACCTTTGATTCCATTTTCCAATGGGACAATAATTGCTAGTCTGCATTGGTTTTAACTGGCTTACGTGTCTTGTAAGTTTCAGCATCTTTTTGGAAATGTTTGCTAGATATCATGCCACGTGTTTATACCTTTCTGCCCTTGAGTGTGGTTGTGGAGGCGGTGGGGAAGCTTCAGTCCTTTGTTTAAATAGGCAGTGAGATAAAACCATAAATAAATGACAGGATTCCACCTGAATATTAAACTAGGCTTTATTTTCGCTTTTAAACATTTCTGCATACAAGTCAGTTGATGAAGATGTGTCACTCAAAGTGTGTTCAATAAACTTGACCTTACATTTGTCATTTTAAAATGAAATTTTCATCAACATGATTCTCACTCTTAAAAATAGGAACTGGAGCAGTTGTCCACAAAAGTTAAGTGAAACAGGTAAAAGTTCCCAGCTAATTTCATAATAATAATGTCATGTGAATTCAGGGGGGAGGCATTCCATCATCACTGAAAGTGATCTATGCCTTCCTCAAACAAATATTAAAATTATAGCAGCTCCTTGGAATATCACAGTATTCTTGAGTGCACATGTATTTTAATATTTTTTTTGGCTGGTCATATGCAGAGAAGAAAAGCCTCACTAGGCTTGGTGAAGATTCTTTGAGAGAGTTGTATATTTTTTCTGCAAATGGTAACCCTGGTCTGGCCAGTGTCATGTTTCCTATAGTAGTGAGTGAGGCTAAAAATGTGTTCGATTAAAAATGTAAGTATATAAAATGAGTTTTACTGTAAAACCTAAGCCTTGCTAGTCTTCATAAGGAATAACTTGGTAAGCCTTACATCTAAATGTGCCTCTGTGCTACTAAGTAAAATTAATTTTATCTGTAACCATTCCAGAAATTCTTCTATAGCTTTATTCTAAATATGGATTCAGTATAGAACTATTAAGAAACATTGATTTATTTGACTATCTTTGATAATACTTTTGATTCAGATGGTATATTTTAGATGTCAACTTCATATATTTTTCTCTGCTTGGTGAATTATGCCTTCGGAACGCTACTTGATGCTTGATACAGGGCTGTGTTAAAGGCTTTGTTACTGATTATGTATGCCACATTCACTGAAAGAAAGTTATTTTAACTTGGTAAGTGAGTGCACAGTGATGTTGTAGGAACAGTCATGTGTTACGATTCTTATGGATTTGGGGTTGGATACCCTGGCCTCTTGTATTCTTCCAAGCCTCACAATGGGAGTTTCTTGCTGCTGACCCACACATCTCACACCTACAGATTCAACTGGTTCAGGCCCAGTGTGTATTAAAATACTATTCCTTTTAAAAAAATCATATCAGCATGAACTGTATACTTGTGTTAAACTAAACCTTGCAAGTTATATTTCTATCAATGCTTGTTCTGTAGTATAACCAGTGTAACAAATTACCTTATTGTGTAATGAATAGGTGCAAGTTGGCAGAGGTAATTTTGCACATATGGATTTTCAAAAATCGAGAGCAGTTGAGTAAGATTAGAGAAAAAAGGTAAGCAGTAGCTTTTCCTCTTATAAGGTATGGAGCCAGTATGTGTTAAACAACTTTCCATGTGCATTCAGCTGCAATCCTATACTCACGTATTTGGGAGTAAGCCGCATTTAGCTCTGTGAGACATGCATTTGAGTAGACATGTATAGGATTGAAGTTACAAATCATTTGTACAAATTTATATTTAGCTGTAGCACCATACTTCTTAAATCCTTGAATATGGAACCTAATCTATAAAGACTGATTCTAAAAATAATTTTGAACTATTTTCGCCTATGATAGTTTTATGACAAATTTATTTCTTGTACAAATTATATTGTTGTTCCTAAAACCTTCTTATAAATATTTGTCTAGCAAATACTGCAGTTCTTATACTGTACGCCGGCTCCCTCAGCCAGTAAAGCGAGATGAGCGCTGCAACCCCAGAGTCGTCCGCGACTAGACCTAATGGTCAGGGGTCCCTTTACCTTTACCTTTAGGTCAGGTTTAGAACAGAACCGCTGAAATGAATGGGACTTAAATTAGTCATGACTGACTTAAGCATTTTATTTCAAGCAGTCTTATTTAAAAGTGAGCATGTTTTCCATGTTGATTGGCTACAGTGGAGTGCTACTTGTGTAAAATGTTTTGGTTATTGCATCCCCATCTTAATTTAGCATAGGAGTAAGGCCCACACTATTCATTGGAATTTGATTATTAGTACGTTTGGGACTGTGGCATAAAGCTACAATTTTTAAAAAAGTTTTCTCACATGTAAATCCTTCTGGTTTCTGGTTGAAATTTTAGATTCTGTTGATTTTAGAGGAAAAAAATCTATTCTGCCTTTGAATTTTCTTTTAACTTAAGACCGTCTTACTGTAGTTCTCTGAATGTTTACTAAGTTCTGAGTTCAACAGAGCTTGGTCTCAAATAAGTCTAGGAAGGTATTTCATAGACAAATATGAGCCCCGTCCCCAAGTGTGCTTAGCTCATGTATTGAGTCCTTATATACACTACCACCACCTCGAAAGCTTATCTGGTAGAAAACTTATCTGGTAGAAAGCTTATCTGGTAGAAAGCATGGTAGAAAGCATAGGGCTTTCTCATTGGTGTGACCTGTCTTTTGGAATTGCCATATTCCCTGTTGACATGCTCTTTCTAGGAACTTACCAAGGCATTTGGAGAAAAAGGATTTTGGCTGCTGGACTGCAGTGATGAATTTGTGATGGATCTATTGAGTATTTGTAACATTGCTTTGGAATTGTTTTCATTTTTCACATAATGATCCCCCAAAGTGAAAGACAGGGTATATATTTCCTTAATCACAGTACTGCTTCTTGCACTAAGTTTCCAGATGGGTGGGGTATAAATAATAATAAAATTATTATTATTATTGCAGATAAATATATGGCTTTGCATTTATCTTTATTTAAGCAGCAAGGTAAAAGAGAATAGTTTCATGCACACTTTTTAGTTTGTCATGTTACTGCAAGTAACATTCCCTTACACAATCTTTCAAGTGGTATTTCAGAAGATAGTAGGTCAGGTTGAACAGTGAAAACTCCTGCTGTTTATTCAACACAGGCTTTATTTACATTACACATTACACATTTTTATTTACATTATTTTACAGTTTTTGAGATCCCTTAGTGAAAGGCATTTCCATAGTATCATAAACACATGCTGAATACAGGAGAGGACAAAGCTACCATCAGAAGTCAGTAAACAACTCTTCCAAGTTTTTGACTGAAACAGGTGGAGTGATTTCTGCCTCTTACATCATCTAATTGGGGTAGATTCCACAATTACAATGGAAGATAATACACTCTGCCCATTCTGGAGCTAATTTAGTTGTATTATGCTAAGTTTTGTATGTAAATTATTACAAATATCATAGGCAATAAGCTATAGCTCTAATTTGTTTTATTTGGTGTAGGACTTAAGATTCAGAGAATCTTATTTGGAGGGTTACTTTCTTTGATTGCATTTTAAGGGTGTCATTTATTTGTTAGATTAAATAAGTTATTTTACTAGAAGTGATAGTATTTATTTTTGTGACAAATTTGTTTTCACAGTTGTAAACAGAAGGATTTAAACTTCAAATATTTGATTATGTTTAGTTGCACAAATTCTAATAAGCTGAGAAAGGGGGAGTACCTTTTTTAAAAAATTGAGTTTTAAATGGATTTGTACTTATTTACCTAGGAGTAAGCCCCATTGAACTGAGCTTAAATCATTGGAAGACAAAAGTACTGTGGGTGGGTGGATGGTTCCTATGTCTGAGATACTGACTATTTTCCAGTTTTGGATGAGATTACTCTCCCCTGAAATAATATAGGTTTGGGTCTGTCTTTGTCTTTTGTGACTTGTGTAGCCTTAGTGACTAGGAACCCCTTTTACTGGCTATGGCGGCTGCGCCAACTGTGACTGTTCTTGAACAGGAACATCCTGACAAGGGTGTTCATAACATCAATACTTGATCATTGCAATGTGCTCTGTGTGGTAGGACTATGCTTGTCCATGGTTTGGAAGCTCTAGCTGGTGCAGAATGCTGTATCTAGACTGTTGATGGGGACAGACTACTCTCAGCACATAACAAGAGTGCTTAAAAGCTTGCACTGGCTACCCATATGTTACCCATATGTTACCCACCCAGGTTTAAGGTTACAAGGCCTTTAACAACTTGAGTCCGGGATATCCTAAGGACTACCTGATCCCTTGTATCCCTGCTTGCTCACTGATGGTGACTCCCCATGGCTCTATTATACTTTCATTCGAGACCTCAGTTGCTAGGATGTCTCTGTTTTGTCAGGAGCCTGGCACTTCTTTATTACATACCTTTTACTTACTTTTAGTGGCCTTTCTCTTTAGAAGGTGAATATTGAATCTCTTTATAAGGTTTCTAAAGAGAAGTAAGCTAGTAGCAGAGACGTTAGTATAGTACAGTAAAGTGAATTGCATGCATAACTGTGCTTTGCTAATCATAACTGATTTTAATCTGTGGTAATACAGATAACTGTTGCCTTTGGCTTGAGAGCCCAAATTAATTGACGTAAAAGTGGAACTTCCATTTGTTGAGCCCATCTGGTTTAGGTGCAAATTGTATCATATAATGAAAAATCCTGATCTTACTGTGCTGTGTTCTTAAAATCTCATTTCACTACTCTTGAGGGATTGGCCTGCAGTTAATTTCAAAATATTAATTTAAAATTGCTAACTATATTAAATATAGGTAGAATCTAATATTCATATGACTGCTTTAGTAAAATATATTTTCTCACCTCCTACTCATTTTGAAAGTAAATTAAAGTTTTAGCACTTAATAAAATTTGGAATAAACAACAACTATATCATTAAAACTGGTGAAAATTTAATGGAACAATTGCTCACAAGCTAAATTGTATTTGCCTTGGGAATGCCAAGTTAAAGTTTTGCTTAAGTGGGTTTTGTAATTAACTACAACCTAGATGTACAACAATGACATCTGTGCAGGATTTGGTGGGAATGTGTAGTTATTTAACAAGCATCCCAACAACTGCTTGCCTCACAAAAAAGTGTGCCTCCAACTCAAGATTGACTAGTCAGATTAACGTTTGGAAAACTATCAGTTGCTCCTAGATGCTTGTGAAATAAATATCTAGGCTGATCTGTCAGTGTTTAGGTTTATCATGTTTTCATATTGTGGAACTAGCGTTGAATAAAACTGCTGTGTTTCATAGTAAATATTTTAAGTATATGAGAATATGCATACTGAATCTTTTTACAATGTATTTTACAGGCTGGGGCTCTTGACTTACTCAAAGAACTTAAGAATATGCCCATGACTCTGGAGTTATTACAGGTATGTCTTTCCAATGCTGCAGTACCTCTTATATACATTTTCTACCATAAACATATGGAAACAAATTTTCCTTTGAAGCCCTGCCCTTACTTTCCCTGCATCTGACATCATGTATGATGTCAGGTGGAGGCTGCATGGGCATGTCTCCCCAAAACGGCCTCACAGAACAAATGGGGAGGCTTGGTCTGGGTCAAGTTTGGCCTGAAGGTCAGAGGTTTTCCACCCCTGTTCTGTAGTCACTTTAGATTGTTGTTCCCATGGAAGGGAATGTGTTCCTGTAGAAGGGAATGTACGTGTACGTTAGTGGAATTACTTTGCTGCTGCATATTTATTGCATATAAAAGGTACTTGAATCTCTATGACTGATTATCCCTGGGTTTCAGAAATGTTACTCTTTAAGTAGAAAGCTGAATATCAATATACATGCATTCCAAATTGCCCTGATACAGTGGTGCCTCGCAAGACGAAAAGAATCCGTTCTGGGAGTCTCTTCGTCTAGCGGTTTTTTCGTCTTGCGAAGCAAGCCCATTGATGGGATTAGCGGATTAGCGCTATTAGCGCTATTAGCGGCTTTTAGCGGCTTTTAGCAGCTTATCAGCTTATCGGATAAGCAGATAAGCGGCTTAGCGACTTAGAAAAAGAGGGGGGAAAGGGGGGAAAAAACCCAGGAACTCGTAAGACATTTTCGTCTTGCGAAGCAAGCCCATAGCAGATTCGTTTTGCGAGGCACCTCCAAAACGGAAAACTCTTTCGTCTAGCGAGTTTTCCGTCTTGCGAGGCATTCGTCTTGCGGGGCACCACTGTAAAAATGTATGGCAAGCATATTATCACACCTTATGATAGAAATTCAGGACGTGAATTTTCTTTATTTAGCTGGCACCAGCCTGGGACAAACTTGCAAAAACCTTTCCTGCTGCATTGGAGGCAATTCTTCCTTGCCAGAGGCAAGAGACAAGAGGCTTTTAAAAACATGTATAAGGAGACTTGTACATATATGCAAGCTCACCATTACTAGACTTAATTTTTACTTTATTTGGTGCTGAACTTTGTTTATGCTTGAACTTGCTTTTAGAGTTGGAATAGGATTAAAATGGAACCAATTTAATAAGAGTTGCAGTCTGAAAATATGATTAAACAAAAATAATTCTTTTGTAAAAAATGCACATTATGCCTAGTTTGTTCAATTTTTATTCTCCCTCCCTCCCTCTCTCTGAACTGTAGATGGCAGTAGTACTCTTTTAACACTGCTTGACTGGAGTACTGTATAAGTGAAGCTGATTAATAAAATGTGATTAAAAAACAAAACCACAAGATAAATCTTGGTAGTCCTTAGGTTTTTTTTTCTTTTTCCAATCCCATGGTTTTCAGGTCAGTTAAGGCAAGCAGTTATAAGTGGAGAAAATATAATTTTTGAAAATTATAATGAAAGTTTATTTGTAACTTGTATCACTCAGTCATCTAGCCATGCTCACATTAAACCTGGAAGTTATGTTACAGAAGTCATGTTGGATTAAAAAATATATATTCAGTTGTTATGTAAAAGTATAGTAGTATAAAAAGTATTCTTTGATAAGACTTAAAAGTGGATTGTTAAACTATTTATCCCATAGTTTGAGGTCCTTGAAAAGAAAGATATTGTTTGTAATTTTGCACTGAAAATGGACTTTATCCATATCCGGTGTGTGTATTTTCTTTGAAGGAAAAAGATTTGCTTATGAGTTCATAACTCTTAGTGTGAAGACTTTGGCTCAAGTAGTTATAAAAATCTATAAATCATCTAGATCTATAAGCCCTTTGCTAAGTTTAGAAATCACACTTAACAGTTTTAGCTTAGAAGGTATCTGACAGGATATGTTTGTGCTAGGTATACTTAAAGCACTTGCCTAATGTATTGCTTTATAACAGATGCTGTTCTAGAACCATATTGTCAAGTTACTTATGATCAACCTGCCTCCATAATACTTAAAACTATCTCCATATTCAACAGGGATGTATGTACAGTATAAAACCAGCAGTTTCTGACAATTAGAAAACAATTTAAAAAACAATATCAGATAAAACTCAGCTTCCATCAAGGCTTTCTCCTTGCAGTAAACCAGATTCTCTTAAAATAATTTCCCTCGAAGGCTAGCAGCAAGGAGTGCAAAACATGCAATTCTGCTGCTCTTAAAGGCATGCTTGTTAATTAACCAGGTAGTTGTTGAAGAGCATCTTAATTAAAGAGAGAGAGGGTGAAAGCCCTAGAGGCAAGAATATTAGCTAACCTCCCTTGGATCTCAACACTGCAAACAGTACTTTAATGCCAGTTCTTGTATATGTGGAGAATTCTTAAAAAGAAAAAATAGAATGTTTGGCTTTGGCTTAAAAAAAAATTAAATTACTTTGGAAATCATTTGCTGTTTTTGCCCAATATCTGATGACTTCATGCAGTTTTGTATTCTCTCAATTGTATTTGAAATCCTTGTAGTGGTTCTAAATATCATTATATAAATACCTGCTTTTAAATGTTGATTCTTGTGCTTGGTTTCAGTCTACAAGAATTGGAATGTCAGTGAATGCAATACGCAAGCAAAGCACAGATGAAGAAGTTACATCCTTAGCAAAATCTCTCATTAAGTCGTGGAAGAAGTTATTAGGTATAACTATGTTTTTTCCCCTTCTACAACTTCCAGATTAGTATACAGAATAATAGATTTCTGTCTGTTTCTGTTGTTCTTGCAAAACCAACTAACTCTGAAACATGAACCCTCCCTTCATTTTGAACTTCCTTTTGTCTTTTTAGTAGAGGACAGATATTTCCACTGCAATGGGACAAGCAATACAAACAACCTGGCAACAGCCTGGCAACAAATTGGTTGTTCTGGGTGGGGGACATGGTTGTGGGTGGAATGTGGAGGCTGGATGTTATTGAGAATGCTCTACAGTATCAGTGAGGTTTTCATTGGACAATTTGGAAAGATTGCACAATAGGAAAATAACACTATTATATATCTATATCTATTTCTGGATATAGATATATATTAATGTATAGTTGCACATCAGACTGTTTTGTAGAAACCAGTAGTGGATAGTTTGTAAAAAGCAGTTATTCCAAAAATAAATACATAAATTGAGGAATGTGAAAACAATTAAGAGCAGGCAAATTTCTTATATTATTTGCAAGATATATATATAACACATTGGTTATATCAATCAAAATATAAGTTTCTCACTAAAATTGTAGAGCACAAATTAAGAGTATATAAAATACGACCATTCAGCATCTTTAAAATAGTCTAGATATAGAAGATATTTTCATGCTTCATTTACACTGTAAATCTATAATTGTTCATGTAGATTATATAAAATACATGATTAAGATTACACTTTTCCTCTGAGTTGATGAAATAGGCTTGTATACTACAGCCTTGTCTCAGAGTCTTCATTCTCTTCATATTCTTGTTCTGTCTTGGGTTAGGTCACTATATTATATGAATGTCATTGATCCTCTCTGTGCCCTCCACCCCATTACTGCAGGAATAGCAGCACCCATAGATTAGCACTGACAAACCTTCACAGTGATTTGAGGTTTTGACATTTGTGGGCCATCCAATAAAGTGCATACTTGCTCTTACAAGAAAGTACTTTACTGATATAGACACTTTATTAAACTACCTACTATTTCTTTATTTTGGAACCTCACTTTCTGTGCTTTAGGTCACTTAGCTTGTAGGGTAATTGAATGAATTATTGAGATAGTATATATTTAGTACTTACACTTTGCTCTATAAATGATACATATTGTCTGTGTGTATATATATATATATATATATATATATATATATAAATATATATTTCAGATGGACCAGCAAATGATAAGGATTCTGAAGAAAAGAAAAAAGAAGCAGCTTCTTCATCACAAAACAGTCCTGAAGCAAGAGAAGAAAGGTATGTCTTCCATCTTTGGTGTTGGCGGTAGAAAAGAAGCAGTTGGTCAGGGTCAGCATCTTCTGTGCTTATTCAAGGAAATGGACTGCCTTGCCTCCTAGTGAGCAGAGTGGTTGGGTTAAGTTAGAGCTCCTAAAAACCCAACCTTCATACATTTTTGGTTTCTCAAGTTCTTGCATCCCCTTTCCACCTTCCCATCTTTGACTGGCACGTACTAGACAGGGAGCTCTGGAAACCATATGGTCATAGGGAGCACATTGCTAGGTTGGTGGTTTCCAGAGGAACTTTTACTGCAGGAAGTAGTGTCACCAGTGAGCCACAGCTCTGCCACAGCTGCTGAGAATGCTGCAGCTACAGGAAATGGCACCATGGTGCCACAGCAGGTGTTCATGTTTGTCCTGACTCCCTCCACTTTCATATCAGGCAGGTAGGGGACAAAGCATGACCACTCAGTCAGACACTCAAATGCCCGGAAGATGAGCCTATCAGCACTATGCCTCACAACCTAGCAGTGCCAAGTGAGATGAAATGGGAAGGCCTGGAAGAGCCCATCCTGCACAGCATGTTTTTGGCACCAGTGAGACAGGCGATGTGAAATAGAGTGGGTGAGTACCTCACCACTCCTTTCCTGATCTCACTGGGAAGGGATCTTCTCCCCAGATTTATGAACTGAGTGAAGGTCTCCTAGGCAATCAAATGGGCTTATCCATCTGTCTCAGACAGAGCTTCTTATGCCTAGTCTAAAGTCAAATTCCCTTACAAAAGGCAGGGTAAATAGACCCAGCTCCAGGGCAGGTTTAGAAACATGCATTAGAGAGGCCATGTCACAATTCAGAAGTTCATCCTTGGAACTTTCCATTTTCACAGTGCACTCTTGGTGAGGGTGTCTGCATTAGCAACATTACAGGGTAATTTTCTCATTAAAAATGTCTGTAAGACAACAACTATAATACATTTAGAAAGCATTATAAGGTATGTATTTGCAGACAGTCTTTGATAGGTGGGGTTGTGCAAAAAGTTATAGTACAGTAAGGTGCTGGCCTGCAGGAAAGATCATCCTGAAATACTATCACACTGTTACATCCCAGGGTTGAGGAATGCCCTCCAGGAACCAGAAGAGAAAACAGAAATTTTCTTAATGTGACTTGCTCTTTTCTGGGACTCCCAAAGGGCATTCTACCCTTCTCTTTCTTTCAGGACCGGTACATGGAACTTTTCAGGGGTTCTGCCTCACTACACATATGAGAGTGGTGGAAAGTGCCTTTTGGGAAGTTTCCAATGCCCCCCTTTTGTTCTTTACCTTTTTTATTGTAGTTTTATTGTCACTCAAGAGTATAGTTTATATTCTAGTAAGGAGTGGAGGGGTAGTGTTTGCTCTGGTCTGAGGGAGTAGAGCAAGCCTTCCCGTGGAAAAGCAATTGAAGATGTTTACTCTGCCTGTTTGCTCCAGAAAGGGGGCCATCCTGAGGTTTAACAATGCTTTCTGGGAGTCTCAAATAACAGAAATTCATTGTGAGAGGGGGATTTGTTTTCCCATGTATTTTGCAGATGCATTTAATACTAGGGAAAGCAGAAATCCTGTGCCATTGAACTGGGATATAACAAAGGTTATGAACTGACTATAGGCCATTCTTCACCAAACTGATGTCCTCCAGATTGCATCAGCCCTAGCTAGTGTGGCCATGCTGGTTGGCTCTGATGGGTGATGTAGCCCATAACATTTAGAGAGCACCAGGTAGGTAAGGGCTGCCATAGACCCTACCCTGTTTATACCTTAGTTTACTTCTTGTATTAGAATTACGCATTATAATATCTTGATATTTGACACAGCAACTATGAGAACTGTGGGAGTTTGTATTGGAACACAGCTAATAATGTAGATTTTGTCTTGTGCAATAATTTAAAACAGCATAAATTCCAAAATGAATACATCTAGTCACTTTTCTGCTACTTGTGTGAGTGCAGTGGAGTCTAGCAATGTTCTTTGCAGTTATGTCAGCTATAATTTGTGTGTCTGTTTGGTGTCATTTTCTTTTCAGTAGGTCAAACTAGAACATCTCAGATGTTAGGTAGTATTGTCTTTCATTTTTATTTGTGACTTAACACAGGTGACATGATAAATAACCAGTTGCTGCTGAAACACTCCTGCTGCACTCCTCTTCTAGCATGAGCAGGATCAACAAACCATAAGCCTTGGCCTACCATGGCATCTGAACCAATACTAGTGATTGGGAAGCCCAAATTGACATTTGCCTTCAAGTTGTGCTTTGGAGAGAAACAAACCATGAGCAATGATTTAAACTGATGCTAAGCCAAGGCTTGTGTTAGTTGCTTGTGCCAGGGAGGAGAGGAGCGAAAGTGAGTATACTAGCATACTGTTCATTCATGATAAGTCAAAACACAGCCATTACTTAACTTTTAACAAGGTTGATTGAGGCCTTAAAAAATAGGATTTTCTGTGGAACTGTGTCAAATATTTCTATTCAGATTAGAGTATAAAAATATGTAAGCCATTTCTAATATTTTGGCTAGCATATAATTAGTGCTAAAGGGTGATCGGTAATGAAACTGCCTTAATAATTGTTTTATGTAATACTGCATTTTTATTTTTATTTTATTTTTTGGTATCTGTACTTAGCTATGCCCCAACCTCTGTTTCATATTTTAGATGCAACTCTGTACAGTGATGGTTTTTATTATTTCCATTGTTATTACTATTTACATTTTAATATTTAATATTTCCCCCCTTTCCTCTTTTTTCTCTTTATATTTTTGGCATATAATGAAAACAGCTTACTCAATAAAAATACTTAAATAAAGAGAGAAAGAGAAACTGACCAAAGACTAGTTACATTGCAGAAATACAATGAAACTATATTAAAAAAAATATTTTTCTTTGTTTAGCAGTTGCAGCAGCAACTCAAGCAGTAAGAAAGAAGAAGCTAATGCTTCCTCAGAATCATTTATTTCCACCTTTCCTCGAGCTCCAAGCACATCAGATTCTGTACGGATGAAATGCCGAGAAATGTTAGCGGCTGCTCTCAAAACAGGAGGTAAGGATTGCACTATCACCTTTACAGGTCATCCTGCTTGACGTTTCCTTACCTCTCTCGCCCTGACCTAGCCACTGTGATCCACGCAACGGTCACCTCCAGACTGGATTATTGTAAGTCGCTCTACGTGGGGCTGCCCTTGAGACTGACCCAGAAACTCCAGCGGGTGCAGAATGCTGCAGCGAGACTCCTTACGGGGTCTTCGCTGCGAGATCACATTCACCCGGTGCTATACCAGCTGCACTGGCTCCCGGTGGAGTACAGGATCAGGTTTAAGGTGCTGGTTTTAACCTTTAAAGCCCTATACGGCCTAGGACCCTCGTACCTACGGGACCGCCTCTCCTGCTATGCCCCACAGAGAAACTTACGGTCTTCAAATAAAAACATCTTGAAGGTCCCAGGCCACAGAGAAGTTAGGCTGGCCTCAACTAGAGCCAGGGCTTTTTCGGCCGTGGCTCCGATCTGGTGGAACACTCTGTCACAAGAGACCAGGGCCCTGCGGGACTTGACATCTTTCCGCAGGGCCTGCAAGACAGCTGTTCCACCAGGCCTTTGGCCAGGGTACAGCCTGACTCCCTCCCTCAGCAATCTTTGCGGAGCTCTGGCCCAATGGTTGCCAGTGGCTTGAATTAATTAATTTTATAATGAATGATTTTAGAGTGTTGTTTGTGCTGTACTTTTGTACTGTTTTATTGTTGTTAGCCACCCTGAGCCCGGCTTCGGCTGGGGAGGGCGGGATATAAATAAAATTTATTATTATTATTATTATTATTATTATTATTATTAGTGTTACTTGCAGTTGTAGTTGTAAGGCTATTTTGCAGTGTGAGTGGTGACGTAGTTTTTTGATAGATGACTATAACTAACCCCTAGCATATATGTCCATTGGAAGCAGATAATGCTCTTTGTGACAAGCCTTCATATAATACTGTTTTCCTCTCAGAGAGCTTTCTTCGATTGCTGTGGTTTCACCCTGTGCTAGGAATGCTTAATTCTGAAGTTGTATGAGTTGGGTCCAGAGATCTGCCCACAGGAAGGAGATGGGAAAATAGTAACTTTCTTGCCTCTCCCTGCCAGACTCCAGAACCTCCTGAAACCACCTGGGAATTTTTATTAATAGGTTGGGCTATGATGGAGGAGACTGAAAGGAAAAGGGAGAAATCACAGAAGAGCAGGCAGAGGCATCTTCTCAGGGCTGGAGGCTTTTTGGGGATAGGCTGTTGGGGTTGGCAGGGCAAGAGGGGGGGAGGTCCCCCTCCACTCATCGTCTTCTGCAGACTGATCTCATAGCTGATCCAAAGCTTCTCTTCACAAGCTGAAGTTGTATTCAGCTACAGAAGGACTGTTTCTAATGGAAGCGTTTCACAAGAAAATATATTATCAGCAGGATCCTATTAAGGAAGGCTGCTCAAACACTTGACAACAAAGGAGTGAAATGTTTTCTAGTGGGGAAGATTAAAGGGAATCTGAATAAATAGTGTTTTCACTCAAGGATATTGGACAGATGAGCATGTATGGAGGAAGAGCATCTGAGGACCTAGAGAGGTGTAGAGGTTGCTAAATTTAAAATTAAGAAGTCACCAGTTCCAGTTAACAACCTGAGAGTTGTTCATTAACTCAAATAAGAGTTCAGAAAATGGCTGATGTGAATGCAGCATCACAAAGCATCTCTTGTTGCACTTACTATGTTAGACAGTAGGCACAAAGATGGGACAAAAGAATCACATTAAGTGTTCTAGAAGAAATTTTGATAAAGGGTGATAGAGAAATGTGATAAATAAATGTTTTAATACATATTAATAGTCATGCAACTCACTTTCTCTTTCAGATGATTATATTGCTATTGGTGCTGATGAGGAAGAGCTGGGTTCTCAGATTGAAGAAGATATCCTTATCTGTCCAATCAGTTTTTTACCATCTATTTTGGTTCACTAGGCTGATGCTAACTCTTAGCTTCCTTCTAAAATATTTTATGACTTTTGTGCACCACAGGTGCCTCTAATTGTTTGTGATTGTCTTTATTGTTAATTGAGACTTTTAATTCTTTTTATGAACCACCTTGAATACAGAAGGCAATATAGTTAACTATGTTAGCCAACTCTTGTGTCAGTCTTTATATTATTGAGTAAAAGCCTGCTGGAACAATGACCTCTCCTTTTTAATTTTACAAAGCGTTATATAAAGCCTGAAGATAACACGGCATAAAAAATGAACATATTAAAATGAAATCTTATATATTATACTTATTAAATGCCAGATGGCATGTGTTCTCTAGGCACTGGCAAAAGGAAAAATAGATACATTAAAAGCATTATAAGATGTGCAAAAACAAATATACAAACATTAAACAATTATAAAATGCTGCTAAAGCCGATTATCAAGCAGCAAACAAGAGAATAGCGACACATAAAAAAACTAAAGGAATGCAGAATTAAATTAAGAAATTTAAAACAATTGATGTTAAAAACCTTAAAATGTATGCGAGATCAGAAAGGATTTTGCCTGGTACTAAATAACATTAATTAGGTGCCAGGCAGGGCATTCCATAGTCGTGACTTCGTAAAGGGTGCAGTATGCCAAGCACTCGCCTTCAAATTTCATTCATTTCAGCAGCTGTACAGAAGCATCCTTCGAACCTTTGCATAGTATCTGCAGATTTGTGGTAAACTTTGCTGTGCTAAGATTACATTCCTGGACTAAGATTATATTCGCTATGTGTTCTAACATTCATCTTCAGTCTCAGCAGGCCAGTATTGTATTTTTAAGAAGCTCTTGTCAGTTCAAAGAAAGGAACAGATGTAGATGTAGGGCTAGTTTTGGTGAAATGTTCATAAAATAATGGAGTGCAGTGTTGTGCTATTCCTAAGTGTTGTCCTTAACTCATAAGCACCTATATTTCAAGAACTAAAAAATACAGACATGAAATACAAAAATAGGGTACGCAGCAGGATAGCAAATCTTAAGGACACTAAGAATCCTAATCTAAGGAAAAATGTTTTATGTGGGAATATACCTCCTGACAGGTTTGCTAAAATGACAGCAGAGGTAAGTAGCTCATTCTTTGATTTTCATGGTTAAGATTTGAGTGTAATTCCATTCAACTAAAAGCTGGATATTTTGGAAACAAAATACTTTGATGTACTAAAAATGTTAGCAGCAAACAGTGCTGTTTGAATACAAAACCTTAGCTATACAGTCTGCATGTTGGGACTGAGTAGGCAAAGGAACGTTGTCTTTTATGTGTGGCTTATCTTCCGGAAAGCATTAATGTAAAAGTATGTTTTTAGTTCTGTCCAAATGGGTTAAATCCTCCCTGAAGTAGTAAGATCCACTAGCAACTACCTGTGTGCTGTCTGGATTCACCTTAAATCTGTCCCCCCAATCCACCCTCCAACAGCAGCTAAGCACTTGCTCAGACGTACCATGTCTCTTTATGGATTCTTTTAAAGATGAAGAATGAGGTTGGATGCCATCTGCATAACAATGGCACCATTTCAAAATTATACACTATCAGTCCTAGCAACTGCATATTGGTGCCCCCAAAACATGGGAGCCAAAATGGAATCTTGTGATCTTGGCAACATATAGAATAATTCTCATGGAGCTGAGCACTCCAGATGGGGCACAGGGAGCCAAAATTGCCTCCCTCCTTTCTTATGGCAGATTCCTTCCATCAGCAGACAGACACTGTTGGATACCACACACTACACAATAAGTAACCTTTAATTTGTATTTGAAAGTTGTAAGTACAATAAAAATATTTTAAAGCCTATTTCATCATCTCTCTGTGTACCCTTACCACAGGAGATGGCAAGTGATGAACTGAAAGAGATGAGAAAAAATCTTACCAAAGAAGCCATAAGAGAGCATCAAATGGCTAAAACAGGAGGAACTCCGACCGATCTCTTTACATGTGGCAAATGTAAAAAGAAGAATTGTACTTACACCCAGGTATGGCAACATTTAGCCTTCATAAACTTACCACATTCACCATCAACAGGACTTGCTTATGAAAGATTCCATATCTGAGCAGTGAAAGATGTGCCGATTGTGGTTAGACAGTGGAGGCTGTGTGTGTACTTGGGTAAATAACAACATGAGTGTATGATGGTCAAAGTTTGAATGGACTTGAGAGCATCCATTTATTTTTTTTGGAGTAACAGCAGTAAATCTAAATATTTTGGTTGTAGCCATAAATATATATGTGTTTACAGGTGGTACTTTACAAATTATTATTTTTTTAGATCTTATTGAAATAGTTAAATAGTAGAAGCAGCTAAGGCTCCTCATAATCTGCTGTCAGGGTTTTTTTTGTTGTTTTTTGTTTTTGTAGAAATGTGTGACTCAGAGTGTCTGTTTTCTGATGATTCAGTTTTACTGGAACTTGTTTACTTAATTTATTAAGTATAAATGGTCAAGATATTATGGATATGTGGAGCTGCCTGGGCCTTGGAGTATGAAGTGCTGTTCACATTAAAATGGAATATGAATAGTAGAATTCTTGGGGCTAGTTTGTGGGTGGGTAGCTGAATACATCAAGTAGCTGAGGGAAGTAGAAATCAGTCAAGGTAAGCAAGAGGGTATTATTTTAGGTAGAGACGCTCACTGTGTATTAGTTGCTCGCTATGCGTTAGGCCTTTTCATCTTCCCCTTACCACATCAACCTCCTTTGCTGTCAAAAGCTGCTTGAAAATTGTTGGTCCCTCTAAAACAAGAATAGGACATATTGTGCAGATGTTGTTGGGCTGCACTTCCTTTCAGCTCTCACCATTGGCCAGACTTCCATAATTTTTTGCATCAATTTTTTGTTGAGTGCATCTCCGGGGGTGAGGTCAAACCACGGCATTAACAGCACCAAAGTGACCTCTCCGGGGCACAAGCTTGGGCAGTGTATATGGAGGTCCTGGGCTGTCCAGACAAGAAGACACCTCTTGCGGCCTCACTGATCTGGTCCAAAGGAAGGCAGAGCAATACGTTTGGCACCAGCTTGGCTGCAGGAGTTACCGGAAGGAGGCATACTGGGTGCCATCCAACCATCTTAGAGACTCTACTCTAGATTTGTGTAGGGTTTACTCCTTAGCCCTTTCTTCTCTTGAAGATATTGCATGAGGCAGTGGAGGTTTAGGATCAGAATTTTCCTTCTCCTAGATGGGCTACCTTTCCAGGATGATAGCACATACCGAAACCATCTTCTCGACCATTGGACCCACTATTGGTCTCCTCTGCTCAATCTGCTGGAGCCTGTCTTGCATGCAGGGGAAATCCCGAACTCACCAAGGGTTTGAGACCCATTGGCTACCCTCACCTGGTTTAGCCGGCCAGTCAAAGCCATTCCCGAGATGTGGCTACTGTTGCATGCTGGCAGCTTTTAGGGGCCAAAGGTGAGAGCTGAGTGCAGGGTGGGGACCAAAGGTGGAGAAAGTGATTCTTTTAGAGACGCTTAGTATTTCTGATATTAAATTTTAGGAGTGGAGTTTATATATTCTGTAAAAACCCTCCTTGTCCTACTACCACCACAGCAATCCCTCAGATATATGCTGATGATGTGCAAGCACAGCCAGTTGGACTGACACAGCACCCAAGGCTAGAGATGTAAAATTTCTGGAAATTTTGAAGCCATGGGGGGGGGGAACGTTTCCCCCCGTTTTTTTTCCTGGAAAAAATAGAAATTTTTAGAAAAATTGGAAAAAAGTTCAGTGTGGAGTAGTTTTACAAACTGCGTGAAATGCAGTGTATATAAAAGTATTATGCTTGCAATAAAACAGGTAACCACCCCCCTTTTCCTCAAAAGCAACAACAACAACAAAAAGCAAGAAACCACCAACATGAAAAATAATCACATTTCCCTCTTAGCACTAACAGCAAATAAAGTTAAGGTCCACCTCAGTATTTACGTAAGCTCCATAGAAGGTCTAGCCTTTGAGTAGTGCTTAAAAAAAAGAAAAGAAACAGAAAATACAACATATACATGCAGATTATTCTACTTCATTTTCTGAACTACTGCTATCGTTTTCCATTTTTTCTTCCTCTTTTTGTCATTTTTCTCATGGACTTCTAAAAAACAGCTTGGGGAAGAAAAGGAAAAAAACCCTGTCCCGTCCCCCCCCCAATTTTTCCAGGTTTTTCCCAGGCCTTCCCATCTCTACTTGAGGACAGCCGAGGCAAAACATAGGGCAATTTTTTTGCATGCAAGACCCAGAAGTAACCAGCATCCAGTTACTGAATAGTATGTTGCACTGAGGCTCAAACTGTTTGAAAGGAAAAGGAGTGTGTGTGTGTTTTTAATTGAATTTGTTATTATATATTATAAACTGCTTGATGGTAAAAGAGCTTCTAAACAGTTTACAGAAATATACAACAGAACATTAAAATGATTGATAAAACACAGTTAAAAGCAGGTATTTAAGAGTATTCAAACGATGATGAAAGTCAGCAGTGGTTAAAAGGAAGTAAATCGCATGCAGCTTCTATGTGTTCAGATGGGCTGGCCCTAACAAAAATGTTCTGAGCAGTTGCCGGAAAGAGTATAGTGAGAACACCTGCCTGGTGTCAGTTGGCAGGGAGCTACAAAGTGTGAGGGCTGGAAGGCCTGGAAGAAAAACAGTAAAGTGGGGAGTGGGGGAGATAGGTTTTTTCCCCAAAGCCGTTTTTTTCAGGAAAAATGGGGGGGGGGGAGTGCGTGGAATATTCAAACTATAGCAAACTATTTTGTTCATTTTTTTTCCGGAAAAAAACAGCTTTGGAAAAAAACGGAAAAAAATGGTGTGTCCCCCCCCAATTTTTCCAGGTTTTTTTTCAGGCCTTCCCATCACTACCCAAGGCTGGGGTATACTATAGCATACCGTTTTTGCTTCTTGTTCTTTCAGTGGCCCTTTAGCTCCTTACTCTTTCTCCACCCACATTGGGGCAAATAAGATGTGTCACTCAAAAGGAGCTTCTGCAAGAAAACAGTGCCATCTGCTTCCAGCTATCAAAAGATGAATAGAGGGTGGGAAATTATATATTAGGGCACTGAGTAGAAGAAGAGAATGACAAATGGAGTGGGTGAGAAAAGAGACGGGCAAAGAAGTTGAAGAGGGAGATTGTCCCTCTATTCCACCCTCTTAGTCTTTACTCACAGGTAAATATTGGGTTAAAAATGAGAATTGGACTGTGGTCTTAATGCACATACAGAAAGTAAGCCGTATTGAACATAGTGAGTCTTGTTTCCAAATAAATAAGCAGAAGCAGTAATGCATAAACAAATTGTGTAGCATAATATTAGTCAGTTTATGCTTGGAGTTCTTTTCTCCCCTTTTAGGTTCAAACTCGAAGTGCTGATGAACCTATGACAACATTTGTTGTGTGTAATGAATGTGGAAACAGATGGAAGGTAAAAAAAAGTCTTGTTTTGTTTATGTAACAATTTCTGTTATATTACCTGATTTTTGAAAGAACTGTATTTGTCTCATTCTGGGTATGTGTCTTTATTTATGAGCTAACAGTGTTGCAGCCTAGATGTAAAAAGAGAGAGGCTTGAGATGCCAATCCATTGCCCAGTCATATTGTCTCAGTGGCATCACTGGCCTCTCTTGGAAAAGGGATGCTGAAATCTGTAATAAAATGGCCACCAGGTGGGGTAGGACTGTAGAAGGGGGCCTATATTAACCCAGAAATCATCCCATGCCCTTTGCAACATTGAATTGCTTATATTATTATTATTATAATAATAATAATAATAATAATAATAAAAATACAGAATCAAACATTAAAAACTTCCGCCTACCTCTGCTTGAGAGGTAAAGAGGCACTCAGGTAGAGAGAACAGCAGAAAGCTAGAAATGACAGCCTGATCTTATACAGGTTTACTGAGAAGTCCCATTGGTTTCAATAGGACTTACTCTCAAGTTTGTTCACTCAGAAGTAAGTTGCACTGCTTTGGTGGGATTTCATATGGATTGGGAAGGAATGTACACATACCATGTTTTATGCTTTCACCCCACCCCCCTGTATTTTTTACTAGCTTAACTTTTCAAGTGAGAAGTGACACACGCACCATTTGAACATCAGCACAATCTGTAGGGTTTTTTTTCACATATAACACCCTAGCAATTAGGGTTTTCATGTACTTTCTGCTGATCAGTGTTGACACTTTGGGGGTGGAAATGGGTGAATGAAAGTTCTGCTACTATGCTTGTTAAGAATGTGAACAAAATGTAGGATCTTGATATGCTTTCTCTCACTGGTCATATTATATGCATATAACTCATAAATATTTCTTTTATTTTGACAGTTCTGCTAGAAGAAGAAATTCTTGAAATCTGGACCAGTATGAAAGAGGATTTTATAATTAGCTTTAAGAACTAGGTCAAGCATCTAGATTCCTGCAAAAGTTTTTCGCTTTCCTTTTCCTTTCATGCAGACATCTCTGAAGTTAAATTTTGGATTTTGACACAGCCATCCTGTAGTTAATAGTCTGTAGAGCCAGGAAGCTCAATTGTATGGTGTAATTTCGATACCATCCCCCCCACCCCATTTTTATAAGCAAGTCTACATTAAACTTTTATCAATGACATTTGGGTAACTGCTTTTTTCTTAACTTCGTGAACAAAGAGTTGTATATCTCTGCATTTGGCATATCCAGCTGATTTTTTTTTCCTTGTAGAATAAAATTCATATTTAATAGTACATTCCTTTTTAACCATTTTGGTGTGTTAGATCAAATAGTTTTGCTTTATACTCTCATAATAAACTATAATTTGTGTGGGTGACTAGACTGCATAAAACATTTTTTCAGTGGCCCTCAATTCTTCATTTAAAAATCTGATTATTTGTAACACACACATACCTCTTATTAGATAATCAAACTTTTTATGTTTTTGAAACTTGCATTGCTCTATCCAGTTTAATGTGCAGTCTTGAAGCATGTGCTTTATTATATTGTATTTAGTTCTAGAGAAATTCCTTAATGGTTGATTTGAACTTACTGTTTAGTTTCATTTTTATATTCTATAAATGAACAAAGATGCTCTGTAGTATGCTGCCTACCTGAAGATGTAAAGCTAATCTTTACAAATTTATAGTGGTATTAGTTCTTGTGAACTCTTAATGACCAGCTCTTTTTACATGTAGAGTTGCTGATTTCTTAGACCTGAGGTCAAAAATAAAACTATGGTTTTTCACCACCTGTTTGGGTGGCATTTTGTTAGAATATTTCTCTGACTGTTAGGGAAATACTGAAAAGCAAAGTTCTTACAATCATTTATATTTTGGTATAGTATACAAATCTATTAGAACGTGAGTTTTACTAAACATGGCTTCAGAAGATAAAAAACTGACATGGAATGGATAACTGAATATTTTTCATTTTCATATTCACAATAAGAGCAACATGACAAACTTTGACTTCATTTACTGCAGAATTCATTTTTTGGGTACTATTCCATGTTGCCATGTTGACTGAAGAGAATAGGATACTCAAGTAATCAAAAGTAACATTTCTCAGTAGCATAACTCATTAACTTGCTCATTTGACATATGTTTATTATATACATGGTGCTAATTTCTGTCTCATCATTTTTATAGCACTTAAAGTCTTAATTCTAAATATTAGCACACTCTCCTCAGATTGTTAATTTTATTTTGGTGACTCTTTTTTGATGCCAAATTATAACTGTGCTTTAAACATTTATTAAATCTAATTTTGAGTTAGAATTCTAATTGTTCATACAAGTAACCTATATTGATCCATGTGAGAAATTGCATGTGTAGCTTTTTTAGCAGCATCTCTAATAGCTGAAAAGACTCATCTGACTGTTCATCACAAAAAACTATTTCTCTTCAGCTCAACTGCTGGAGAAACTTGAAGATCTTTCTTAATAGACTGGCTACTAGGTTAAAGATTAGGAACATTCATGGTGGGTAAGGGACAAGCTCCATGTTCAAAGATAGTATACCTCTGATAAACATTATTGGTTTGTCCCCAGTATCTGATTATCTTTGTTATGTCCTGTGTGGTGTGTGTGTGTGTGTGTGTGTGTGTGTGTGTGTGTGTGTCTGTCAGTACTTAAGCATATACTTGTTTGGTCTGATTCAGTCCCTGTATGTCTATGCCTGCAATGCAGAGACTAGATGATCCTCAGGGTCCCTTCCAACTCTATAATTCTATGATTTACTAAAGAAATTCATGTAGTTTATGTTCATAAAGCTCCAACTGTATGCCATTGTTTCCTGTCTTGCTTCCTGGGCCTACAGTTATTTAAAGATCAGCTGGCTTTGGACAGCAGTGTATATCTCAATTATGCAGTATGTCTCAATGAGAATCTGAAAATCCATTTATATTTAAATTCCATTCTGTAGGTACAAATGAAGCTTTTACAAGGGTCTAATTGGTAAAAATGGATCTTCTCAATTAGATACTTTGAAACAAGAGCTCCCAAAATTTCGTAGAAATAGCTTTGTTCCATGCATACTAAACACAGGTATAAAAATGTGGATAAACCGCATTAGCTACAAAATCTTGTTTGAAGCGACCCAGGTCAGTGTTTAAATACAGCTTGCATAATACCATTACTAGTGTTGGTGATTTGAATAAAATGTACCCAAATGTGTTGGTTTGCAAATAAAAACAAATGCTAAAATGTGAATGCTATTACACTATTAATGTGAAGATTTCATTTGTAGTGACAGAATATACTAATTCAAGTAATAAAGAGGAGGATGGGATGCCAAATGTTGTAAACATGAGTAAACTTGCTGATATCTATAAAACATATTGATCCATAACTAAGGTTTCTAGCAGACTGGGAAACAGTGGGAAGCTTAATCAAGCTGCAAAAATTGTGTCCTAAATTTCCTCCGTTGGAGCTTTTTCTTCTTGGAACTTGAGATGTTTTGATATACAGTACAATAATAACAATTTTAAAGCATTTTGTAAACCATGGTGCTCTCTAGAGATTTATTTAGCTGCTTTGTAGTTTTTGCTAATGAAGCAAAAAAATTAAAGGGCAGTGAATGTAAGCACCTGAGGTCAGGATCAATTGACTGTCCTAGTTGGAGGTGTCCATACAATTTTAATATTGTATAATGAAAAGAATAGGTGTATAAATGTTCTGTTGAAGTTATTGGTATATATAAAGGGCAGACCTCTAACTGATAATGTCAAGGGACTAGAATGCTGCAAGTTGCTAATGGGTGTCCTGCTGCTTGATAAATACCAAGCCTGAAGTAGTAATGGCTTTCATCCCCCAAACCCTGGGGTATATTGATTCTGTGACAGTAGGTTTGACTTATTGTGATGGTAAATATGAATCTGGCTGCAAAATATTGTGTTAAAAACTCTTAAATAGACTTCGCTACCACATTTCTTTGGATGCTTATCATGATGATTGTATTCTTTGCTTGAAGGCTACTTTCCTTAGCTTGCAGTTATTTGTTTCTTATATTTATATTCTTTCTCTTATCTGAGGAGCTCAAAGTGGTTCTCCCCCTTCCCATTTTATCCTCGCAAGAACCCAGTGAAATAGACTAGACTGAGAGACAATGACTGGCCCAAGGACACACAGTGAGCTTCATGGCAGTGTGGGAAATTGAATCCTGGGCTTCTGGATCCTAGTACAACACTTCATGATACTGGATCTCACACTTGCTTTCTCTTGCTGCTGGGATCCCATGTGCAAGGCTTCTGCAGTGCACAGTGGGTCCCCATTCTCTAAAACTTGTTTAATGGGCTTACACTTACATGACTCTTTCATATAACTGTTGCAGTATACTTAGTACCATATATTGCTTAACCTTGCACCAGTCATTTGAGAGTTTAATGTTTTTGCTTTGCAGATGGGAAGCTGAAACTAAGAATGGCTTCCTAAGATCACAAATGATGGCTGAATAAAAATAAGAACTCTGATTCAAGTATATTAGGACATTTTTGTTTATTTGTCTAGCTTCTGAATATTCAGTGCCATAGTAACTTCTTGGTTAGGGTCTGTTGATGTGAACTGAATTGGATCCAAGCAGTTAGGTTCCACATACCCAGCATGTGTGGGAAACAATTGTACCACAAGCTTTCATTATGCATGACAAGCCACTTTTTGAAGATGCAAATGTCATTATAAGTTGTTAAAAAATAAATTGGAATGTGCAATCAATTGAGCATAGTTAGAGAAGTGAAACCAGTTTAGCTTTCTTTATATCACATACAGTTCAATCCTATGCATGTCTGTTCAGACTGTAACTTGTGTCTATAAGGAATATGAAATTTTAACTTAGAAACACTAGCTAAACTTTTAATTCCAGCAGGCTTTCCTGGTGCAGCAAAACAAAAATACTATCCAGTATTTTGTTGGACAAGTTCTTCATGGTTTTTGTAAAATCACCAAGATTTGTAGCATTGTAGGGAGGAAAGATGTTTGCATTAATTTTAGAAATCAGCTCTTTTCTGCAGCCATGAAAACTGGTGCAGCAAAACAAGAAACCTGAACTCCAGATTGTGTGTGCAGTACTCCTGAGCACACATTTCCCTTTGGATTCTAACCCAATTTATTATTTTTAGTGTATGGCGCTTAATATAATTAATATGTTTTAAATATAAAGTGTAAAATCAGTCAAGGATGTTATGAGGATCTGCTCTGAATGAGAAATGAGGAACGTAAAAAATATGTGCCTGCTTAGCATTCATTTGCAATTCTTGCAGAATAAGCTTTCAGACTAAATGAATTAATGATGTATTTCTGATGTATTTCTATTAAATGTATCTAGTCACCGAGTCCTCAGTATTAAAGGGGGAAAACACCAGAATAGTGCAGTCTATCTGGCATGCTTAAAAGTTTTGCATTAGTAGAGAGGAGAGGCACATTTATTTTTATACCTGAAAGAATGGGGTACAACAGTGTCTGTGGGAGGGCAAGATAATGTACTTCTGGCTTGTGCTCGGTATGCCTCTTCAGTAGATCTTTGTCTAATTCAGTTTCTGACATAAACTACCTTCCCCCGTCTTTTGGCAAGCTTTTTGGATATGCTTTATTCCTTCAATATGTTACTTCTTAGCATGAGACTCGCCCACTGCTATTGAACTTGCTAAGACATGGAAAGAAAGATAATGCAGTATGGATGTAATGTTAACATAGCTTGGTATTCATATGCATTCATATGCATCAGTCATATAGTGATGTAGGGTTGCTCTATATTTAATCTCACATTGGGCTTTTATCTTGACTCTTACCATATATTCAGATTTCATAGGTGATCTTGAAGTTAAACCAAGTTCACTTGCTTAAGTATGTTGTCTTGGAAACTGGTTCAGTTCAGTGTGGTTTGTTCCCAGATATATAGCATTGCACCTATAGTTAATTATACCAGATTTGGTTAAAATTTCTATTATTCAGCAAAGATTTGAGTGAATCTTTTATAGAACCATTTCTTAGGTGCTCCAGTGCATTTGCAATGCTTTCCCTAGAATAAGGATGATTAATTTTACCTGAGTTGCTGCAACTAGTTCTGTCTGAGAGGCAACTCTAGACTTTTATTTAGAAAAACGTATAAACCACTTAATCAGAATGTTTAAGTGGTGTATATAAAACAATAAATCTGTCATAAATCAACAATACAAGTATTGCATTTATCTCATCTATTTTATATGATCTAGTGCAGGGCTGGGGAACCTGTGGCCTTCCAGATGTCGATGGACTACATCTGTCATCCCTGACAGTTGACCGTGCTGGGTGAGGCTGATGAGAACTGGAGTTCAACAACACTTGGAGAATAATGGATTCTCTACCCCAGATCTAGGATTCCAGTGGCCAAGTAGTGAATTGAGGGTGGGTGGAAATGAACCTGGACTTGTCTTGAATTGCAAAGTGCAATACTGCTGTGGTATTTATGGCTTGAGTCAAGTGGTTGTAACTGTCATTATTTATGGAGTAAGGTGTTGGAACTTCTGCTCACGGGTGAAGTGTTTCTAACAATATATACTTTGTTCCAGCTTGCCTCCCTTGATACTGTGTGATGACACAGCTCGTTGTTACTTTTTAAAAAAATGGGATTAACATGGCAAATGCATGCTGCATTGAACAATCAAGTAAATTAGTGTATATGCATATTTTTCTCCCAGTGGAGAGGAGTCTTAGTTAATGCTTTTGTTTTGCAGTGCCCAGATGGGAATGCTGATGAAAGGCTAGAAGAAGAAAGTAACAAGTATCTTCCAGCCTGGATTATATTTTAGAATAATCTTTTTGTAGTCCCTGTCCTTTCACTTTAAGGATGCAACACGATATAACAGCAGGTGATCCGTGATCCTTCTTAAAATGATACTATCCGTGGAGGAGAGGAGGTTAAGCCTCTTCATCCATGCTGTTTTCCAAGTAACACCCCCCTGCAAAAATTGAGCAAAGCATACTATTACTTCTTTATGAAAAATAAAACCCTTGGGTAATGCTGTCACTCATTTTCTGTCACGTTAACATTCAACTTTAAACAGGTTTTGCTGAACAGATCATTGCAATGTTTTAAAAGATGGCTTTAAAATATTTTTCATTATCTACAAAAAAGTTTGGGCATTTTTATTTACATTTTATTTTTTAAAAAAGAAGTCTGTAGTTATGTTAGCATACAACGCTTAAGCAGAACAGTGTCCTGAAGTACTAAGCCAACATGTCCACTCAAATATTAACCTTCATTTGAAGCAGATTTGGGACTCAAATATTGAACTTGTGGGTTCTGGAATTTATGAAGAACTGTGCTTTAAAATGCACACACTGTGTTACATTCACCAGCAATCAGATTAAGTGCAACACTTAACTGAACCCTGTGACCTCTCTTGCATATTAACTGCTGCTTGGATGGAAGTATGAGAAATAACTGGATTTAAAATGGAAAGTGGTCTCCTACAAAGTGTGTACATCACAGATAGTTTCCACAATTAATATACATTTTTCAAACCTCGAACTATGCATCTTGAAAACTTAATTTCTAAATTATTTGCCTGTTCAAATGAGAATAGGACCGTATACAGTGTTGCAGCTCTGCTGGTGCAAAGGACTTCTGTGAGTATGACAGAACTGTCTCTGCCCCCTGTGAAACCTGGAAAATCAGCTGTGGGTGGTGGGGTGCATAAAGGAGGAGCAAAAATGGATGTCCCATTGTTCCACTGGCACAATTACAACCCCGAAATACTTCTACAACCCTAAGTATTTGATCTCAGTAACTGTTGAAAGTGACCATAATAGATTCATCTGTTAATTGGTTAAGATGAAGCTGTTCCAATCCAATTGGTGGACATCCCCTAATACATACATATCATAGCTGCGACATGAATACAGATGTTGGCGACAAATTGTGTAATGAAAACAGCTGACATGCATTTTGTGCTTTATTTAAAGTAGTAAATGCCCAACGCCTTTTCCTCTTCTAAATAAATTCTTTAATTTTTCCAGAAACATTAACAATGCAACTTCTAAAATTCATTCCATAGATACTAATAGTAAAATAACACTTTATAGGTGATAGCATTCTGACCAGTGCTTTCCAGTCCTTTATATGTTAAATGTTCGTACTTCTATTTGGCTTATTGACCTCAAATATGCTGCTTATGTCCAAGAAAGGTTGACATTCGGCTCCCATTGAAATTGGAGGCAAAATTCCAAATGATGTTAATGGAAGAGGAGTGTTCTCTTTATGCCTGAATTCCAGGAATGTGTTCTAAGGCCGAACTCCATGCCAGTGAAGAGAGGGTGAGAGCGATGGGGAATATGACCATTGAAGAAACACACTTCCAAAAGCTTATTTGAACATGCAGTACTTATCTCATGGTTATTTCAGTATTAGACCATGTACTTTATGATCCCTTGAGTGCACAGCTTTCATCTCTGCAAAGTGTTCAGAGACAGAATAGCATTAAGGTGAACCTACACACCAATTTCCCTGATCCCAGTGGTGCAGCACTTTGATATGATTCTTGGGGAAAGGCGCAACAACTACTCTTCCTCCACTTCCTAATTAAATTTATTATTTTATTCCTAATTAGTTGTAAGAAATTTTTAAAGCTTTTACCAATAGATTTTCTTTTGTATCTTATATATGCTGCTCCTTTTTGAAGACTTTTTTTTTTTATATCTCCATATCCCATTATCATAGCTTACTGTAACTCTTATCCAAAACTGCAAATAGCTTGGGGTTCTGGAAACCTTCCATCTTAGAACACCTTTTTGACACTGTATTAATATACGCAATATGTCTTGAGTTATTTTTGGGTAATAAACTCAATAATTCTAATTTCCATGTTGACGGACAGTATGGTAGCCCCAACTTTCCCTTGTTTATTTAGATGACTGGGTGTGAAATATATTAAAACTCTACGACTCAGCGGATTTTTGAGAGAGAGACTCAACTAAGTCCCTATATATGGCAGAGTTCATAAACCGAGGGTAAGAGTCTCTGAGCATTAACATATAAATCTGGAGTTGTGCTTCATCAAAGCTATGTTCCGATGGTTCCAGCATATTCCGGTTGATAAGTTCCCTTACTCTGGAATCCAGGCTGACCTGTAAATAAAGAAAACAGCTGTTAAGAGCAGTTGTTAATCTTCTCTCTTGAAAATTGTGGGAAAGAGTTAATGTGACCGTAGTGGAACTGAAACCTATGTAGGCATTCTGTTACAGAACTAAGGAAAGTAAAAATAATGATAAAAATAGGCCTTTTCCGCTGTGTTTTTATTGTCTCACAGCAGATTGACCTAATGATTAGCATGTACACTAATGACCTAATGATAAACACACTAAAATTATTTGCAGATGAAGGAGAAACATTTAACTTGTGCAGAATGACAGGATGGATTTAAAGTAGGCTTGCACCATAATAATAAATAATAAAATAATTTATATGCTGGGTTGCCCCAGCCACTCTGGGTGGCTCCCAACAAAAAACAGTAAAAACACAATACAACACCACACTAAAAACTTCCCTGAACAAGACTGCCTTCAGATGTTTAAGTATAACCTATTGGCTATATATAGGCACCTATCAGAGACTAGAAGAGCCTCCTACCCACAGTCAGACACCCTCGTATGTTCAAAGTGCTTCAGCCAGACTAATTTTGGAATGCCAGACTAATTATATTCCTTGGCAGTTTAAGATTTTAGACCTACAACTCGCAAAGTTTCAAATGTCACATTTTACCCCTCACTATAATTTTGCTCCTTTCATCTCAGAAGACCACCTTTTGTCCCTAAAAGAGCCCCCCAAAATTTTCAGCAAACTGAAAAACTTGTTATAAAATGAGAATAGAACAGTTTTTTAAAAACCCCCCCACACTGCACTAGTTACATACCTGAATGGAAACATCTTGAAACATCAAATAGATCTTTCATTTTAGATTGTTGGCTTAGTCCTTTTGAAATCAGGTAAACTACAAAATAGTGTGAAAAGGGTTACAAACCTCTTTGGGAGAAAGAATGGAAATATAATCTTCATATATTAGTCTTGCTTTCTCTTGAATGATAGCCTTGTTGGATTCCTGCTTTAGATCTTCGCAGGCCAACCAGAAAAGCATATTTTCTTCGCTGAATTCTGTCCGAAGGAACTCCCTGAAAGCGTTTCTACCTGCTGGCGTTCTCATCAATTTGTCAAAGGACTGGCTCCAGGCACTCACTTCTTCAAGAGTTGGAGTTGAGCTGTAATACGAATGAAAAATAGAGACCGGGCATTACCAAGTTAACAGTACAAGAGGAGAACTTTAGTGGGTGATAATTTTGTAGAAATCAGGAGATTAAATGCATGTTATGGCATGCTGCAATACCAGCCTTACTGAGTGCTGAGCAGAAAATATTGCTGTTGCCCTACAGCTAACTGAAAATCCAAGAAAGTGGAGGAACAACAATTTCACCACTCGGCTAAAGATGCAGACGGCTGACTTGCCAATTAAAAATATACCGTGTGGCAAGTTACTATTTGAGTAGATGACTTGCTAAATTCATCTTACGCATGCCAGCAGCAGTGTTAATTACTGGACAGAACAATGCCATAGACTGCTACAGGTGTGCCTCACCTCTTGTGTGTGGGCTGAATAATGAGGCAAATTGGGGTGATTTGGGAGGGTCTTTCCTCACCCTGAGTTAAATGTCAATAATCCCTCAGGAGCAGATCAGAGTGCCCACAAAATCTCATATCACTCTGTACAAGTTACGGCTCTTATGTGTCCCTATATAACATCTCTTACGTGATCTTCTATAATATCTATGTTTCTCTATGTCCAGGAGCTTTTCAAGAAGTGAGGCTATCCAAAATGCTGCCTGAAGAGCACTGAGGAGCTCTGGATTGTTTTCTGTTAAAACAGGGTTTTTTCTGTTAGAATACACTTTTAAGGAATAAGCATTATTTTAAGTTTTTAAAAACGCTTACGTTGTCCTGCTTAAACAACATAAATGACAACCGAGAGCTCTTCGCCTATTGGAGACCTATAAAAGCTTTTAAAGCCTATTGGAGAACACAAATAACATCCAGAAAGATGCTGGAGTGAAGCTGCAAAGTGTTGAAAGATGTACTAATAGGAAGACAAATCATTCAGCCACCACTTAATTAAGGTAAGGTAATAGACAAGCCCCTGTTCTCCACATAAGGGATTATGGAGGAAAACTAATCCCTTTTACTTCCCCATACAAGTCTCCTGGACCTTTTCTGCAAATTGGTGCATTTGAACTACTCTGGCAAGGCTCCAGTGCCTGAAAATTTTTATCTACTTTCCATGTTCCATCAAAACATGGAAAAGTTATCATTTTTATTCTACCCATTATAATAAATGGGGAAACAGAGGGCTGTCTCCAAATAAATCTTGTTCACAGTAGACTCTGTTTCTGATTGAAAAGAATTGAAAAGAATGGGCATAAGTTAGACATTTCCATTAATTTCAGAGGGTTTACTTGGAGTATGACTGACATTGGATACAGCCCAGAACGTTGTTTTAAACAGAGCAGCTCAGAACTCAAATTACAGAGTTACTTGCAAACAGATAAGGTTCCCTAAAACTGCAGATATAAGGCATACATTGCGACTTGTGCACATCCCTATAACCTGTCATGTATTTCCAGGGCATATATCTGCCATGTTTTAAATTGTTAGGAAATATGACAATGGCGACTGACTTCTCTTAAGATTTTATGGAAAAATAAAGGGGAAGATAAAAAAAAAAGATGCTAGAATTAGCCTTCCCTGTTTCTGCAAATAGGCAAATGATCATCAGAGTTGCATGGACATGCGTTCTATGCAAGTAGCTATGTGTGTGGCAGCCACCTCCAGTTGTAGCAGTCTAAGGCTGCATACATATCAGGCATTTCCATCACCACCACCCCAAGTATCCTGGGAACTGTAGTTTATCCCTTACAGAGCTTCCCAGCACCCTTAAGAAATTGCAGTTCCCAGGACTGTTTCATGTGTGTGCATGCACACGCTTTAAATGCATGTTGTTTATGCAGCCTAGATGGATAGGCACAAGCGTAGAAACAAAAATTAGTCTTCTGTGCTGATTTGTTACCCAGCTAGTTCTTACCTTTCTTCACAGTTTGGAATAGCGTCTGTTCTGAGTTCGTGTGATGCTGCTCTTTCATCTTGATTCCTAACAGTGAGACTGCAAGGCAACAAGCATAGTTTAATCAAGTTGAAATAAAGAAGTTTGCTGAAGCTTTGAATTTGTTCCTCTAGTTATCAAACCTGATCATATGTTCAAAGACGTTCGTCCCAGTACAGTGGTACCTTGGTTTACAATCATAATCCGTTCCGGAGGTCCGTTTGTAAACCAAAACAGGTTGTAACCCAATGGGGCGCCCAAAAATTTTTTGTTCATAATCCAAAAAAAATGGGTTGTAATCCAAAAAAAGGTTGCAAACCAGGACACACACTTCTGGGTTTGCCATGTTTGTAATCCAAAACGTATGTAAACCAAGACGTATGCAAACCATGGTACCACTGCATAAGAACAATGCACTCCTACACCAAAATATTTCTCTTGAATTGTGTATATTCAATAGGACATTTCACAGCAGAATTTAGCTCTATGACCTTGTCTGCCTTATCTGGAAAATGTGGGGAAAGAAAAGCTTTTCTGGTGCATGCAGCTGCTTCTCAGAAAACATATAGTATGAAATAGTGTACCAAGTGTGGTACACTAACCTAAAAATGTTTAGCACACCTGAAAACACCTAATGCCACAATTGCTTCCTGCCTTGTGTCTTCTTTCTTGTGATTTTAAAAACAGAACAAAACCCCAACTATACACACACACACACACACACACTTGATTTTACAAGTATAAAATTATAACAATACAGCCATATACATACACATTTAAAGATTCCTCTGAATCTCTGGACTTCCCACCTTCCCCTCTGTGGGTCCTATTATTAACCTTTTCTACTGCATCTTTTTCAGTAACCCATATTTTATATAACCCCATTATCTCCATAGTACCTGCTACATTACAAGTGTTATTGCATATACTCCTTTTTAAAAAAATAATAATCTGCTGAATGGTGAACCATTGGCTGCCCTGCTGCCTTTTGTTTGATTGCATTTAATTGCATTGTTACATTGTTTGTCTAAACATTATATATAAAAGACATCCTGGGAATGGAAATACTGAAGGGTGGGATACAAATGAAAGAAAATTGTTCAACAAGACTATCTGTACCGCCACTAACAAAGCTTATCTGGACAAAAATAAATTCTATGCAAAACAGGGTAGGAGACCATGTTCCTTCTCTGCTTTTTTTTTTTTTTTTTTTTTTTTGTATTTCTCATGCTTCTCAAAAAGACAGCTGTGGCCTTTTAATTTTAAGCCACCTAAGAGAGACCATTCACCATAATTGCTTGGCTAAAAGTATAATTGATCCTGAATTGCTGATGAAAAGATGGAGCATAAGTTTTGACTTCAGCCAACAAAAGCCCATCTGGTGACTGTTCTTTCTCCTCAGTTTCTCTAAAATGGTTAATTCCAACCCCACAAGAGCTTTCAGTATTGGAGATTTTGTAACTTGGGGTACTATTTCTGTTCCTATTCATATTTTTCTTTTTCTTTCCAGCCCATTCAGGTTATTTGAGGAAATCCTTTCTATAAACAAGGATTATAAATAGAGCCTTGAATTGCCGTTTTTCACATTTCTCCTAACTTGAAAACAGTAATTTTGAAGAAGTATATAATTTTGATGGTAGAACGAGGTTTTTTACTTGGGCAGGATGCTATTAAGTGCAAGTAATATTTTTAAGAGTCATGAATATAAATTAATTTAAAACCTCCAACAGAGCAACTTTTTTTTTATTACTTTCATTATATATTTTTCAATGGGATTAAAAAGAAAATGGAATAAAATGACTGTGAACTTTATATCCAAGCTAAAGACAGTGAGATGAAAGTATGCCTGTTGTGCAAAAACCCATTGTGCTTTTATTTCCCTCTGTAATAGTTGAAATAACTGCACATGAAGAAATCCTGTTGCCAGCCATGCTCAGTAACAATATTTGAAAGGTGATACTCTAATATTGCAGAAGTGGTTACACTAGAAAATATTTTCAGCAGTAAGCTCTTGAAGTGAGCAACTATTTCCCAGGGGGTCGGGTGCAGCCAGCTTTTATCAGCCAAGGGTGGACTGGAGTGAAGCCTGGTCTGGTCTGCTCTCAAGCCCCTCTACTTACCCTGGCCAAATTGGCCAGGGTTCAAACAACTGGGTGGTGGGAAAACCCGCCAATCAGAGTGGCCAGCCCAGGGATTTTTCACTGCCTGCCCCAGCATTGCTCCCTGGGAATCTGAACTGACGGGCAGCAACCGCTGCCCATCCCTTGACAGGGTAAGCAGCCATTTCTCACCTGCATCTGTCCAAGTTAGTTTCATGTTTCTGTAGCAATCCCACCCAATATGGATGACCCCTTTATGCATGCTTGAAAGAGTATTTGATATGTATGTTTTGTAGTCAGGACAAAAGGAGTAACTTTCCAGATTGACTGTATTTGAATACTGCTTTTCCTTCAAATGAACCCAAAGCAGCTTGTAAACAACAAATAGCAATAACATAATTATTTTATATTTATGCTGTATTTGTGATGTTCTATTAACAGATCCTCAATAATGTAATCTATAAAATGCTATTAACAAAGCAGCAACTAAAGTGAGATGAGCGCCGCAACCCCACAGTTGTCCGCGACTGGACCTAACGGTCAGAGTTCCCTTTAACTTTACCTTAAACTAAGCTAAGCTAAGCACATTCTCCACACACCCATGACTCATAATCTTTCACCCTATTCAGTTCATTAAAATAAACATTTTGATTGAGAGATACTTGATGCTATACTGACAGAAGTGTGGTAGTGTATGGTCATCCTTTTTATTGTGCATTCATGATTTGTGTTTGTGATGAGATCAGGGTAGTTATATATACAGTCAAACCTTGGATCCCAAACGCCTCTGTTTTGGAATGTTTCGGCTCCTGAACGCTGAAAACATGGAAGTAAATGCTCTGGTTTTCAAACGTTTTTCGGAAGCCGAACATCCAACGTGGCTTCTGCTTGAGTGCAGGAAGCTTCTGCAACAAATTGGAAGCCGTGCCTTGGTTGTCAAACATTACAGAAGCTGAACGGGCTTCTGGAACAGATTACGTTTGACAATCGAGGTTTGACTGTACATACATAATTGTTGTTTCTCTACCACCAGGCCTTGGGCTGATTAAACATTCTAATATCTTTCTAAATGAGTTTGTGGGAGGGGAGGTTATTGGTCTGTTTTTGTTTTGTTATGTATTTTGTGTTCTCATTTTGTATTTTTATGTTGTGAACTGCCCTGTGATCTTTGGAAAAGGGCAGTATATAAATTTAACAAATAAATAAATGAATGAATAATAAGTGATCCTGTTTGTACCTGCAGAAGTTCTGGGGCAGATGTACTGCTTTATTTGCAATTGGTGAATGTTCCATAGCTTCCTGCTGAAAACCTATAGTTTTTTATACAACAAATGTTCTGGCTTATTTTATGTCCTGCTTTTGTTGTGCTATAGTGCAGGAGTGTCCCTCTAGATGTCAATAATGCAACTGGGGAAGCATAGCAGAACAATGAATAAAGTGAAATGACGTGTGGATTGATCTGGTATAAATCCACCACATATACACTATTATTGCATTAATGACATGTTGTAGAGTGCACCCATGCACAAAAACTAGCCAGGGGAGGGGCAAAGTACACCATTCAGTTCTAGCTATCCATCTGTTTCTCAAATAAAAATCCTTAATGTGGGCATGACCTTGGGTTATAGGCTACAGGTTGCTTACTGAAAGCAGCAACAAAAACATTTAAAATCAGAACTCAATAAGGTGATTCTGAAGTGACCCCTATACACCAGTTTGCAAATTCTGTGCTGCCCTGATTGCTTGCAATGGGGAACTGGATTATATAGACCAAGTGCTCTGGAGAAAATCATTATGTTCCATGCTGAATCTTGTCAGGATAAGTCCCAGATATGTCAGCATATGCATTTTAAAGATCCCTGCTAAAAATATGCTGTTCAGAAGCTTTCCTTTTGAAGATTATATGTGCTACTTTGTTCCTTTTCTCTTTGTTGCAGTGTCTAGGTTTAGTAGATAGCACACAGGATATCTAAACTAGCTGTAGAGTGAGGTGGTATCCTCAGTGCTATTTTTCTAGAAAAAGAGGTGCTGGAACTCGCCCTGAACACTTCCCTTGTTCTCTTGTAATGGCAATGGTGCCCACCTGAGAGGTGCTGGAACCGAGTTCTAGCTGAAAAAAAGCCCTGCACATCTTCAAATTATCAGCATTCTCTCAGTTTCTCTGGAATGGTGACTGGGTATCCACTCTTCTGTTTCTTTCAGCAATAGCTGTTTCATACTACTTTTCTCTCACCAGAAGTATGTGGTCCATTGAAGTTAGAGCCTCTGGGTATGGCCCTCTGAAATGCTTCCTTCCTTAAATAATGGAATCCACACATTGCTGATTATTATGAAGAGCTGTCCCCCATTAGCCATTGATCCATCTAGCCCTGCTACGTGAGATTTTCTGGAGATACCTGGGACTTAATATATGTGAAGCATTTGTTCTGCTGATAAGCTGCACCCCTTCCTAGACTATCCTTTCCCAAACTGGTCCCTGGCCGATATCGATAGATTTCAACTTACATCAGCCTCAGCTGGTGTGGTCAATGGTAAGGAGTGATGGGTATTGGAGCCCAACGCATCTGACTGGGCTCAGCTGTTCTAGAATCATAAGAGTTGGAAGGGACCCTGAGAATCATCTAGTTCAACCCCCTGCAATGCAGGAATATGCAGCTGTCCCATACGGGAATCGAACCTGCAACCTCGGCGTTACCAGCACCACACTTTAACCAACTGAGCTATTCAGGCTAAACATGTTCCTGCATTGACTTGAAGCTGAGAAACACATAAGGTCTGAAAGTCTCCAGCTCTGCTTGGCATCTTTATGTATTTCCAGAAGATTTAAAGAACTGGAAGGAATGTTGTTTGGTGTTTTCATCTATGGAAAAGTAGGCAACAGCTGCATCACCTTTCCTCCGCCCCTTGTAAAACTCATCTGATTACTCAAGGGCATACATGGTGTCATCTTTTCCCCTTCTCCCCCCAAGAGGTTTGAATATGGTTTAAAGGCATACCAGGAGCAGCTGCAACAACAGCACCAACAGAAGCAGCAGGCGTTGGATCCACGGTTTTCAATCCCTGGCTGTGGCTGTACAGAGCTCGGTGTCTCCTGGGTCACAGATGCTTGCCTTTTGCGCATCTCCATCCGCTCGGATCCCATGGGCTGCATGAGGAAAAAACAGGAAGGAGGTTAGACTCTGTGGAAAAAGCCCAGGCATCAGGTTTACTGCTTCACTCGTATTCTTGGCACCCAGTGGCTTTCCTAATTGTTGCTAATAGGTGAAGTGGCCTGTGGAGCAGTCAGAAGAAACTGCTTCCTTAATTCACGGTCCTAATCAGATGAGGAATTCTGGGCCGGTAATGTCTTTAAACCCACCATGACGGTTTGTCATTGATTTTTAATTTGCCAAGTGTTTTACGGTCTTCGTTTCATCCATAGAGCAATGCAACAGAGTTTATGAGAGAGCAGGGGAAGTGGGAAAGATTCCCAAGGCCCCACTCAGCAAAATGAGCAGGAGGGACCCCCACGCCACCACGAGAGCAACAGGGCTGGTTCGCCATCTTTCAAAGTTTGGTTTTCTACTCGGCCCTGTGGCAGGCGCAGGTAATACACATCACTATCTAAATTGGGGTCAGCAAACTTTTTCACCAGGGGGCTGGTCCACTGTCCCTCAGACCTTGTGGGGGGCCAGACTATATTTTGAAAAATATAAATACCCTGCAAGCCAGTCCCGCAGCTGCCTCTGGACCTGGAGAAGGAACAAACTCTGCACACACTCAGGAGCACGTCTTGGCACCACCCGCTCACCTGCATTGTTGATGAGCAGCAGCCGCTCCATCGGCCCGTCCCCATGGAGCTCCCATGTGGCGTGAACCACATGCTGTAGCCCATTGTCTGAGGCCAGGTTGGTGGGCAGGCCGTGCATGAGGAGCACCGGGCAGGTGGCGCACAGCTCGCCCTCCAGCTGCTCCAGTGCAGCCACTGAATGTGCCACCAGCAGCAGCGCCGAGCTGGGCACCAGGCATGGGGCAAGCAGGCGTGCCAAGGTGCGGCTGAAGCCCCACGACGCGCCTGTCACAATGCCCATGATGCGGCCCAGACCACAGGCCCACCTGCCAGCCTCTCAATCTATGGCCTCGTTGAGTTTACCTCAGCATGTGGGCAGCGAGGCTTCGGATTGGCTGCAGGAACTTCCTGCAGCCAATCCAAAGCCGCGCTAACGTCGCGGAAGTCAGTCCCTAGGTGGTGAGGCATCTGCAACTTCTTTTCAAGGAAACACCGTGCCACGCCAGTTTAGCTCAGCATGGGGACTGACCAAGCGGGTGGCAGGGTCCTTGGGCTGGATTTATGAGCCTGGTGGGCTGCATCCGGCCCCTGGACTGTAGTTTGCCGACCCCCGATTGAAATGTTGACCATTTAAGTCTAAAATGACCTCATTGCAACACTGCCCAGGCTGCCCTTCTCAGGGGGCTCAGACACCTTTCTGAAAGTCTTCATCCTGCCTCCGCTACCCCAAAAGTTGAGCTGGGCAACAGAGAAAAGGTCACAGCGAGAATGATTCTTGTTTTAGAGAGCTTGAGGCAGAAGCAACAACAGGTGCCTCCTCATCTCAGGCTGCCACGTCTATCTAGCCAGCATTGCCCATTATGATTAGCAGTAGCTCCCCAGAGTCTCAGCCGGAGGTGTTTCCCATTGGCAGCTACCCAATCCTTTCAAGGGGAGATGCTAGAGATTGAATCTGGGGTCTTTGGTATTCAACACATGCACTATCCCTATTCTTTTATCTGTAGCAGCACATGAGAATACAGCACAATCCTAAACATGTCTACACAGAAGAGCACCGAACCAGTGCTTTTGCCTGGCTGGAATGTGTCCTTGAACTCTGATAACTCTTGGTTCCCTTGGTTGAAGGATAAAGAAGTGTGGGTGACCATGTGTAGAAACTAGCCTGCTGTACAAAGGTAAACTTTGCATTCGTTGCTCTGCCTACTTTTGCTTCTGGCCTTGTCTGCCACTTGCACGCGCCCAGATGGCCTTCAGTTGGCAAAAAGTTTTCCCATCCCTGTTTCCCATCCCATGTTTATTATACATACAGCCTTTTCAAATGGTCACAGGGATTATTTTGAGTTTAGGTAATCGTTCTCACCCTCTGACCTCACTCTCCTGCATTCTCCCCTTCCCACTGCCAACCGCATGTACCTCTGCTTGCTGATTTAGGATGACACTTCATGCATATAGTGAAGTGGAGTATAATCCACAAAAGTTTACACCACAATGAATTTGTTTGGTCTTTAAGCCACCGCAAGAATTATCACTACAACACATTTAACAGGATTCCCCTGCTGGATATGCTTATAAGACGTGATCTATACATCAGAAGATGCCATACGAAAGTGGAGAATAGCACTTAACAACAAACCTGCCCATTCTTATGCAGCAACTCAGGACCCTGCACACTTACTATAGTTAGTATATCAGTGTAATTGGAACACTGTGGTGTAGCTGACAGTGAGTTGGACTTGGATTGGGGAGACCCAGGTTCAAAACTCTGTTCAGTCAACCAGCAAGCTCCTGGAAGACCTTGGGCCTGTCACTGTCTCTCAACCTGCTTCTATGATTAAATAAATGAGCTTAGCAAACAGTCCTGTGAAATGAAAACAATGAGGATTCTGTTAGAGATTTGTTGCCCGTCTTGCAAAAGCATTTTTATAGACCACTGTCCAATCAGGTGTTAATTGTGGAAAAAATAACCTGAAATGTCAAAAAGGGAAAGAGAAGAAAATCAATTTGATCTCAAACAAAGGCCCACATTTCTCTGTTGGTTCTCTCCTTGTTCCATGTTAGCCCCTTTGTCGAGAGAGGGTTCTGTGAATGGCGCATACGCAGAGCCGGCTGAAGCTGAAAAGGGCTGTGTGTGTTCAAGACTGACAAGATGATTGGCCTGGCCTTTATTTTCAATTGTACTTTGGCTCTCGCAGCAAACGAGAGCTATAATAAAGCAGATGGTATATTGTTCGATGTGGCTTTATTCCTGCTTACTTTTGTTCCTAAATTAAGCAGGAACTGGTCTTGCATACATATTCAGGGAGCACAGGTTTTTGGAGGAAATGGAGGGGTAATACTGTTCGGGTCATGCGTCTCTTTTGTGTCCTAAATAAATGAAGTTTGCATACCTTCCTTGCTATTGTTGCTGTGGTTCAGGCTGAGGTTTCCTTTCTGTATCTGACAAAGGCACACTTTAAATAACTGTACTGCAAGGGGAAATTCAGTAGCTGCAACTCATGATCAGCCTGCACAGCAGAAGACCGTTGCTTATGAAATTTCATTTTCATTTCACTTTTAATTTGTATACTGCCTTTCTATATTGCTATACACAAGGCGGTTTACAAGCTGTAGAAAGAACAAAATATACAGTTCAACAAAAACCATACTGGACCCTGCTTAGCTTGACAAATATGCTAGCAGCAAAGTCATGAAAAACTAGGACTTTAAAATAGACAACTTACATCAAATAGAGCGATATTCAACACTCCATGTATTATGCAATAAAACTAACTTTCAAATGGCAAGCTAGAACACATATCCAAAGCATAATCACATTTAACTAGCCATAAATCAGGGATGGGGAACCTCTGGTGTAATAAACAAACAAACAAATAATATTTATACCCCGCCCATTTGGCTGGGTTACCCCAGCCACTCTGGATGGCTTCCAAATGTTGTACTACAATCCCCATCATCCCTGACCATTGACCACAGGAGCTGGAGTCCAACAATGTCTGGAGGGCCACAGATTCCCCACCCCTGCCAAAGATACAATTTTCTGTTTCACACTTCATTTCAGCTAGATGCTGGTTTGAGACACTAGAATCTTGTCCTGAATCCATATATTTGTGGATATTGACTCCTGCATCCCCTTTGAATGAGAACACATCCCTCGTTGTCTTTCTGGGCCCCTGTTGCTCCCTAACTTACCTTCAAGCAAATGTACAGAAAAGTAGACAGAAGTATACCGGTTGGCAGAGATGGGCAAATGAGTGGAAATGAAGGAGAAAACAAAAGCAAAGCCAGAAGAAGCACAGCTCAGCAGAGAGATTTGGGGTTGGTCACATTGTGCAGCTTGCCAATCTCTCCACAGGCAAGGCATCCTGTTAGAAGCAGAATTTTGCAGAGATCACTTTACCTCATGAGCTTTACCTCCCTTGCTTGATCAAGATGTCAGACCATTTAAAAATAAGAAGAACCTATGATAATGTGTGTATTAACAAATGGTTAACTCACTGAGAAGTTAGGAGCGCTTCTTTGTTTCTGAAGCTCTTGTTTATTACACTCACAAACATCATGTTTCCTTTTATTCCCTAAAGCCAAATCAGCAAATCACAAAGGCAGATGCTTACACTGGAAAAATTGGTCTAATTTAATTGCCAGCACTTGTGACTACTTGTTAATTAAAAGGAAGGATGTGCTTAATTGGCTGCACTGGCTGCCAGTTCGTTTCTGGGCTGAACTCAAGGTGATAACCTTAGTGTTCAAAGCCCCAAATATCTGAAAGACTGCCTCCTTCCCTCCAGATGCTGCTAGATGTTAAGATCAGCATGGGGGGAGAGGGGACTCTTGGAAGTTCCACCTCCCTCAGAAGTTTGGAAGTGGGGGTGGCCTGGGAGAAGATATTCTCTGGGGCAGCCCCTAGGTTGTACATTTCCCTCCCCACAGAGGAGTGTCTGGCTTCTTCATGATATTGCACAGCTTTTAGTGAATGCCGAAGAACACCTGAGTTGTGGGTTTTTGGGATCCACCTTATTCCTGTGATTCTAAAATGCTTTAACTGCTTTTAGTTTTAAATTTCAAATTGCTGTAACTTGTCTTGGGTCCTTGCTGGTCAATTTGAGGATGAATTTGCTAGATTAAGATCTGTGTGCATCATTTGCTTCCTCTGAATCCATAAGGTTGAGGCAGACTTTGAAGGTCCTCAGTGGCACCCTGTGCAAGGCGAAAATTTGGCAGCCCTGCCTCCTGCCTCCCATTCTGCTCACACAATGCTGCTGACCAGAGCATAGATTAGAGTAGCCAAGTTAAGACACTGGTATTACCAGTGAATGGAATTACCAAGACTGAGGCTCCCTTCTGCAGCTGCTCCTACTGTCCAGATACAAGGAAGCTGACTGCACGATGCACAAAGGAACACTATTTATTCATTTTTATCTATGTATGTCATTTACTTTTTACCACTTTTCATCAAAATTCATCCCAAGGCAGGGTTTTTTTTATTTAAAAAGTAAAAATATAGTGAACTAAAACAATACACACAATTAATAAAGCAGCAGCTAAAAGAACAAGCTTTAATAGCCTGGGTGAATGTTTAAAAGGTGTTTGCTGGGGTATAAAATGGGGGTGGGGATAACATGTCTTCCTTCAGTTCTTGTCGGACCCCAATTCCCATCAGCTCCAGCTCACATGTCAATGGTCAGGGGTAATAAGAGTCATAGTACAACAATATTCAGAGAGCTACAGGTTCCCCATCCACAATGAAAGCAACAGGCACGCCTTCTTGCTAAGTGTTGCCCAATCAGAGAGTCACAGCTGGAAAGGCTCAGCTGTGGTGGTCAGAAAAGGGCCTGACAACCTAAGGCCACTGGCAGGTTGACATGGGAGATGCTTCTTCTTAAGGGTACCTGTGTCCCAAGAGATTTAGATAGGGCGGGAGAAGCTGTGGACCTCCAGATATTGTCAGAGTCCATCAGCCTCAGCCAGCAAGGCCAATGGGCAGGGATGGTGGGAGGGCCACAAGTTCACACCCTTGATATAGGGTCTTAAAGATAAGTATTATTAGCATTCTGAATTAGGCTTTGAAGTGCACAGGAGGCTCAGGAAGTTCTTTCAAATCTGGCAAAGTGGGAGTTGAATGACTGGTCCCCACTAAAATCCTCACTGTTGTATTCTGCGCAAATTGTAGCTTCTGAATAATCTTTGAAGGTAGTTGCACACATCAGTGCTGTCAAGGAGACTGCCAGAACATAAATGACTGTGGTCAGTCTATTCCCTATCAAGGAATTTTGTGCAAAACTGAGTACCACAGACCAAGCAGTTGGAAACTGTGATTCATGGTGGAAGAGAAATCTTCAGTTCAGTACAAATATGGAAGCCTCATATTAAAAAGTTATAGAATACCAGAAACTAGGTTGCCTACGCCCAAGTATGATGTTTTTAGCTCTGAAAAGCTTTGTTCTTCTGCAGGCATTATAAGCATTGCTTTACATTTCAAAGGCAATGCTAGTCAGAACTGCAACACCCACCCACACAGTCACAACAAGAGGTACACTGCCCTATTCACTAATAAGCTCAAGCTTGCATTCGATTTATCCACGATCTATTTGACAGCAATCTGACAGCATGAAGAGGGTTTAAATGGGGACAATTATGTGTTCAAATGTAGGCTGCTTTGGAAAACTGGCTAATGTAGATACTAACTCCAAACCTCCAAGTTCTCAACTTTATTGGAACTATACATATATTTATATTTTTACTATTTGAAGGTCAGAATGCAAAATTAAAATGAAGTCCTAAGGTACATAGGCTACTTCTAGATGACCTGTTTATTGAGCATTTATGCTGATTTGTTTGCACAAAGTTTGCAGGGATGTTAGATGACATTGGCCAAGATTATCCTCAGTGGTCTGGGGTGCAGGCTTCAAACCCGTAGGTATTTATTGAGCATTCACTCTTTTTTGCTTGCAGGGAGTTTAAATGGCATTGCTTCAAGCAAGTGTTATCATACACTTCCCACTGTATTTTCTCCATCACTTTCCTTACAGTACAAAAAAAATCCAGTGCTGAAGGGGAAGTGGGCTTGTTGTGCAAGAGCAGCAAATCAGGTTTAATTGTGCAACCTGAATTTGCTCGTAGTTGATTGAATCACACCCAAACATGGCAGCAGCTTGACACACCTCTCTCTGTGTGTGTTTAAGGAACTCTAAATGCAGAAAAATCATTAGCTAGTTTGTCAGTCACTAAAATAGTTACATCTCAGTGTACTGCTTTAGTTAAACTCACTTTGAGTGGGTGGGTGTGGGCATGTGTGGGTATGATATATATATATATATTGCTGAATAGATTTATTTTGTGATTCTATGAGCCACTTGATAATTAACAAAATGGAGCTGAGCAGACAGCTGCTGAAGCCGACGTTCTCAACTGACTCCTGTCAAGGTCTAATTCAATGAGCATTCTGTTCCCCAGGCTTTCTTATGAATGGCCTCAACAAAGCCAATTTCACTGTAGTATGTTGTGATTCACACCAAGGAATCTGACAGCTCATAGTGGGTGCTGAAATCATGTGGCAGTGTATGAGCCATGACTCAGATTTTATTGTATTAAGTGCTGAAATCTGACTCTGATCAAATAGAAACTGACACTGTATTGGTCAGCATGGTGGTTTGCCTCAGGGTGACTCATCATGGAGTGCACAATCATCGATTCATATTCATTTGCCTTTTGAGTTGGACTCTTCTGTTGGAATCCTCATACTGCTATGCTAGGGTACGAGTCCACAGGTGAATCCTAAATTGCATGGGGGACCAGGTATCCTGTGTCCAATCCAGCTTGCCCAATGGCAAGGAGTGACTCCCCTAAACACAAAGGAGATGCTGATGTGCATTTGTTATGACATCAACCCCTGATTGGCTATTATGCAAAGGATGCTAGTGCCATATACACTAAGGTTACCAGACGTCCCCATTTCCCGGGGACAGTCCCCTGATTTATAAATCAGTCCCCATACAAAATCCATTGAAGTTGAAAAGTATCCCTGGATTCTTTGAAAAAAATCTGGTAACCTTAACATACGATCTCCACATTTGCTCTTGTCCCAGCTGCCATGAAGGTGCCAACTGCCTAAGCCTAAATGCCACATGGGGCAGAGCCAAGGAGAGAAAGCCCTAGGTCAGATCCAAAGGTCCCACAGACTGTATCTTGCACGTGGGCTGCCAGTTCCCCACCCATGGACTGCCCCCAATGATCATTTGAAGGCTTTTGTGGGGTCCCCAAAGCTGGCCAAGTGGAGCTTGAGGAGAAAGCCTGAAGGAAGTGTGTTTTGCAAAGTTGAGACATTTAAAAGAGCCAGTTACTGTCATAATAAAACAGAAAATAAGAAAGATGGCCAGGTAAGATAATCTCTGTTTATATGTTTTCAATAGCATGTTACAGTATGACAAAATAAAGCAACCTCTACAGTTCCACTAATATTATCCTGCTAGTGTTTTTTAATGCCGTGTTTTAAAATGAGTTTAGATTAAAACCAGCGGCACAATCCAAACTTTAGCTAGGACCACATTAGACATGAGATGGAAGATATTAACAGCAGCCGAGCAATTGTTCTTTGGATCCGGGTCATGGATCCAAGATACGGGTTCACCCTTTTCTTCTGCACCATTTCCCCAATCTGGATTTTCTGATTTGTGAGAACAGGATTCCTGCTGAACTAGATGGACCTTTGGCCTGATACGGCAGAGCTCTTCTTATATTCTTAGTGCCATCTTTGTTTGGGTTCTAAGCCTATTGATTTCAGCATGTTTATTTCTTTGGTTAAAATCAGTGTGTGTATGTGTGTGAATGTGTATGAATGATGACAAATTCATGGAGAATAAGGTTATCAATGGCTGCTCATCATGATGCATTAACAGATGGTGTGACATTGCTATCTCAGCTTCCCAACACTGCATCACTGACGCTTACTGAGAGGGGTTGGGACAAGGCGGGGGAGGGGGGCATCAGATTGTCTCCACCACTGTGCCCACACCATGCACAACTCTCAGCTGCCTTGCCCCTCCCCTTCGGTCACCTGCTTGTCATTTCTACCATGATGGCTATGTTCTACTTCCACTGTGTTATAATCAGAATAGACCCATCGAAATTAGTATACCTTAAAAGTTATATCCATTAATTTCAGTGGATCTGCCCTGAGTAGCACTGACACTGGATGCAATCTATTGCAAGTGCATTTTTCTGTGAATGATTTGGAAGCATAATGCTCCTGCTGTCATTATGAAGCTAAAGAAGCCTACTATATATATATATGAAGTTAATTTTAATCTGCCTCTAATCTGCCTTGGTTAGGATTTGCCCCAGGAGGTGGCATAAAAGGACTTTCAATAAATATCAGAAAAATCCATGTTTGGAAAATGTTTGTGTCTGAATATTTCCAACAGAGTGTATAATAGTACTTCAATGTGTGGTTGTAGCACATATTGCAGTAATATATAAAACGATTCCAATTACTATAAAAAACCTGCATCTTTCTAATATCCTCCAGCCTTCTATTAGGTAGGCAAGATTCCCCATAAAAAGATTTGTTCAGAACTTTTAAAACCATTTAGGCTCATCATCTTTTTTCTGCTATTTGGAAATTTTAACTCTCAAGGTTATTAAAAGGTTACCTGTTATTCCTATTTTTGTATTGGAACTATGATGATGTGTAGTGTAGTGACAACCCTTTAGGAGCAAGTTTATTCTACAATTTATTTTTTAATACAAGACTCCAAAAAGAAGAAAATCATTAGTGGGCCAGTAATATTCTTGGTGCAACTCACGTTCATAATTGTATTTGAATGAAATACTGTATTGTAGTTCAGCTGCTGGAACATCAACAATTTAGCTGCAGAATTGACTTTTTAAAAATACCCACTAGGCACTCTTTTCACTATGGCGTAATGGCCAGTTTCCCTGCAACGTGACACTGTATAATTCATGATTTACATCATAAAAAACAGCATAACCTCCAAAGTATTGGAGTGGGAATAGAAGAATGGAGCAGCTTTAAGACATGCTATGTTATATTACCAGCTTTTCAATTGTCGAGGTTCCACTGCAATAACTGGCCAACTGGTTGAGCTGTGCCCAAACCCCAGATTGTGCATGCACCAGTATATAGTCAGAAAACTTCTGACCTCCAAGCCTATTACATTCATACAACTAGAGAGACAACATAGAGCCACTTGGTGTTGGACTAGGACCAGGAGACCAGGGTTCAAATGCCCACTCAGCCATAAAACTCACTTGGACCAGTCACTATAATTCAGGCTAACCTTCCTCATAGGGTTGTTCTGAGGATGCAATGGAAAGGGGGAGAAGTGTGTGTGGCAACTTAAGCTCTTTGGAGAAAATGTGGGATATAAATGTGCATATGTATGTGATATATGTAGTATCAGCCATAGATTGTATTGTATGGTTAGTGGTTTGCATTTCACTCTGGCTTATGCTGTGTTGCATACTTCGGATATTATCTGCTAATACTGAAACTAATGAATGGGTTTTGACACTGTAGGCATGATCCAGAGCTAGCTGAATATATATATAAGTCCCATTAAGGTCAATGTTCTCAACTGAGGATCATGCCAACCCCAGGTTGGCCACTGAGGGCATAAGCTTGACAGAGATCTGCAGCCAGTCTTGCTTTCATGATGAATGTATTTGTATGATGCATAACATTTACAAACCTATGCTTTACATTTTAGATGTACACTTTAAAGACTTAGGCAGATACCCCTCATGGCCATGATTCATATGCAAACAAGGTGTTAATATAGGAATAGTCATGTGAGAATGTCAACATTCACCATTTAAGAGCCTAGATAATAGGGATGTGCAGTTAAATGAAATTATTCCTGCAATTATGAATCCACCCAGTGATTGATGTATGTGAGCCTGTCTATATGCATTACTCTGCTTAGCTTGGGGTTTTTGCGCTGCGCGTTTCTGGGTCCAAAATACTCCATATAAACTAATTTTAACAGGCAAGGAGGGGTCCCTGCGGCCTCTTTCCAAACGGCGCCCCCTGGCGTTCGGTTCCAAGGGACTTTGTCGGAAGAAGCGGGCAAAGATCTGGCTATGGGTTCGCTTACTGCTTGTCCTTTTGCTCCTTATCTTTAGAAAAGGGACAGTTAAGATCATGTGCTGGCGAAAACAAGCCTGCCATTCCCCCTTCAGCGAAAGCAAAGCCGAACAGGATGAAATTGACTCGGCACCAATCTAGACCGAAAGCCTTCCCGGAATGAAGCCGACAGGTAAGGCGGGAACCGGGGAGGAGGCAGTTTCCACGCGAGGGCGGAACTGCTACCAGCTGTGCAGGAAAGGCGGATGGAAAGGAAAAAAGAGACCTTCGCTTTCTCAACCTTTCACGCCCGGCTATGTGAATATACATGGACGTAACCAGGAGACTTTTCCAATCGCTTCCATTCCCAGCCCTTTTGCGCGTTCACGAGGATCGCCCGCAGACCTGACTCTCGCTCGGGCGGCTTCTCCTTTAGCCTTGAGGACAGGCTCTGTTGCAGGGCTGGATGGACGGAGAGCCCCTCGCTGACCTAGGCAGGATCCAGCCGAGTACTTGGTGTTTGGAGGACTCTGGGGTCACCGAACCTCCACCAGCCAAGCTCCCGTAGCGGGGATCCAGAGTGCCTTCTACCTGGCCAGGGATATGGATCCCTCTCCATCTACCCTTCCTCATAGTAGAGCTCACTCCTAAACCGCTTTCCCCGTTCCTCAGCACCAAGGATGACAGAGCACCTGTTGCCAATGGCCATGCCCAGCAGTGCTCCCCATCCCGCAGCTGCTTTCCAGTTTAGCCTACCCTCACCCCTCAGGAGGATATGCCGACACGAAGCCCCCTCTCCAACCCCCGAGACACTCCACTTGGCCTGCTTCTCTTCCCGGACGGACACCCCGTCGGAAATATTACTCCACCCTGGCACCCTCCCTCCCCAGAACGGATATCTTCCTCCGGGCAGAGCCTCCAGGTCCCAAGAACCTCAAACACCTGTGGCATGAGGCTGGGCGACTCACCTGTGAGCGCCTGACTGAAAAGCTCAGGAAGCCCACACCAGCCCAAGTGGTAGGCGAGGGAAGTCGCCCCTGCAAGCTTTACTTACCGGGGGCTCCTACCAGTGCACCAGAAACACACACACACACACCATTCAGGCAGCTGAGCCTGAGGCAGCTGAGCTCGCCCAGGCGAGCCTGAGCAGCTCCCCGTCCGGTCTCGGTGCAGAGTCCGAGGGGCTGCCGGGTACTTACAATTTCCCCTTCGATCTCCGGAGCCGGGTGCAAATCTTTGCATTGCTCACATCCGTTCGCAGCGGGCTCTTCAGCCGGGGACGGCAGCTCGCCCGCCATGCGCATGCGTCTCTCTGCTTCGTCTAGGAAGCCCGGGCTGCTGGAGCGTCCACACCCCGGCTCGGTCCCCAACTTCCTTTCTTCTCAGGCACCACAATGTCCAGGTGGCCGCCTACCCTCCACCCCAGCGCCTTTCTGTGGACGTGGAGGGGAAGACACGGACTGGAGGGGCCGGGAAACGGAGCCCGGGGACCCCAGAGAGAGACTGTCCTCGGCCAAGCAAGCGCCTGCTCGCCTCCGCTGGCGCGATTCAGCACCCTGGACAGCTCCCGGCCAAGCGCTCTCTGCAGCGCGCCGTCATTTTCCCGCCTCCCTCGCCGGCTCCCCCCTCTGCCCGCCCCCGGAGAAGCGCCCTGGCTGTTGAAAACACCACACACGGGCACGTGCCCGCGCGGATGCCAACCCAGGCAACGGACATCTGGAGCCACAAACATCTGCAGCAAACACATTGTGAAAACAGATGGGAGGGAGGGAGGGGAGGCGGGTAGTGAAGTGGGAGGCTCCGGCTTTGCTTCGGATCTCCCTCGGGGAGGAGAAATGGAGGGGTAAACAAGGTGTTTGTGCAGGAGAGATGAAAAGACAGAGGCATTCATTTTGCCTGTCACAGCCACCCGCTCCCCTCTGACATCCTGACCGCTTTATCAGACGATCTAAACGACGGAAGAACCCTCTTGGATACGGGCAGGGACGTCTCCTTTCACTAAACCTCACGAGGGCTTATTTTCCTCTGTTAAGCAGAAGAAATCAAATGCAATGTGGAAGAAATCGCGGCATAAATTGGATCTGGAGAAAAAGCCTCGCCTACCCACCCCTCTCCCCACAGCACGCTAGGTAGGCTTAAGTGCTAAACGGAACCCTTAAGAGCCTCTGTCAGGGAAACGCGCGGTTGCAAGGGAAAGTTCTGCCCCAGATTTGTTTGCGGAGGCGAGGCGAGCAAAAGCGCCTTGCGAAGAGGCTGGCATGGAAGCGATCAGGTGATGCAGTCTGCCAGGAGTCGGCTGCTGCTTCCAGGCACTGCCTTTCCTGCCTCTCTTTCCAGGGCTTCCTGGCTCGCGCTCGGAGAGGGCGAGAGAGCAGCGCTGTTCTCCCCGAAACTGAAATTGATTCGATGCATAAATAACCTGGGCGTCACTTCCTCCTGCTTCTCGGGAGCTTGAATCAGGGCTCCCTGGTTACCGGCAGAGGCGAGAGCGTTCATCAAGACAGCAGCGGCGACCACGACAGCTCGCATCCTGTTTGGATTGGCTCGGAAACCCGAGATTCCGAGGAGGAAAACAAGCGCCGCCGCCACCAGCTTCTCGTCCCCACCGCTTCCTAGTCTCACGCCTAGCTCAGAAGCCGCGCTGCCCTTCCAGCTCTGGAAGGTCTCAAAGCTGACCCCCACCTCCCTAAATCAGCTGCTGGGACTCGGGACTTATTTACAAGCACATTCCGGATCCGGGTGTCATGATGTCATTGTTGCTCCACTCCATACACTTTCACTCCATGCCCTGAAGTTGCAACAAACGAAAAAGTGCCTCTGAACATGCCTTTCCTCTGAGGAACACAGCCCCTGATACAAAACACGGGGGATAATTGGGAAGCCCTTCGTGGTAGAGGAAAGGGTTAAAGCCAAGCAAAAACTTTCCCCTATAACCAGGCCTTTGGCCTTTAACTATCTGTGTGGCGTTTTGGAAGTGGGCGGGATGCTTATACTGTATTTCTTTCTTTTCTTGGTTTCAGTCTATCTGTTTGGGTTTTTTTTCCTGTTCGTTTTGTTGTTTGTAGGTCGTTTTGTAAGCCAGAAGAAAAAGAAAGACTAACAGATAATAATAATAATAATAATAATAGAGCCTGGGCTCAGTCTCAGAACCTGGTTTACTTACGAGTCATGTGCAAAGCGGCTTTAGCTGCTCACTGAGGCTGGCTCCTGTATTTCCTCAGTGGGGTGCTGCAGCAAATGTTGGGCTCCTGACGCTTCCTCATACCATAATCGTAACCTTGATTCTAAGTCTACGCAAGCAGGCCCCACTTCTGGATCACCCCGTTTATTTGTTTATTATTCAATAATTATAGCAAATGGATTGTGTGAACATCTCTCAAACAAATGTACATACATAGTCCCAGTTCACATTTAAGGTTATATGTACGGTGAGCAAAGGCACATAATCACCTGTTTCCACATCTCAATGCGTGTACATGCAGCCTATGCTCTGAGACTATGTGTGATACTGACAGTCAATTGTTGCAGCCAGCTCCATGCTGCCAGCAGCCAGCTGAGGTCAGCGAGTGAATTCTAGACAGGCTTGAGCACCGTTGCCTTTCTGTTTTCGAAAACCAGCTATTAGTTCCTTCATCTTCTGGGGCTGTATACTTCTGAATGCAAATATGTTTGAGGACAAGCAAAAGTGAAGGCTAATGAATCAGAGTGTTTCGTTCCATATGTTCTTATGGGTAAGCTTTCCTATTTAGAAAAAAGTGTGTTGCACACAATCTCCTTAAAAAGAGGGGATTGGGATGTGGATGAGCTGGTCCTATTTCCCCCAGGGGGATCCTGTTCAAGCAAGTGGTACTCACATCACTGTGCTGTTTTGAGAAAATCTTGTGTGTCCTGAATGCTGCTTCTTTGCATTTAGAGCATCTCAGGGGCTCCGAGGAGCTGCAGCTGCGTAAGGCCAGCTCTGCCAAGAGGCCTCCTAGTAAGGCGTCGAGCGGACCCAGAGCTGCCGCTTCCCTCCGGAGCAGAGTCCCTGTTCGGAAGGGTGAGATGTTAGAGAAAGGGGCAGCTGGCAGGGATGGAAGGCATGAGTGGTAGGCTAAAGGTTGAAAGCGTGGCCTGGACAAGAGAGGGAAGCTGGGAAGGAGGACAGAGAGGGATTGGAGAATCTAGGGAGTTGGGTGAAAACATGGACAGAGCAGGGAAGGATAGAGAGAGAAATACAAAACAAAAATTACCAAGATGCCCAGCTAGCTTGATCCAAGTTGCTTGGCTTTAACCATACAAGCCTAACCATACCTACTCCCTGCAAAAATATGAGAGGCCCCATCAGTATTGGCATTCCACAGGCTCTTGAGGACACACCTGCTTAGGCCAGCATTCCCTGAACTTGAACTTTCTGATCTAATTGTTTTTAAACTGTTTTAAATATTATGCTTTACACTGGCATGTTTTACTGTTTATTTTAGTTACGGATATTTTTAATGTGCTGATGGAATTGTTTAACTGTGTATTTCAATTATGCATGGATTTTACAATTGATCTTATACTTGTAAACTGCTAAGAAGCCGTTTTGGCACGCAAGCAGTAAACATATGTCAGGATCCTCTTTCAGTTTAAGGAAGAGGGCCAGGTACTGGAATAAACTGTGTTTGTTTAAACAAGAATCATGTTAATATAAAGCATGATAATCCAGCATCAACACTTCTCCTGATCACTTCTAGGACACTTCTGCATCCTATCTTTTGCATCCCCTATTTCCAGATGTGGGCTTTAGAACTCAGTTGGAAATTTAGAAAAAGTCCTAAGGGAAAGAACGTACAAAATGGCCAACCTCTTGTATCAAAAATTATGTGACTTCATCTGCTGGCTGGCATCTGCTGGCATTGTTGCCCTCTGCTGGGCATATGTGTGGCTTGATCTGATGGTGCCCAGGCATGTGTGCTGGTTTGACTATATTTTACTGAAAACCACCCAAGGAGCTTCATGCTGATTCATCCAAGCTATGTTGACAGAATCTCCAATCCCAACTACAGTGCAAATGTATAGCCATAACCTCATGTTTAAAATATTTTTAAAAAACGGAACTTACATTCAATTGCTTCAGTTTCAGGATACCTAAAAGATCATCTCACCCCTTGTATACCCAGACAATCACTGTTCTCTGCAAGTGAGGGCCACCTACATATGCCATCTTATCAGGAGGTCTGCTCTCGAATCCCCACGATGCAGAAATTGGGCATTTAGTGTTGTGGCACCTATCCTCTGAAATTTCCTCCCCTCAAATATTAGACAGGTGTCATCTCTGTTGTCTTTTCATTGCTTACTGAAGACCTTCCTCTTTCAATAAGACTTTTTAGTCAAGATCTTTCCCAGTCTGCATCTGTATTGGAATTATTTTAAATATGTTTCAAATATATTTTACCACTGGTTGTTTGCCACCCTAGACTCCTTTGGGAGGACAGGAGGGCTATTAATAAATATAAAATAAAATAAAATAAAAACTATATTGATTACAATGGAGACAATGCCTGTTTTCTGCTGCCTACAACTTTAGAACTTTCCATCCAAATGTCGTTCATTTTTCAGGTATTGTACTACTCCCCTAAGTCATCAGACCTGCCACGTTTCAGGTCTGCCATGTTATCTTTATGTGATGGAGGTCCCCATGTTATAAGCAGCTAGAAACTTGCAGTATCTTCTTAGCTTCAATTTCCTTTCAGTGAACACTTATAATGTTGACATTGTCTATCTAAATGGCCTTAAATGTGCAGTCACCATGCTACTCCCCAAAGGCATAAAACCTCACAAGTTTCATATTGTTTTATGCTTTTATGTTTTATGATTGGAGTTTTCATTTCTTCTCATTTTTAAGAACACTCAAAGATTGCCTCTATAGACTGCATCCAGTGTGTATCAATTCACAGTGCTGCTTGGGGGCTTTTTGCAGATTTTTGAGCTAATTTACCTGTGCTTTAGTTGGACAGTTTTGATGTCTTGTCACTTTCAGAGCACACCAAGACCCCTTCTCCATCCTACAGATTGTTCCTGGATGCAACAGTATGCATCAGTTTGATAAGAAATGCATTGCAGCACCTCTTGTCAGTTTCAGGAACCAGTCCTATAAGACAGGGCTTCACAAACTTTCCCTCACCATGGTCCACTTGAAAACTGCTGGGGATATAAGTAACAGTACACAGACCACATGAATGAAACTCACAGACAACTGGTGGTCCATGGACCACAGCTTGGGAGCCCCTGCTATAAGAAAGAGATGGGAGAAATGAAGGAAAATGATTCTATCCATTTCTTACAGAAAAACAAATTGTAGCACAATCTGAACCCAAGATCCTCCAGGATGAGTGAATTTGGAGCACACAGACCTCTGGCTGGGCCAGCCAAGTCTGGGCTCAATGGGGCTATGCCAGTTAAGTCCTTCACGGCCATATATGTAGGGGGAAGTTCCCCATCCTTGGCTCAGCTGACTCTCAGCTGGTCCTCACCCTCCTTGAAAGAGGGTGTTCCCGTGCTATGGTGGAAGCAACCTTATAACCACAGGATCCAACGCTCCTTAATTCCAAGAGGTACCAAGATTGGGCACAGGGGCACCAACTCCTAGGAGCCCAGTTTGTTTGCCCCCCTCTATTTTTTGGGGGGTGGCTCCCCAGTGTTAAAAAAAGCAGGGGGCTATCCTGGAAAATGGCAGGACTGGGTATCTGGAATCCTGAACAGAAGCACTCCACACTGCTTTTCTTTTTTGGTTACTATCCCACTTTTGATTTCCAATTCCATGTTGCTTAATATGTCATGCATAACGCTTTTTGAAATATTATTCTGTTTCATAGAATTGTAGAGTTGGAAGAGTTTAAATGAAGCTTTAACACATGGCATGATAAAAGTCTGTAATTTTATCAGGACAAGTTACTTGTTTGTTTGTTTATTTTGTTGTAGCAATTGTTTTCTCAAAATTTATCTTCTGTACTACTATGAAAATAAATAAAAACAGTTAAAAATTGATAGGGTACCTTTTAACATTTTCAAGGCAATCAGAAATCTTCATGTTTGGGAAAGCTACATCTGTTGCCTATCTTGGAGATATTAATGGTAAATGAATCACTGTGAGCTTAAAAAAAATGTGGCTAACTCCAACCTTGATTGGTTGCCTGGCTCCTAAATTGTAAACCCTTTCACTAGGAAATAGGAGCTTATAATGGAACCTGGCTTTATTTGAAGCTGAGAATTGGCCATCTGATGAAGAGTTCTGTATTATAAGAGTCTTAATAATATTCCTCCATAAACAAGAGGAAATATGCATTTGCAGGTGATTGTGACAAAGAGCTTCCCCTTCTCTTTATTGTGCTTTTAAGGAGAATAAGAGGGTTCCATTATGGTTGCCATTCTAGGCACACTTAGGAGGAAGTAAACAGCACCGAAGAGAAGCAAAAAGGCATAGAAAAGGGCTGCATTTATACACTTAGGCTACAATGCTAAGCGCCAGGGGGATGGGGAACCAGAGGTGCTTGAACTGCCTTATCCAGCAACAATTTCCATCCCATTTAGAACTTAGAACCAAGGAAGCGGCCTTATACTGAGCCAGACCATTAGTCCATAGTGGTGGTTCACCAGCGGTCCCAGCCCTTCCTGGACATGCTGGACATTGAGCCTGGGGCCTTCTGCATGCAAAACAGATGCCACAACCCTTCCCCAAAGGGAGAGAATTTTATTATGTCAGATCCAAGGAGGGTGCAGTTTTCTCCCTCATTTGGAGGCAGATTGAGAGACTGGGAAGACCTTTGGATCCATGCCATGCTCTGGTACACATCAACCCACTCCCTGGTACCACTTTTGTGGCCCTACTATCTATGTTGGATTTCTGGCATCAGTAGGGCAAGAGCCACTGAGGTGGTGGGGAGGAGGCACCTGAAACCGAATCTCCATCTTTGAGGTCAGACCCTCTTTCTCTGCCATTGGGAGAGGAAATTGTCAGATATAGCTATGGAGTCACCTTCGCAACACAGGAGATGCTACAACCTACTTGGATGGTGATAGGGTTGCGGCAGGGCAGGGTGGCCCCAAGGGAAGGGCAACATGGACACCCCAGCAGTCAATCCAGCACTTCCACTGGTGTGCCGGTGCAGAACTGCCCTCCCTGCCCTCTCCAGGTAAGCTGTAGTGAGTCCTGTGTTGGGAAGGTAGCTCCATGGCTCTGATCCACCACTCTGGCTGCTACTGCTGTAGGCCATAGGGCTGTAGGGTTGCAAAGCTACTTTCTGGAGGCCCCAGCTTTCTGGTAGTTCAAGACAGCCCTCCAAAAGGTACCTCTTCACACAACACATAATGTATGGAATTTACTGCAAAAGGATGTCTGATGGCCACTTGCTTATGTGGCTTTAACAGGGATTAAACAAGTTCATGGGAGACAGAGCCATAGCTATGAGAACCTCTAGGTTCAGAACCAGTATGCTATGGAATAATAGCTACTAAGGAGCAAAAATGAGGCAAGGCTATTGTCTCCACACCTTGCAGACTTCCCAGAAGCACTTTGTTGGCCTCTGTAGAGAGCAGGGTGCTGGACCTTTGCTCTGATCCAGCCAAGCTCAAGTTTGTTGAAAAAATGAAGCAGTTATTTCTTATATTTATCTTTTTAATATCCCCTGTTTCCTATTTGCTTTTAACACACACACACACACATATAATGCCTCTGAGCATTATATAGGCCCCCAAAGCGCTTATTTTTAATCCGTGTTTCAAAAGTCCATATACTGCTAAGTGCAGCAGTTAACAACAATTCAGTAAGATTTACTCTCCTGTCCTTTCCTGCTCCTTATAACCTTTTGTGCTTAAGAAGAAGAAGAAGGTATAACACATCCAGTATATATAAAATGGGTATCAGGACAAAAAAGTACACCCTGAAAAAGAACCATACAAAAACATGGAAAACAAAATTGTTAACAAGCGAAACTATGATAAGGGTACCTACAACTAATACTGATGGCAGAGCAAAAATAGGGCGGGGGGAGTTTGAAGAACACAAGGTCCAAATAAGTTTAATAATTCTTCTAAATGAATAACCCACTTGGCTAGAACAAGGCGATCCATGGTGTGAGTGTTGATATAAGTTAAGAGTGAGAGTGAGTGTGTGTGAGAGAGAGAGAGAGAGAGAGGGAGAGAGAGAGGGAGAGAGAGAGATACCCATATGGTCACAAAATATTCTGGCATGGCAGAACCCTTGGTGCCTTTAAATTTATGAGTTAGCATCTTCAAGGAAACCGTCTTTTTATACCACATGCCCATTATAATGGTCAAGGAACCTTCCAGCCCTGGGTTGTAGTTAAATGGGCTGTGATCAGGAGGAACATAATCAAAGGTTTGATTAGTAGGGTGTTTTTGTCTCCTTCAAATATGGAGAGCAGACATAACTTTGGCTCTTTAACTGCCTGTTTACCAATTATGGATGTAATTTTCTCCATCCTTCAACCCCAGAAAACAGAAACAAAATGACAGCCCCAGAACATAAGCCGATAAGCACTCTTCTCTGGGCAGTCTCACGAACAGCAATTAGATCCTCAACCCAATATATGAGAAAGCCTGGGCAGTGTGTGAGACCACAGATGCACCACTTTGAGAGAGTTCTGCGTATTGGCAAAAGCTGAGAAGGGCTTGGTAGACCAGACCCCCCCTCCCCACTATAAAGCTGGGCCTAGTTTCCCCCAGGTCTTCCACCCACACCACCTTCAAACTGTCAAATGAGGGGAACTGGCTTCTCAAAAGCAATTGATAAAAAGCAGAAGCCAGCTTCTTATGAGTTTTAATGTCTACATGAACCCGCTGGGTGATGTCATTTGGGGATTTGGGTTTAAGTGTCACCAGTAGGTTGATGACACTCAACTCTCAACCTTTTAATATTAATCATCTAACCCTAGAGAAGCACTGGAAATTCTGAATGGATGTCTGGAAGACAAACAATTGAAGATTCTTCTGCTCTCGGTGGAGGTTTGCAACTAATTTTGATTGGGGTTGTATTCTCCCCTGATGTATCAAGTTCATTTGGGGGTTCCTGTACCTCATTTTGTCCCTGGATGGCCAGGTAATGTCAGTGGCCAGCTGTGACAATGAAGGCAGTTATTTGGAGAGGGCCTTATTGGCGATGATTCTGTAGATATCTACAAATATCTACAAATTCTCTCACGGGGCACGGATTGTGGTTCATCCACCAAACTAATTCCTCTTCGTGCTGTTAGGCAGGTGTTGAAACCCCTTTTATTAATTCCAGAAGACATTTTATAATTGAGCTCTACTGTCCTCATTTTATATCCTTTGGCTTTCATGCTTATGTGCTTTTAATCGGTTTCATTTATTTTGTTTTTTAAAACTATTTTTGCATTATCAGATTTGTCATTTTCTACTTATATAAGCCATTTTGTAGGTGGGGGAGTGTTTTTTTTTAAAAAGCAGGGCATCTTAAAAAAAATAAATAGAAGGTACCACTTGAAATTACAACCAGAATGAGGTTCTGTGTTTGCAATTCAATTATACCACTTCTAACCACAACAAAAACAACTTTTAGTTTGAATGAATTTCCTGGAAGCTGGAAAATATTCTGTTTACAGAACAGACAGAGCTATCATGTAGCTAATTACGACATTGTCTTATGCATTTTAATTTTCAGTTCATTCCCTCTGAAAGTACAGTTTAATGTGCATATGACTAATGCCTGTTTGGAGTTCATGTTGCTGAGGCATACCAGATTTTCACATGTCAGAAATTCCTTATTCATTTTAACTAAAAAGGAAAGAAGGAGAGAAACTCATCACTAACCTTAAGGAGAAATAGGGAAGGGAGAAATGAGTCTTTCTGGAACATCCTGTTGACTAAATGATGTTGTATTAAAGACTTAAAAGTATTGTTCCATTAATTTACTTTATAGCTGTTGAAACATCTACTGAAAAGTTTGTCTTGAAACTGAAATTAAGCATCACAAGGAATGCCAAGAACAGCATTTCTGGGAAAGGACTCATACCTTATGAGCTTAATGTATGTGCATTGAAGAAGTAGCTATTGCAATTCTGGCAGCTGGGATTTGCAGTGTAGAATGCCACAGTTCAGGGCTCCAGACAGCTGGCAACACCCCCCTCAGGATACTCCATTCCCTGTTCTTCTCCCTATTTACCGCTTTTTCCTCCTGTACAGTCAATTAACATTTCATGCCCACAGAGCATACTCAGTCCTCATTAGGCAGCAGCATTTTTGGACCTCGCATTGGTTCATTCCTCTAAACCATTTCTCTAATTCTTCACATCTTGGGGTTCCCACAAGCCTGTTAATAGCTTTTTCTTGAACATGGATAGTGTCATTCTGACCATATAAGAACAGGCATTTGCAAGATGAGGAAGTAGGGGGTAGCAGTGAGGAAGAGAGGTGCCCACTGTGGGCAACTTTCCCTTGGGCCCCCCAAAATCTTGAACTGGTAACTCAAGATAGTGTGCAGTAGAGATGCACTGTCCAATAGTTTGAATGTAACATGGCACATTTGCCAAAAAAAGTTGGCAAATCTTGAAATAAGGGAGGGCAGGGAACCTTCCCTGGCCAGTGGGCCAGATCTTTATCTCAAAACCTCTGTCGGGTCAAATTTGACAATCCCAATGGTTAGGACTTTGAAGACCCTTTTGCAAGCAGCGCTGTGCTGCTCTTTGAACATCCAGTTTTCAGGGCTTCAAAGAGCAGCATTGGGAGAGAGAAATGGTTTCCGCTGAAGGTGCTGATAAAATGGCATTTCCCCTTCATTTTAGCAGATGCTCTACCATTGAGCTATGGTTTCCCCCTTGAACCTGCCACTCCTTACAGCCCTAAAAACACCATGTGTGCAGCACATATCAATCTGGTCCTTTGGTCACACTGGTTGGGGTAAGATTTTTCCAAATCAATGTGAAATTTTGCATTACTGAATTAAAATCCTCCAGCAGGTGTCACTGTAGGCATAGTCAAAGTAAGCAGAATCATTATGACAAAGACTATAGCAGAAATGTTTCCTGTCCTGGAGCACTTTCATATGCAGGGTTTATACTGCCTTTGGGACTTCTCAAGTCATCTGTGTGAGCACCTGATCATATTCATAAGTGAAAGAGGATCAGAAGGGAGCAATTTGCAATACAAATCAGCATTCCAGCTAATGGAACATTTATACTCCAAACTGACTAGAGTAAGAACTGCTTTGAGCCTTACGCCTGAAAACACGAATAGTCCCCTCCCTGCTTTTGAGCACCTGTATTTCAAACATAAATACATTTACTTAGAACTAAGTCCCACAGATGCTGTATCAGTGCATACGGCAACAAGTTTTTTCTGTGTGCGCTTTCGTCAATGCACGGGCACTTTCAATTGTATTCCCCCAATATCTATCTTGATGCTTCTTGACCTGTCCAAACTAGTGGGCAGTACTTGATGGGACGTATTTCTGCAGTGTGTTGTTGTAGCGAAAGGGGAAGCTCTGGTGATTGGCTATAGTGTGCATTCTTATAGGGCAAAAATGAATCCCTATAAGAGAAGCACGAAGGAAACTTGATGATATGGCTAAACCCTAACTGCTGGTCACCTAAAATCAGGGCTTTTTTTTTTTTTTACAGCTAGAACTCAGTTCTGGCATCTCTCAGGTGGGTGCCATCGCTATTCTAAGAGAATGAGGGAGGTGTTCATGTTGAATTCCAGCACCTATTTTTCTAGAAAAAACAGTACTGCTTAAAATTAATCACAAGATTATATGGGTTTTATTTAGGGCAGCCACTTGCATATCACAAAAAGATGAGGCTACATATTTGCATAAATTTGTAGGTGCTACCTGACACGCATAGCTGCAGATTGAGAAATCATTGCTGAAATTTAACAATCCACTTCATCATTGGGGAGAAGACTGTGAGGGCTTGTCCACACTTCTGCTTGTCTGGTGCATAGAAAGCATGGGTCCAAGTAGTTTTCCTGTTGCCCCGGTCCTTTCCTGGGGAAAACTCGCTCTTTAGTGCTAAATCAGAGCAAATGTCAATCTGGAGAAAGTTTGAATTGCTGTTTGCTCCAATTGAGCACTAAAGAGCAGTTTTCCCCAAGGGAAAGCAGCAGGGATGAGAGGAAGTGTGGGTAAGCTCTGGGTGTGATCAGGTAACCTGTGTGCCTGCTCCATCTGCTTGCCCAGGTGCTAACTATTGAAAGGCAACTTCAAAGATTCTGCTCTCCCTGCTTATGGGCATTTTTTCTTAAACTGTGCAACTCTTCACATAGAAGATTGTTCTCTGACAGTCAGATAGAGCACTGTCTCTGTAAAACATTTGAGCACTCTGCTGAGGTCTCTGGGTGGAATGGCTGTAGGAGAGTCTGTTACAGCTGCCTCCTATATAGATTCTAATAACCCAGCAAGCAGATTAAAAGTTGAGTCTCAAAAAACACTGCTGGTATTCAGGCACATGGCTGACTCACATATTGATCTTTGTGCTGGGGAGGCAGCCAAGCTAATCCATACAAAATCCCTCAAGGAGCTTGATCTCAACCAAGACAGATGTTATTTGCTTCTTGCTTAGGGTCAAGCTCAAAGTGATATGCTAGGAAAGAACAGCTTGCTAATTGGACCATTGAAATCATTAGTGGTACTGTTTAAGGCCGTGAGCTGCCAGGAAGGAAAGGCAGCAGAAAGGAAAGTGGATGGTTCCGTGAAGCCTCATTAATTGCTTCCTTTAGGTCGGAACTTGCTCTATACAGTCTTCATGCTTAATAAACATGAAGCCCTCCCTCTGGGGTCACTAACCTCTGTGCAGAACTGAAGGTTAGTCTGAAGTTCCTCAGACCACAGATAATTATGTTAAACAATGGAGGAAGGTCACGATAGGTTTCTCAAGTTAGGTTTCTCTCATATTTGCTGATACTGGGACCTCTTCAAAATGGTGGAGAGGTACTACACATACTCTGGCCTCTGCCATCAGCCAGGGAACCTCAGATCACAATCCCTTTTCCTTTTGCATCATTTCTTTTAGATTATAGGCATGAAGGTAGGGAAAGTGTTATTACTGATCATTCTAAAGCATTCTAGGAGCTTTTTCATAGGCTGAAGAGTAGGGTAAACAAATAAAAATTAGCAACATCAAAGCTTACATTTTCCTAGTTCAGTACAAACAATACAACTCCAGATTTTAAATATGTAAGTGTGGCTGCTCTGAGTCAACCTCAGCTTGATTTGTTGGACCCTGATTTGGGCATTAACGTGGAAACATTTGCCTACCCACTATATAGTAGATAGCATTTTTTATATGCTGTAAGGCGCCCAGAGTGGCTGGGGAAATCCAGCCAGATGGGTGGGGAATAAATAATAAAATTACTACTACTACTACTACCACTACTATTATCTGATGTGTTTTCGTGGAGGGCAGCTGACATTGCTTCAAAGCAAGCATTAACCCACCCTTGCCAGTGCATTTTCTTGTCACTTTCTTTATCTCAAAAAGGTCTGATTTTGGGGGAAGTGGGTTTGTTGTGCAACAGCTCCAAATCAACTTTCATTGCACAACCTAAATTTGTTGGGATGTGACTGAATTCCACCCCAAAATAGTGACAATCTAGAAGTGCCCTAGTCCTCCCCCCCTCTTGAAGGTGCTGGGATTGTCAGCAGTCTGATATATAGACAGATTATAGCACTGGAAATTAAATTCTGTGCAGAAAAAAACACCATGATATATATTTGGCCATACTGTCATACGCATAATGGAGAGAGGCAATTTCCTTTATATTGGAGTCCACATACTTGTATTTGTTCCCTAAAAGCAAAGGGGAACATTATGTTCTCCTGCCTCCCATCAACTCCTGCAAAGTCCCAAAAGGAAACCTTCAATAGAAAAGATTGGCTGCGATACCAAGGAACAACACTGAGCCAAGCAAAACTGCATTGCTGTGGATGCAGAATATGGCGACACATGACCAACCCTGATATCTTTAAAATGAGGCTGGCAATGACTGCGAGTCATGACAGACACATACTATCTGAACTCCAGTGAAAGGGATTTGAGCTGGCCCCACAATTGTGGAATTCAATCCTTTTGAAGGTTACACAGGCCCTTTCTATGGTAGTTTTAAAGTAGGCCTTGAAGACCTCCCTCTTCTTATACATGCAGGTCCCACTATCCAACCACAAGACATTCTAAGGTAATTGTTTGTTAGGTTAAAGTAAAGGTACCCCTGACCATTAGGTCCAGTCGCGGATGACTGGGGTTACGGTGCTCATCTCACTCTACAGGCCGAGGGAGCTGGCGTTTGTCCGCAGACAGCTTCTGGGTTATGTGGCCAGCATGACTAAGCCGCTTCTGGTGAACCACAGCAGTGCACGGAAACGCCGTTTACCTTCCTGCCGGAGCGGTACCTATTTATCTACTTGCACTTGATGTGCTTTAGAACTCTAGGTGGTCAGGAGCTGGGACCAAACAACAGGAGCTCACCCCGTCGGGGGATTCAAACCACCGACCTTCTGATCGGCAAGCCCTAGGCTCTATGGTTTAGACCACAGCGCCACCTGTGTCCCATGTTTGTTAGGTTAGTATTTGCATAATGAGTTGACAATTCCCCTTGATTCCTACAGGGAAATTTCTAATCTGTTTCTGACCGTGGAATTTTGACCTGAAAATGATGGGAAAAAACTAGGAAAACCCTCTGAAACCTTGTGAAAGGCAAACAAAGAAAGGAAAAATGCTCTCTAATTTGTCTGATCTCTCCCCCTCTCCCCTCATGGTTTCTGGCAAAACAGCTGCTGTAGACCAGCAAAACACAAAAATGAAGGTTTGTTTAAAGCTGCTGGTTTGTTTACACAGGTCTGGCTGTTTGGATATCTGAATCTGCAGTGTGTATAGTGAGGTTTGGGTACTAATTTCTCTTGTTTGAATAAGTGAAATTTCATATAACAAGCATCGGGATAGAGAGCCCTGCTTGTAAATCATTTAACTAATAAATGAATGCATCAAAAGCTCCAGAATCAGAAGCAGCATTCTGAATGCCAGTTGGTGGGGAATAAGAAAAGGAGAAGCCAGTTCCCATAGACATCTGGTTGGTCACTATGGACAACAGGAAGCTGGGCTAGACAGGTTGTTGGTCTGATCCATTGGGGATCCTCTTATTACCACTTGCTGCCTTTCCCCCAACACTTAACTGCTGGCTTCTAATTTCCTCTTGTCAACAGGAGTGGGAAGATTTAGCTGTTTCATGTACCATATTTAGAAGCCATGTTCCATTTAGGGCAAATGGAAACTATTAGGCTGCCACTTCCCCCTGCCTTTAACACTTAACAGACGCATGACCACTAGCCATTCAGTAAGAACAGTCTTCAGTGCATCTCCTTGCCAGGAAACACAGAACCTCAGTCAGTGTGGGGGGAGAGATCTCAATAATAGGGACAATCCACAGCTGAACACTTGCGCAATTTCTATTTATTTCAATGAGGGTCTGCAGGAAGAGATTCCATCGGCTTTGGCCGCAGACATTCCTGGGCTGGGATAGCTTGACCATAGCAGTCCAGGCCTTGGTAACTTCATGACTGGAATGCTGCCATGCACTCTCTGTGGGGCTCCCCTTGTGGCTGGTGCAGAAGCTGCAGTTAGTGCAGAATGCTACAGCATGATTGGTGACAGCATATTAAAACTTCTGCTCAAAGACCTGCATCAGCTGCTGATCTGCTGCAAGGCATTCTGATTAGCATATAGAGCCTGAGAAGCTTGGGCCCAGTATACTTGGGGAATCATCTTACCCAGGCTTCCTCAACCTTGGCCCTCCAGTTGTTTTTGGCCTACAACTCCCATGATCCCTAGCTAGCAGGACCAGTGATCAGGGATGATGGGAATTGTAGTCCCAAAACATCTGGAGGGCTGAGGTATAGGAAGCCTGATCTTACCCCTATTTGACTGCTTTCATCTGCAGAGCTAGCACTTTTTAAAGTGCCCTGTTCATTTGGTATCTGTGAGGAGTCCATCTTTAGTGAAGCAGCACATGTGCTCTGGACTTCCTGGTCTATTAACACTGAGCAGGAATTGTCCTTCTATTGTTTTAGACCCCAGCTAAAATGTTTTTATTTCAGCCAACTTGTTCAAACTTGTAATTCAGTTATGTAGACTTGGTTTTTTTTAATCTTTTGCTGATTGTATTTGTTTATTGTTGATAATTTGTATATTGTTGATAATTTGTATATTACTGATGCATTGCTGAATACCATAGCTGTCAACTTTCCCCTTTGTTTAAGGGAAATTCCCTTATTCTGAATAGGATTCCTCACAAGAAAAGGGAAACGTTGACAGCTATGCTGAATACAGAGGAGAGTCAAAAGTGATTCAGGACACAATCTAATGTGAAGTTCAGCTGCCAAAGAGGTTATAGAATATTATGCTGGAGTGCCAGCTCTATTGCCATTTTGACAGATATGTTCAAACTGTTTAAATATTGTGATTTAATTGTTGTAATCCACTCTGGGACCTTAGGTTGAAGGGCAAGTTAATAATAGCAATAATATGGTGGTAACATGTGCCAGATACACTAGGTGTATTTGTAGCAAAGCTACACTGAGGGAATAGTTGAAATGGGGGTGGGGCAGAGTTGTGGGGAAGACATGGGCAGCACAGGGTGAAGCACCATTATTAGCCTGTCTGCAATGTACACATCTCAGATAAACCATGGCTTATGTCTTCAAATGATATGGAAGCTGGCCTGAGGGCGAACACATCAAACAGTAGTAGAAGCCACATATGAATTGTTGCTAATGTCATATGTAAAGTACTTTGCTTCAAACACCAGCAGTGGTAATGCACTGAATGGCAATGTGCACATAGCCTAAGGCAAAACCAGGAACCTTGGGCAAGGATTAAAGGGTTGATTCAGAGTCTGTATTCTAGGGCCACAGTTAATGACAGTGGGCTGCCTTGAGTGAACCTGTTATAGCAAGATAGAATATGCACTACTGTACAAATAATAATGTAACAGCAAAACACCTGCACAATATGCACAATATCATATTCAAGGCATTCATCAATTATCTATAGAGAAAATTATCAAATTCTGCTTTCAATCTCACTTAAAGTAAATTCAGAAGAGAAAAGGAAAATGCTACAAGAAGTCACTTACACTGTAAAATTATAAACAGAAAAAAATGGAAGTGTGTGGTATTTATTCCCCAAACTATATCCTGGCATATAATAAATGCAAAACAGAAATGCCAAAATAATACTGGATTGTTCTTTCATAGACTGTGATAGTAATCTCTGCTTAGTATGAATTAGGCCAAACAAAGCAACAAAGCTATTTTAACTGACCTATTTTAACCTCACCAGCATTTGCAAATAAAAGCTAGATGTAACCGACTCAAAGAGCTAAACTAAGTCTCATGATGAATATTTTAAAAGGTCTTTAAATGTCACCTAGTAAGGCTTAAAATATTTCTTTAGCAATTTAGATTGTGGAAATGTGAATAAGCATACAGTATATGTAAATTTACCTAATGAAAGGATAAAAATCCTTCTGTTTACGTAGGGATTTAAAGCTATTGATCCAGCTACTCTAACTCTGTGGGTAAAATACTAAGATGGAGAAGAAAAAGGGAAATGGAGTCTGGGGAAGGGAGAATAAGTCCAATAGGAACCTGGCCAAGGGGTCAGTACCAGAGAGGATTAACCTAGAAACTAATAAAGTAAAGTCAGTGTCGGATAGCCAAGAACGAGGTTAGGATTAAGTAAAATAAACTAGAAGCAAAAACAATTTCAGGCTGCTAGAATCCAAGTCCAGGAGTCTTGTTAGGATTTGAAACCTAGACTGTCAAGTGGACAATAGGCAGTTAATGTCCTGTGGAAATATTAGAAAGCAACAGGAAGAGGCTTCAGGATCTGATACAGGCTTAGAGTGTCCCAAAGCGGAAGGAAGGAAGTAGGTTATAAGGTGAAGCAAGGGCAGTGAATGTTTACATGGACAGAGAATTACTGCCGGAACATCACTACAGCCCAAACATTCTGCACTACTTCCTTGCCCCACCTCTTCTGCACCCATAAAACAAAATAATTCAACTGGATTGATTGATTTAAATGTGGCAAATTAGCTTCTTTGAATATAGTTCTCTCTTTGGTAAAATCAAGAATGTCAGAGGAAAAGGTTGGAGGGATTCCTTTTAAGAAGATTCCACCTAAACATTAGGAAGAACTTCCTGACAGTAAGAGCTGTTTGACAGTGGGATTTGCTGCCAAGGAGTGTGGTGGAGTCTCCTTCTTTGGAGGTCTTTAAGCAGAGGCTTGACAACCATATGTCAGGAGTGCTCTGATGGTGTTTCCTGCTTGGCAGGGGGTTGGACTCAATTGCCCTTGTGGTCTCTTCCAACTCTATGATTCTATGATTCTAGGGCAGTTTTATAGAGAGGAGTGGGGTTGCTTTCTAGAGGCAGGGTGTGTGTGCATAGAGTATAGAAGTCCTCACTTTTGGCCACTGGAAAACCCCATCAAAATGACTCTCCACTCCAGCAGTACCACTTCTTAAAATTATTGAATTCCTTTCTGTAGCAATGAGGACTAGAAATGTGCACTTTAAAAACGAAAGGTGAAGTCCTTAGGAATTGGTGACATATAAGGGCTCTTGATTGGAAAGGAGAGTCAGTGACTCAAGGCGCGCCTGGTGTCACACAAAGGCTGTGTTGTGGGCTTGCTGTCTGATTTTTGTGAACAGGTCTGCCACTGTGGTTTTTGCAAAAAAAAGTTTCCAGATGGATGCTGAGATTTGACAAAAGAATGGTTCCTTGAATGGTTGTGGATGATCTCCTGAATGAGCAATGCACCTGTAGTGCAGGACTCAGAGAGATGCTTAGCAGATAACTGGCTGGGAGAAGGGAGGAATTAAATATAGAAACAGGAAAGTGGTGAAGAATGCTACAGTGTTTGCAATTTACAGCACTACTTCTCTTTCTTAAGCACTGCAGCTTTTAAATTTTTTATCATGACTTCATAGGTGGAGAAACTGACACAGCAGCAGCTTCCTAAACTCATGGCAAAATAAAATTCTTGTGTTTGATCTAGGAATCAATTGAGAGCACATGCATTACTCCCTTTAACAGTAAACTCAGTGCTTCTGTAAGGACTGACATGGAGCTAAAATGAGACCACCAAGAAGTAAAAAAATCAAGTTTTAAAAGGCACTACTGGACTCATTTTCCATGCTGGTGAAAGACCTGAACAGGGCCCTAACTATACATTATGATTTTGCAGCAATCTTTTTATTGCTGTTATCACATATAGGAGAAATCACATTGTAGACATTGCCACCTCTCTCTGAACCAAGCATTAGTGATGCAACAGCATTAATTTAACTCATTGCCCCTCTCTCTTCATTATTTCAAACTTTTTCTTACCTTGAAAAACAGCTGAGCTGTGGTGTCTTCATTTTCATCTTCTGTATTTGTGCTCTGTGTCCTGAAGGAAAGTAGATATTGCCTCCACACTGATAGGTCATAAAAGGGCATATTTCTAAATCCAATTCCACACTCCGTTTTCTTTGGAAAATGTCAGGGTTTTTTAATAGAAAATATACTTCAAATCCAGACACTGAAGCAAATGAAAGCAGCGTAAGATTAACTTCTCCTTGCATCAATGGGACAAGTATCTGATTCTCTTGAAGTTTATTCAATCTTTCCTGCACTGCTTACAGCTGGGAGGGCAAACAGGATTATCTGTTGTCTGTGCAGCGCCTTTGAATTCCACAAAGTATTAGTCCAAGTATTAGTGGATTGCTTTAGCTTGGTGATTGCAAGTTGATAAAGAATCTAAAACAACAACAATAAGAAAAATGAATCCTGATACAGAATATCTGATGAAGCATCTTAACTCATTGTAGCCGTGACAATTAACACTGAGAGCAAAGCAGCATTGTTCAGTGAATTGGTTTTTACGTGTAGTCCTGTACAGAAAAGATTAGGCATAAGGATGACACAGTTCCACAGGGATTGGAACGTGACACTGAACTGCTGAGTCCAACTTAGACCAGTGGTATTTGTCAATCACAGAGTAGCCAACTGATTTAACTAATCCTTCCTGTCTAAATGAAAATGTGACTTTAGCGATATAAGTGAACACTGAGAAACTTCAGGTAGCTTATTAATAGGTCTTTGATCCTAGCTTAAATAGCACAGAAATAGTTTTTTTCTCTCTCTACAAATAAGACCTGATTAACCGGTTGCATTAAACCACACCATTTAAATTATATGTATCCATCATCCATTCTGCCTAAAGGTGGGAGCAGAAGACTACAGAATGAAAACCAGGTTAAATTGTCATAATGGATTCATTCATTAGAACCTGTTAATGATATGACCACTTTAGTCTGTCAGCAATACTTTCATAATTATATTTGTGACAAATTGGTGCCCTTTGGTTTCACTCTGTTCTGTGCTTGCTATAATCTAATTACAGCAGCACAGTCTTTTGCAGACATTATGTTTTGCAGAACAAAATCCCTGTTAGCTCAGCTTTTGAGAGTGATTTATATATTTGGTGTGTTTTTATGTATTATGTTGTACAGGAGGCTGCATGGTAGTGTGTGGGTTGTGTTGGACTTAGACCAAAGAGAGAGAGACAGGCTACCCTGTGGTCTGCCAAATATTGTTGGGCTCCAAGCCAGCATGTCATTGGGTCAAGGATGGTGGGAGCTGTAGTCTAGTGACTCCTGGAGAGCCACAAGTTCCACATCCTTGCATAAGTCAAGTCTGTTGGCACCCTTAACACCATGAAGGGTGGAGACTAACAGATGGGCTGACCCCAAGTTATTTTATGCATTCTGGGTGAGATCCAAGATCACTCCAGCAAAAGTGACCAGTCTTGCCCTTCCTCTCCTTTTCAGCCTTCTCCCCATACTTTGCTCTAGAGGGCCACCAACTCCCTGGAGCAGATTCGAAGACTGAGCAGCCGGCTGCAAGAGTGGAGATGAAGGGGAAGTCTTGTTTGCACAAGCAGCTCAGTTGCACAAGTGGGGATTACCCTCAAGGCCCTGTCTATCCCCCAATAACACACATGGGAGGAAGTGATGCGGAAGAACATGTGCACGCAGGAAAGAACCATGTGTGCAATTGGAATTTAGGGGCAGTAGGTTTATAGCAAGCCAGACAACCCAAGTGATTGTTTTCCCAGGAAGTAAAACACCTGCAGCTACAGCAGCAAAACAAAGCTTGAGAACTGTTGATGTTTTGTCATATACTGTAATCAAATGAAAACATATGAAGGCATACATCAGGAAATACGGAATATTGTTTCATCTCATTAAATTGCAATTTATGTTTGGTGAAAGTATTTGAACTTTTGCTTTCGCTATAATAATAATAATAAATTATCATATTATTGAGTTTTGTTCCATATGTTAGCAGTTCCCACCGGAAGGTGTGCCGTTGGTTTACATTACATAAAACTGAAATATGTCATTCGAAGACTGATACTCTGTCTGATCGCAACCCTGTACCTGGCAATTAGTCTCACTGAATTAGGTGCAATCCAGAGAAACAGAGAGGGAGCTCTTTGTGTATTGTGGGCCTTTTATTTCCATTTTGAACATTTACTTTCCAAAATGCACAAGAGGGATTGCTATTATTATTATTACTTGAAATAATGGGATGCACAGCTATAATAATAATGCAGTGGTACCTCGGTTCTTGAACTTAATCCGTTCCAGAAGTCCGTTTGACTTCTAAAATGTTTGAAAATCAACGTGCGGCTTCTGATTGGTACAGGTGCCCCAGAAATAATAGCCAACAGCCGCATCGGAAATTCTGCTTCTGAAAAACGTTCGAAAACCGGAACACTTCCGGATTTTCAGTGTTTGAGAGTTGATTTGTTTGTCAACTAAGCCGTCCGAGAACCAAGGTTCCACTGTAATAACAATTTTATTATTTATTCCCCACCCATGTGGCTGGATTGTCATCTCACCACCACCCTTACCATCCCCCCCCACATTAACCCTCTAGAATAATAATTTAATAATTTATTATTTATACCCCGCCCATCTGGCTGAGTTTCCCCAGCCACCCAAGGTACCACTGTATCCTACTTTTAAAAGACATCTGAAGGCAGCCCTATTTAGGGAAGTTTTTAATGTTTAATGCTGTACTGTGTTTTTAACATTTGACTGGGAGCTGCCCAGAGTGGCTGGGGAAACCCAGCCAGATGGGCGGGGTATAAATAAATTATTATTATTATTATTATTACTATTATTATTATTATTCCTACTCATATTGAAATACTGCCCCTCAATGAGACCAAACGTAGATTCACAAAATGTTTAGGGATATGCGTACCCCTGCGTCCCCCCAGAAAAAAGCACTGACTACAGGAGTTTGCGGATGTAATCTCAGAGCCACTGTCTATAACCTTTGAGAATTCTTTGAGAACAGGTGAAGTCCTTGCAGATTGGAGACAGGTAAATGTTGTCTCCATCTTCCAAAAGGGGAAAAAGAAAACCCAAGTAACTACCAACCAGTTAGCTTTATGTCAATACAGTGGTACCTCGGATTAAGAACATAATTCATTCTGGAGGTTCGTTCTTAACCTGAAACTGTTCTTAACCTGAAGCACCACTTTAGCTAATAGGGCCTCCCGCTGCCGCCGCACGATTTCTGTTCTCATCTTGAAGCAAAGTTCTTAACCCGAGGTACTATTTCTGGGTTAACGGAGTCTGTAACCTGAAGTGTATGTAACCTGAAGCATCTGTAACCCGAGGTACCACTGTACCAGGAAAGGTCCTAGAACAGATCTGTATATGAGCACTCAGAAAAGAATGCTGTGATTACTACAACCCAGCATGGGTTTCTCAAAAACAAGTCATGCCAGACGAATCTCATTTCTTTTTTGATAGAATTACAATCTTGGTGAATCAGGGGAATGCTGGGGGTGCAGTGTATCTTGATTTCAGTAAGGCTTTTTGACAAAGTCCCCCATGATCTTCTTGCAGAGAAGCTGGTAAAATGTGGTCTGAACAATGTAACTGTTGGGTGGATTTTTAGCTGGTTGACTGACCAAAACCCAAAGAGTGAGATGCTTGCTATTGTTCAATGTCTTTATAAATGACTTGGAAGAAGGAATTGAGGGGGTGCTCATCAAATTTGCAGATGATACCAAAATGGGAGGAGGAGCTCCCATTTCTGTCTGCCGCAGAAGACAGAATTGGGATTCAAGATGACCTTAACAGATTGGAGAACAAGACCCAAACTATCAAAATGAATTTCACTAGGGAAAAATGTCAGGTTTTAAGCAGCTGCACAAATATAAGATGGGGGACCCCTGGCTTGTCAGTAGTACACGTGAAAAGGATCTAGGGGTCTTAACAGACCACAAGATGAACGCGAGTCAACAGTGTGATGCAGCAACAGCAAAATAAGCTAATGTTCTTCTAGGCTGCATCAACAGAAGTAACAGTAACAGATCAAGGGAAGTAACAGTAACACTCTTCTGCCTTGGTCAGACCACACCTGGAATGCTGTGTCCAGTTCTGGGCACCACAATTTAATAAGGATATGGACAAGCTGGAACTTGTGCAGATGATCAAAGTTCTATGTTTGTGTACGTGCGCGCGCTGCGGGGAGGGCGAGTGCATTGGAGGTCATTGCGTTACTAAACTTGCCACGGACCAGGCTATATGATTGTTTTATCACAGCTGCCTGCAAAGGCTCTCTTCAAACTCTCCCATTAACCCTCCAATAACGTTAGAAAATAAAAAGAAAAGCGTTCTGTGACGCTGAAAATAAAAGTTGCGTCTACACAGCGCTCTAACGTACCGACCCAGCACGCTCGCCCTCGCCGCGTCCCCCGCCTCCTCTTTTGGCCAACATTTCCCGCTTCGCGAACGGAGCCTTCCGGGGACCCGTAGCGTCGCCCTATCTCGGCCGCTGTTGTTGTCAGCTGAGCGCAGTCACATGACCGTGAGCCTCGACTGTCCCTCTTCTGCTTAGCTGCTGAGTCTGGGTCACCCGTTGCCGCTGCGGATTCCGGGGACTTCATCTCCGGCCTACGAAGTGAAGGAGGTAAGTGAGGCCTGCAGCCCCGGGAGCGGGACAGGGGCTGGAGCGGAAGGACTTGGGGTGGGGCTGGTGGGCACCGGGAAGGGACAGGCGCTGCGCCCGCTTGCCTTCGGGCGAGCATCGCTGACAAGGAAGCTGCGCGCTGCCCTGGAGACTCAGCTGGAACTCACGGAAGGCCGCCCCGTTCTCGCCTCCCGAGCTACCCACGTACCCGCTGCACGCCAAATACTCTCAGCTAGGAAAGCTCTTGCGGATTCCCAACATCTGTTTAAGCGGCGAGTGATTATCTCGATGCCGCAGGGAAGGTCACAAGCAGAGCAGGGTGGTTCTCTATTATCTCCAGGCTTCTGGTTCTTAGGAGGCATTACTGAGGTCCTGGCTTTTAACCCCCTTGCTGTTGTGGCTAATCCCAGCCTTTGCTAGTCTTGGAATCCATGAATTTGATTGCTCTGCTGCACTCTCAGCTATTGGGCTAGATGTTCTTTAAGTGGTGCAGAAAGGCGACTAAAATAAGTGCCAAGATGAAGATGCTGCTGTGCATATTTTAAAAAAGCAAAACAGCACAGGGCCACTCTGATCTCGGGATGGGAATTGTCTAGTTATTTCAGTCTTTCTATAAGAGCTTTGTTTTTCTGAATCTTGCTGTCCTTGAGCTTACTGAACCATTAAGTTTTCTCTCACCACTTCGTTAAATGTTTGTGCTCCTTGTAATCAAACCAGTATCTTGGTACTGCTAATGACTTTTAGAGTACATATAGGTGCACTTAGGTTGTATGCTAGAATGAAAAATGGTTGTTCAACTTCCTTCATCTGAGGTAAGACTTGATCTTGTTGACACTAACGCAGAGGGCAGAAGGAAATGTTTCATCCAATAACAGTCATTGCATGTTTCCAGTGGAAGGGAGGAAACAGTTTAGATGGTTTTTGTGTGTAGGCAAATGGTCCTGATGAAGTTTGAACAGGTTCAGTCAGGCTGAGTTATCTGATGTTTATGGAGAGTTCTGCCCTAACAATGATTTAATGCATTAAAAACTCAGGCAGCTTGTTTTGGCATCAGAGCTGGACTAGGCCAGATACCCCCTAAGAAAGTAGAAAGCAGAAGTGGTGAAGGTCATACATTCTGGTATTCAAACTATACTTCCATTCTGTAAAAAGAAAAGAAAAAGTATCACTTTAGGATGATGTGCAGTGCAATCTTGTTCATGCAGCACAATCTTGTTCATGCTTGAACTTGTGCTTACAGCTAGAAAGGGTGTACTGTATAGGGTTGAAAAATTGAAAAGTTACCCCTTAGCTGGAAAGGGGAAGTGACATTGGTTATAGGTCACAGGAAGTAGAAATCAAGTTAATCCTTAGCTGCTGGGCAAAATTACTTGCTGCCTGAACCAGAAACTGTTTGTCTCAAAAATGAAACTGAGTTTTGTTAGCAGCCTGAACTTTATTTGGCAACAAATCTACAATCTCAAATGTGCAGATCCTTTTTGGAACAATGCCCATGTCACATAATACTGAATAGTTTATGATAAATGAAAGGGCATTCTGCACATTTTTTCTTGCGTTGTTGTTGATTTATTTACTTACTACTTTTCTAAAATGAATTAGCGCTATCAAAGTAAATATAAAAGTGTGATAAGCCACACCTCATCCTAATACAATAATAAGAAAAAAATACCCAGCATCAGAGGAGCTATATCCCACTGGGAGGATTTTTTGAATTAATTGTATTAGCTTGGTTGGAATAATTGTTCAAGAAATAAAGAGGTGAACAAACTTTTCTAAGTAGAGTGTTCCACAAAGTAGCTGCTACCTCGGGGGGGGGGGGGATTGCCCTGAGCCAGAGCTGATAGAATGTGAGAAGTGAGAACACTCTTTCTCTCCAGGCTGTCTGTCGAGGTAGGTGTGTGTGTGTGTGTGTGTGTGTGTGTGTCTGTGTGAATTTAGAGTATATGTGTTCCTGACTTTGGGATTAGGGATTCTTCTGGTTTACTGTCTGTCTCGTTGCCCAGCGGTCTCCCTGGCTGAACTGATAGAGCTGATCTTGGAGGTGATGCTGAGGACTCCCAGATTGCTGGTGTTGGGGGACTTCAACATCCAAGTTGAAGCTGTCAGCTCTGGGGTGGATCAGGACTTCAGGGCTGCCATGACGATCATGGGGCTGTCCCAACGCTTGTGGAAGGTCACACTCTGGTCCCTGCTTTCTTGGCTGAGCAGGAAGAAGGTGATCTGATATTGACATCACTTCCTTGTCAGGGCAGATCACTTCCTGTTGAGATTTAGGCTTTCCATTGCATCCTCATTGTGCTGTACAACAGAGCTTTTCCTGGTAGTGCAGGGCCTTTTACAGTCTGGCCCAAAGGAGGTGATAGACCTGATGGCAGCTTGCTGTGACTTGTTAGCAAAACATCACTTACATCCACTGGGATCTTGACTCCACTATTACAGCAGATAACCCTTAAGGGGTGTCCAGAACACTGTCTAGTCCTGTTGTTTTGGCCTTCAGTTGGTTAAGGCTTGAGGACATTGACAAGGTGCTTGGATTGGTCAGAACGCCTGCTTGTACTCTGGACCCCTGCTCCCCCCCATCCTGGCTGATAAAAAACTAGCAGAGAGGGGACAGCTGGCTGGGCCAGGGAGCGGATTAATACCTTGTTGTGGGAGGGGGTGGTCTCTGCCTGCCGTCTCCTATATCATACAGGTAAGGGAATTATAGGATTATAGTTCTGTTTTATTCAAAACTGCTTTATGTATTGCATGGAAATCTTTTCAAAGCTGATCATGTTGTATATATTACTGTAATACTTGTGCAACTATGTGGGCCTTGGACTTAAAAAGAAAATTGTTAGAGGATGTTTGATTCCAAATCAGTGTACAGTCAGGATAGCATAATATATAATGCCTGGAAAATTGAGGTGTATGCAGAATAGGCTTCAATGAGCAACTGTAGAAAATAAGCAAATAATATGGTATGCAAATGCCTGCACCTGGAACAATCCCGTGGAACATACAGACTTGTAAGCCTCATTAATTTCAATGTTAAAAAGTTAAGTACATACTTAATTCTTATTTGAAGTTAGTGGGGTTTAAACTTTTGGAAGAACTATAGTCACTTCTCGTAGGTTTAGCAGCTTTATAAACACAATTTCGAACTCTTGAAATCACTTTGTTCAATGTAAACTGATAGCAGCCTTTATTTTCTTAACAGGTTTTGACATCAAGATAAAAATGGATATCCGGGGTGCTGTAGATGCTGCTGTCCCCACCAATATCATTGCTGCCAAAGCTGCTGAGGTTCGGGCCAACAAAGTGAATTGGCAGTCATATCTCCAGTAAGTTAGTATCTGGGCACAGGTTCCCAGAAGGAGCATATATCTCTAGGCTTCTAAACTAGTTACAGTTTTTATGCTTTTGGAAGGTCTTGCATGCTGTTAGGAGAACTGGAAAAATACTGAGTTAGTGAAAATTAACTGTTATTACCAGAAATGATATTTCGTTAAAACAAATAAGGATAGGGTTCCATGGATGGATATGATTGATAGAAACATTTTTTCCTAACAATTTTCTTAAACTTTTTCAGAAGTCTGGCAAAATCTAGGTTTTAAAATGCCAATTTGTTGAGGAATTCCACTATCCTTAAGATTGCTTTCTGCCATTTAACTACATAATTAACTACACACAAAAAGGCCTCCCAGATCTCCATTGCTCACAAAGAAGAATTTAACCAGCACAAAAGAACATTGCCAGGTCAAAGGGTGGGCTGGAATGTCTAAATAGTTGTGGCCACATTCACTTACTATCCCCCCCGCCATTTGATTCATTAATTCACAAACAATACCAGTGAAATTCACAGGAAAGCAAACACCTAATATTCACCAGGCACTGTCTGATGAAATAATTACAGAATTGGAACGATATTATATTGTACAATAATAGTAATGAGATTACAGCCTGATCAAATTCAACATTGCAAAGAAATAAAAAAATGACTGTTACTACTTCATGTGAACAGAAGAACTACACTTCTTGCAAGGAAAATCTATAACTGAAAGGAAAACTGAATCACAAGTTACTGTGTCACTGACTGACTGCAAGAGGGCTTTTTTTTTTTTTTAGTGAATAACATCACTTAGGACATGCTCTTTATCCCTAATCAGCAGCTGTTTTTCCTCATGGCCTTGGAATTATGTCGGTCTGTCCTTGGAAAGTTGTCAGGGTGTTGGGGAACCAAAAGATGTAGGACTGCTGTCTAAGAATCTTTATTTATTTATTGGCACCAGTGCCCAGGATTAGTTACTATTCTGAAATGGTAGGAATGAATATTATCTTGCAATTTAAAAACATATATTTTTAATAAGGCTTTTTTCTTTGGGCTTGATTATCTTTTCTAAGCAGTGTGCTGATTAACTCCAAATTTAAGGGAAGGTAAAATAGTACAGTACATTGAAATTCACAATCAATAGATGATTTCCTGTGGTTTACCCAAAACATGTTAACGTTGCATAGAAATACACTGAATCTTTTATTTATTTATAAAAATGTTTATATACCACTGTGTCATTAAAAAATATGTCACAGTGCTTTACAACAATGTATAAACGTAAAATGAAACAATAACATTTAAGTACAAGTTAAGAACAAAAGAGAAATTAAAAACACACATCAATCGACCATTGTGGACGATGTACTTTTAACTGCCTGCATAGGTCTTCTGGAACCGAAAGGTTTTCAGCAGGCGTTTAAACGTTGGCACAGAAGGTTGCCAACTATTTGGCAGGATTTCCCACAGGGCTGGTGGAAGCTAAAGGGTCAGTTTCTCATTGTTGTCAGATGAGCCTCACAAACTCAGGGAATGACCAAAGATGCTCCTGTAGTTGATCTTGGTGATCAAGCTGGGATATAAAGTTTCAGGAGATCCCTGAGGTATCCTGGATTCAAGTTGTAAATCAATACGTGAATCTTGAACTAAGCTCAGTAGCAGATGGGCAGCCATTGCAGCTGTTTTAACAATGGTGTCAAGTATTCTTAACCAGAAAAGGGAAAAAGTAATCTGGCTGCTGCAGTCTACAGTAGCTGGAGCTTCCAAATCAGACTCAAGGATATAAAGACTTGAAAACACTTTACTCAAAACATGGTCAACTTTATGCTGTTCTTGTAGACTGTACAAGAGTACAGGCCTGTTCTTAAGTTCTTATGAAACTAAGTACAATGGTACCTCTGGTCACAAACGCTTCTGGTTACGAATGCTTCAGGTTATGAGCTCCTCTAACCCGGAAGTAGCTGCTCCTGGTTGCAAACTTTGCCCCTGGATGCGAACAGAAATCGTGCGCCAGAGGCGCCATTAGTGAAAGCGCACCTCAGGATAAGAACGGTTTCAGCTTAAGAATGGACCTTCGGAACGAATTAAGTTCATAACCAGAGGTACCACTGTAGACCTTTCAAAAGCAGTTTATGATTAGGCATGGAGCTGGGGTTTACTGCTTCAAGGGAAAAAAAGTCAAAAATTCCATTAGCCTTGGCTCCATAGAAGCTTTTGAATCGTCAAAGATACACTGGGGTCTTCACTGCCCTTTCCCTTGCAAGATAATGGCTTTGGACAGCATCCATGCTCTTGGGCTAAACACAGTACATGCTCCAAATTTATTTAATATGTTTGGAAAGGGAAGTGTGCTCACTAAACAGTCACTGTAGGAAATTATTACATTAGCACCTCGGGGAAAATTTTTTGAACAGCAGGATATATTCTGTTAAATCTACAAGCAGTAGAACAATGGTAGCACAGGAAGTCCTTAAAGCTTTGTTTTCCTTGCTAGAGGGCAGATGATTTCAGCAGAAGACTGTGAATTTATTCAAAGATTCGAGCAGAAAAGGAGCCCAGAAGAGAAACAAGAATTGATTAAAAATGAAGGCAGCCAGGTAACCCAGCATCTCTTTGGGGCAATCTCCTGTTCCAGGAACAGCCAAAGTGTGTGGTTGTTTTGTCTTTGGCATTCTGGTTTTAAAAGTTTGTCATCTATATTTCTGCTTCTGTGCCAGCTTTCCTCATAGATCATTTGTGAAAATGTCCTGGTGAATTAACCGTATGCCTTCTGCACTTTCTACCATCGAGTATGATGACAAGAAGCATAAATAATGCAAGCCAGAATTGTAGAGTTGGAAGGGACCCCAAGGGTCATCTAGTCCAACCCCCTGCAATGCAGGAATCTCAACTAAAGCATCCCAGGCAGATGGCCAGCCAACCTCTGCTGAAAAACCTCCAAGGAAGGAGAGTCCACAACTTCCTGAGGGAGACCGTTCCATGGTCAATTAGCTCATACTGTTGGAAAGTTTTCCCAATGTTTAGTCAGAATCTCCTGTCTTGTAACTTGAAGGCATTGGTTCGAGTCCTACCCTCCAGAGCAGGAGAAATCAAGCTTATTCCCTCTGCCATATGAAGCCCTTGAGATATAGGAAGATGGCTATCATATCTCCTCTCAGTCTCCTCATTTCCATGCTAAACATACCGCCTAAACATACCCAACTGCTTCAACTGTTCCACATAAACCTTGGTTTCCGGACCCTTGATCATCTTGGTTGCCCTCTTCTGCACATGTTCCAGCTTGTCAACACCCTTCTTAAATTGTTGTGCCCAGAATTGGACACAGTATTCCAGTATCCCAAGGCAGAATAAATTATGGAAGTTTCACCAGAGTCCATAGGTTATGTTAGAATGCCTTAGACCTCTGTTTGAATATGCAGTCCTCCTTTTGAGTATTTTATGGGTTCTGCTATTGCAGTCAGATTTTTGTGTGCAACTAATCCAAAAGTGTAGTTTAACTGCTTGCCATTTGCATGCTAGTGCAAATCACACTTGGTGCTTAGAGAATGTGGCTTAGGGTGCCATAGAGCACTGGGTTGTAGCTGGAGAAGGAGTGTAATTACATAGGACAACAGGAGGCTGCCTTATACTGAGCTGCAACATTGGTCCATCTGGATCATTGTTGTCTACGCTGAGTGGCATCAGCTCTGCAGGGTTTCAGGCAGAGTTTCCCAGCCTTGCCTGGCGATTTGCCGCCTCCTTTCTTGCAACTCTCTTCTTTCTCTGCTCCACCCCATACTGTTCCAGAGCGTGCCTTGACTTTGCAGAGCAGCTTTGGGGGAAGTTGGGGCTGCACTGAGAAGGAAACAACTCAAAAACCTTCTTGCACGAGTATACTGATACTTGTACATATCTGGCTACAGCCATTGTAAATATTATTTAAAAGTTGCTTGTTAAAGTATAGGCACACTTTGTATAAGTACTCCTCTTAATGCAGTAATTGTTGTTGGATAGGGTTGCCATATTTTGAAAAGGACCTTCCCGGACAGTGCCTGCCCTCTTCCACGCTTCGGTGGCATGCATGTGTCCCTCCAACCCCTCCCCCAATAAATACCCCTTCCCCCAAAACCCGGACATTTCAAATACAGTGCCAAATTCTGCCTGGAGGGGGCATACTGGCCCCCCAAAACAGGACATGTCTGGGAAATTCCGGACATACGACAACCCTATGTTGGAGCACTTACCCTATGAATATGTCTTCTCCTGTTCAGACTAGGAACAAAATCAATCTCCCCCACTCCCATATTAGTTAATTTCGAAAAGTATAATGGGCAGTTTTGCACATTTTTGTTGAAGTTAGTGAGGCTCAGCATACATAAATGTCTTCATCATTGCCTCCCCTTTGTGCCTGTTAGAAACCATAGTAGACCTTAACTTCAGGTGTGGGGAGTTTTTTGTCCTCCTGATTCTACTGAACTAAAACTCTCATCAGCCCCAGCAAGCATGGCCAACGGACAGGGATTATGGGAGATACCATTTAGCAACAGCTGAAAGGACAAAGGTTATCACCACCTGCTTTATTTTATGGGATTGTGCCTTGTTCTCTTGATCTATGGCCTTGTGTCCGTTGGGCATGCATTAAACACAGCATACCTTTATATTCTAGAGGAAACAGTCAAGAACCCATTGCCAAATTCTGCTTGGACTGCTGATTAAATGAATGCAGCCAGTGCAATAGTAGTAGGCTGGGGAGAAGTTTCCCAATACTTGTGTTTATTACAGGGAAACAACTTTGGATTGTTTCAGTGTTCCTCACACAGGCTGTGCTTGCAAAATTGCCAAATGAAAATAAGAATGAAAACACTTGCGAATAATTCTAACTTTCTTTGGATTACTTCTTTCCTCCCTAGTGCGCTAAAACGTTCATAAACCTCATGACTCACATCTCCAAGGAACAAACGGTTCAGTACATTTTAACAATGGTGGATGATATGCTGCAGGTAAGTTAATTGGTTTTCCCCCATTTCCAGTGCTTGTTGGTATGTGGGTATCTCATTTCAGTGCAGACAGCTTTCTGCTTGCTTCCCACTTTAAATTGGTTTGCAAGGCACCAAGTGGCCTTTAGTGATTTTAGTGGAGCTTGTGTGCTTTATCTGCTGAAATGATCAGTGGTGGCCGAGCAGCAATGCCTTGTGGAATAAGCTTTCTGTGATCAACATCTGCTAGGTTCTGCCTGCACTCTGTACTTTGTGGAAAGTACCTTTGATACAGTTAGTAAGATTGCATTTACAGCTTGGAACAAGTGTGGCTGAAACCATTAATAGATGAATCAGTTAACCTTTTTCAAAAATAAAAAACCCCAACAGAGATATGCATTTATTTTTATTAACATTCCCAACTACATCCTACAGAACAGCACTTTATCCATTACATACTGCGTAAATTGTATAAGATCATCGTTAATCAAATATAATAATGAGCCCACTTATCCATTTTATCTTGAACAGTCAAATATTAGGGGAGTAACTTTTCATTTTATTGCTGTTTTAAGTTTGTCTGTTGACACTCTAAGCCTTTTCTTAGGCTGTCCGTAGTTTTTTGTTTATGATATTCATTATGTGGATTAATATTTTAATTCTGTCTATTTCTTGAATTCTGTTAGTTGCTTTGATTGCCTCTGTAAGGAGGGGAGTAGCAGGGTAATAAAACATTGTGGTACATGTGGTCAGGGAAGCTGTGGTTGGTGGTGACGCTATTATCACAGGTATGCTGTATATTTGCTGATGTGTTTCTCCCCTTCAAAGGAAGTAAGAAAAATACATTTTGCATGAAATATGCAAAGCATTTCTCACTGGACGTATGCATAACTTGTTTGATTTCCATGTACATGCACAAGCCAGTTCTGTCTGCTTGGCAACAAATCTTTTATCGGCCCGATGACCTTGATTTTTGATTTTTTTTAACAATACATTTTGTTCTGAATAGTGCAAAATTACCTTAATGTGTTCTAATATTTTAGATTTGTAGCAATTACATTTTTAAAATAAGACATGCTTAGCACGAATCATGGTGATTATAGAAGCTCAGGCAGCATCTCTTAAGTGCACTTACAGGCAGATCTTGGGCTGCTGTACCAAATTACTTTTAAATTAACACATTGTGCTGATATTCTGGGCAAGCATACCACCTGAAAAGTTTAAGCTGAGAGTGAAAGAATCATAATGAGTCAGAACAGGTAGGGGCCTCAAATCTCCTTCCAGAAGCATGAATCCTCTCCAAAGCAGGGGGAACAAAGAACTGGCTTGCAAAATCAAACAACGATCCATCTAGTCCAACATCTAGTTTTGTTTGCTTACAACATTTAAATACCACGTTTCAACAGAAGTCTGTTCGTGAAGCAGCTTCAACAACAATGTACATATGCATTGGCAGACAATGGGTGACTTACAGGGAACTGCTGGATTTTACAGGGGGAACGACCCCAAAATGAAATCAGTTGAAAACTTAAGGAGCCAACTTATGGGTTAGTTACAATATCACGAGATATACAACATGTTTAAATTAGATAGAAAGAATGGATTTCTGGACCAAAGCTCACAATTTGAAAAAGACCTCTTACAAAATAAGAATAAACTTCTGTCTAAAATGTATAGTTTTTTATTGGAATGGGAAAGAAAAGATGAGCTTGTTAAAGCTTCAGTGGCACACTGGGCAATAGATATAGGACACAATATAGATCTTAATCTCTGGAAGAAACTTTGGGAAAGTGACCTGAAATTTACTGCATGTTATTGAAAGAGAATTATTTGAAAATGTTTCATAGGTGGTATTTAACTCTGAGTAGGTTGGCTAAGATTTATAAAACAGAATCAGATACGTGTTGGAAGTGTAAAGAAGTGGAGGGAACCTTTTTTTCACATGTGGTGGACATGTAAAAAGGTAAAAGTATATTGGGAAATGATTTATAATGAATTGAAAAAAATGTTTAAAACTACTCCCCACCCCCCAAAAAATATGTATGTGGCCTGTGTTTTGTTAGCCCCAAAATGGAAAGTGAGCAAGGTCCCAACTAAAGAGCACTGGCAACTTAAGTTGACAGAATATGCAGAACTTGCAGATTTAACACATAGAATAAGAGAGCAAGAAGAACATATATTTAAAAAAGAGTGGAAAACATTTATTGAATTTTTGAAAAATAACTGTATACAGCTGAGAACGCTGGCAGCACTAAGATAAATTCAACAGAGTAAATAATTTTTTATGGATCTAAAAGTGGAAAACTGATTTGAGTGGTTATAGTAAAATATGCAGGAATGTAAAATGTAAAATGAACCATGGACGGAGAAGGAAAGTCAATGAATATTTTAAAGTTTGTAAAATGCTTATTTTGAAATGCAAAATTGAAAACTTAATAAAAATTATTATTTAAAAAATACAATGTACATATGCAAGTGAAAAAAATCCATACAGAATAGAACTATGTTTATATAGAACTATGTTTCAACTATGTTTATAAAAGAATCTCAGCGGATCTCCAAGTGCCCCAAGGATAAAACTGTCTCCGTCTGTTTTCTAACTGTGTTTCCTTTCCATTTATGCTTCTTGCAGGAAAATCACCAACGTGTTAGTATTTTCTTTGACTATGCAAAACGAGGCAAGAACACTGCATGGTCCTATTTCCTTCCAATGTTGAATCGTCAAGATCTTTTCACTGTGCACATGGTAAGCTTTCAGCTCAGTCAAATAGCCTGGGTTTGAGAGGGGACCTTTGGTTGCAAAACTTAGGACAGATTTATTAGACCTTCAATATCAATGTCCTGTCAGCACTTTATAATTAAGGGTTATATAAATTGTCCATTAACAACACAACAGCTTTATTTAAAGTATGGTATTTAAGTTTTCCATGGAAGGAAGGCATTCCTAGCAGTATTCCTGCATTATCTGACTATAACATTTTCAGAGACCAAGCCAGAGTACAATATGGATGTGCTGTATGACCCATGAGTGTCACCTTGTTTGAAGTGTTGATTTAAACAGGCCAGGGTAAAGGACTTAGTTTTACATGAACATTATTAGATTTAGCTGTAATGCTCAGCCTCTCTCTTTCCCCAAACCTTTAGAATGGGACAGTTCATAAATATAAACTAATGACTAGGTTTTCTTTCTTTTTAAACTGCTAGCCTTTAATTCTAATGCCCCTTTTCACGCCTCTCTTTCATTCTGTTGCTCCTCAGGTTGGCAAGAGGCTCCAAATGTTTAGCTAATCAAAAGCCAGCGATTAAATACATTTTAAGACAGCCATATATTATTATCAGTAAAGATCTTGAACCAGCTGGATTAGTAAAAGAGATGATGTGGTAGAGGGGTTATGCTATTTGATTGTCTTCTCACAAGAGTCTAGTGGCTCTTAAAGACTAACAAATTTACTATGGCATAAGTGTTTGTGAACTGTAGCCCTCTTCCTTGGATGCAACTAAAGTTCTTAGATTGTAATGCTCCTGTTTAAAAGGTATTAATATTTAGGAACATAGAAACTGCCTTATACAGAGTCAGACTCCTGGTAAAAAGGTAAAGGACCCTTGGATGGTTAAGTCCAGGCAAAAGCAACTATGGGGTTGTGGCGCTCATCTCACTTTCAGGCCAAGGGAGCCAGTGTTTGTCCACAGACAGCTTTCTGGGTCATGTGGCCAGCATGACTAAACCGCTTCTGGCGCAACAGAACCGCATGGCGGAAACCAGAGCACATGGAAACGCCATTTACCTTCCCGCTGCAGCAGTACCTATTTATCTACTTGCACTGGCATGCTTTCGAACTGCTAGGTTGGCAGGAGCTGGGAAAGAGCAACGGGAGCTCACCCCTTCGTGAGGATTTGAACATCCAACCTTCTGGTCGGCAAGCCCAAGAGGCTCAGTGGTTTAGACCACAGCGCCACCCGCATCCATAGCTTAGTACTGTCTTGACACTGACTGCCAGTGGTTCTCTAGTGTTTCAAAAGAGTCTTTCCCATCTCTGCTTTGAGATGTAGGAAGTTGAACACAGGACCTTCTACATGCAAGGTGTATGTGCTACCGCTGAACAATGGCTCCTCTGCTGTATCCATTGATGATGTTATTGCAAAATCTATGATAATATGTGTCTGAGTTTATGTTTTCTGCACTTTCTTTCAGGCAGCCAGAATTATTGCCAAGCTAGCAGCTTGGGGAAGAGAACTGATGGAAGGCAGCGATTTAAATTATTATTTCAATTGGATAAAGACCCAGCTTAGTTCGCAGGTAATTATATTATAGTCTAGTGCAGCTCCCCTTGGCCAACAGCTGGGGATGATGATAGTTGTACGGCAAAACACTTGGAGGTCACCAGGTTGGGATCTGGTGATATTGCAGTGCTTATAAACAGGTATATTTGGCAGATCTACAATTCAACTACTTGTATTTAATCATGATTTTAGCTCATGCTCCACAACAAACTTCTCCTGTGCAAGCCCCAATGAGCCCTTAAATTCAAATCAGTAAATGCATTTAAATCTGAATAATGTCCTTCAGCTGATTTTTGTGAGTAGTAGTGTGTGTAGCTGCAGTGGGGAATTGTACATACTAAGTTATTGGAACTTTTTCCTACAGTGTGTATTACAGTGGCCAGGTTCTTGGGGCAGGATATATTTTGGCTGCTTTGTGTGGTACCAGGTATATATTGACAGAGCTAAATTCCCTATTACTTAAAATGTACATCTTATTGAAACACTCGGCCAATTAAGCATTTTTCAAGTTCATTAATGTAAGAGGATTAAATACTTCAAGTGTGCAGAATATCTAAATGTACTGAAGCGTAGCAATGTACAGAAAATGTTAATTACTTGGCTTGAAATGTTGGTACTTTGTGGCTATGCTCTGAGTCAAATGTGGGAAGTGCTGAAAGAGAATAAAGTATTTCCCCTTTTGGATAGTGGGAGCAAATGTGCCATGACCAACCATTTGGAAGCAGAATAGGAGTCACCCCAGATGTGTGACTAACTGCCACCCTTGTGAGCAATATTTAGGGGATGGTCGGAAATTTATTTCCAATTCAGTCACACGTAGGATAATAAATATATGTATATATCTCTCTCATTAGGCTATATGTTTAGATTTGTACATAAGGGCTGTCTTGTTGTGAATCTTTAAATGTAACTTTCTCCTTTCCATGCTAGAAACTACGCAGCAGTGGTAGTGCTAATGATCCTGGAACAGATGTAAGTATCTCTGCATAACTTGTTAATCTTTCTCTTGATACAGTGGGCTAGAAACACTCAAATTAGTGGGAGATGTTGGCCCCGACTACCATGTCCCGTTGATTTCAAAGGAACTAAAGCATGACTAACTTAAACTGCAGTCCTAACTCCATATATCTCAGAGTGTGCCCCGTGGACTTCATAGGACTTACTTCTGCGTAGACATCGTTAGGATTGCACTGTTTGTCTGGATCCAGCCCAGAGTATTGTTTCTTGTGGGACACTGATGCTAGGAAGGCCCGTGCAGTAACCGGGATTGAAATGTATTTTCCAAATATATTGATGTAGAAGATTTGTACTCTCAAGGCAGTCTACAAACTATGGGTGATACCCATAAACTCAGAGTTCACTGGGATGTGCACACCAACCCACAATTCAACAGCCCTTAGTTTTCTGGCTAATGGATGGGCCAGACCATGCACCTCTTTGGCTCTACAGTCCTAGGGCAGCTGGCACTTGGAGCAGAATGTTTTCTGGGAGGGAAAGATTCATGCAGCTGTTCTATCTCTGACCAATAGATTGGTCTTCCCCATGCTGTGATGTTCTTCCTGGGAGGCTGGGCAATAGGCTTTAGCTTCCCAAGGTCCTTTGACTCTCTGGCCAGTAAAGCAATAGAGACTTTGAATAATATATCAAATCCAACTAGCTTCTGAGTTTGAGGTTTCTTCCCAGGATCTCTTTGTCTTGTAAATCTCTGCAGCCAGCTCCTCGATCATTTACGGCTGGGATGAGGAGCTTGTGGTCCTCCCAGATGTTGCTGGATTCCAACTTCATCAACCCCAGTCAGTTGTGATTTATAATCCAGCAACATCTGGAGGGCCAGATGTTTATGGCATGATTGTTTTCAGGGTGATCCTAAGCATGTGGCACTGTCAGATCCCACAGGAATATTATCCATCTTTGCACTTTTGGACAATCACTACGATATGATGGCATTGAAATGGGTGAAACTATACGTGCAGTAATATTTTATCCTTTATGAAGATCTTATTTGTTTAGCTTATATTTTGATAAGAGAGCAGTCCCACAGTTGTGGGGTGGTTGTTTTTAAAGTAATGAAACCAGGCATAGGTTTGGCTCACTCTCTGGGTATCTGTACTGTAAAACTGCAAACTGTGATCCCCAGCCTCGTCCAACCTGTTTAGCCTTCGCAGGTTACTATTCTGTTGTTGATGATATTGCAGGAAGTTTTTGTGAGATTTGATCTGGAGAAGACAGTTCTGTAGTTAACAAATAAAAATAAAACAGGTGTTTCTTATCCGTTGGCACAGTAAATTTGGAGGGGAAATAGAGCTCTGCAGAGAACATTGTTGTGCTAAAAATTACTCTCTCCATTTCCTTCTGTGAATACTTGTTAGGTACGTTAATATTATAATGCTCCTGGATTAGCAGTCCATTAAGCTGCAGATGCTTCAGAAAGCAATTGTGAAATGTCATTTATCTCAAAAGCTGTACTGCTCAGTATTGCCACTTGATGTCTCTAAGAAATAAAAACATTCCCAACAATTCAGGCTATACCAAATGTTCTTGGAATCAGAAATGTAATCAGGTGTAATATTTATTGTCATTAGGGACTCATGTAATAGCGGAGCAGTTATCCTGAGGCACAGGGTTGAAGGGAGGGAATAACTGAATGTTTAAAACAATAGTACTCAGCTTCCAAAATGGGTAAAAGGAAGCTGATTTTAACTCAATTTCCTGTTCAACTTATTTAAATGAATACTGAGTCAACTTAAGTCTTTCTTTGACAGTTGACAATCTGAGGGGTTTTGGAGTTGATGTGCACATCAAATGACCAGGCAACTCTACGAAACTCACAGGGTGACCTTGGGCTAGGGACTGCCTCTCAGCCTGGCCTACTTCATAAGGTTGTTTTGGGGATTAAATGAGGAGAGGGAGAACAATGTATGCCACTTTGAGCTCCTTGGAGAAAAAGCTGGGATATAAATGCAATAAATAATCAACTCTGCATTCCTTCAGTTTAGCTTGAGGTTTTATTTCATAGAAGCAGTTTATGGAGACTAACCTGAGATAAATGGGCAGCTCTGGAGATGTATTAAAAACACAATTTCTGCTGCACTTAATTTGCATATGGTTGGATGTAATTAAACATAATTTATTTTTTTCATAAATGTGGCACCTGCAGTACTATACTATGTGTTGAAGGGTTTGGGGAAAAGGTTGGTGAACTCTCAGTTATGGATTAGCTTGAAAATCCTTGATTTATTTGTTTAAAATGTATTTTCTGCCTTCCATAAGGATCCTAAGGGTCTGGTTTATAGGAAAATAAATAAAAACAAATGCAAGGAGGATCAAAAAATCTGAAAAGGTTACTCACTTTTATTTTTTTAGTGATGGCAGCTTTCTTAGATGTTCCAGCTTTTTGCTAAAAAACCCCCAAAAAACCTGTTTACAAGGCTTGCTGCCCTGCCAAGCCAAGGCATGTTCCTGAGACAGTTCTATCCAGAACAGCTGAGCAAGACAAAGGGAATGCTTTGAAATTTTCACTACTTCCATAGTGGTCCAGGTGTCTTAGGATTTGTGTGCTTGGGAATCATGAACGGAAAAGCATGGAAGGTTGGACTCCTTATGCTAGTCTGATGTGCCACCAAAGAGTTTTAAGTGTTACCTGAAGGCAGCCCTGTATTGGGAAGTTTTTAATATTGACAGTCTTCTAGTTATGGGGAAAAGTAAGGGGGCTATATCTGGTTGGAGCTTTTGATCCTATTTCCACATGTGTTTTGTATAGATATTAAAGAATGGTGAGAACACTACCAGTGATTTTGATTTTCTGCTATTTGCTGATGCAATACAGGAAGGATGGTGGTTTCAGTGATTTGGGCTTATTTATGACTTTGCTTAGGGGACGCGGGTGGCGCTGTGGTCTAAACCACAGAGCCTCTTGGGGTTGCCGATCAGAAGGTCAGCGGTTTGAATCCCCACAACGTGGTGAGCTCCTGTTGCTCGGTCCCTGCTCCTGCCAACCTAGCAGTTCGAAAGCACGTCAAGGTGCAAGTAGATAAATAGGTACCGCTCCAGCGGGAAGGTAAACGGTGTTTCCGTGCGCTGCTCTGGGTTGCCAGAAGAGGCTTAGTCATGCTGGCTACATGACCCGGAAGGTGTACGCCAGCTCCCTCAGCCAATAAAGCGAGATGAGCCAGTAAAGCCAGTAAAGCAACCCCAGAGTCGTCCACGACTGGATCTAACAGTCAGGGGTCCCTTTACCTTTACCTTTATAACTTTGCTTTAAATAGGAGCATTTTTTGAGGTGTAAAGAAAATTGAACCCTGTTGGTCTTATTCATGTGCATTTTCAAACTTGGAATCTAAGTGTAGAGAAAATAATAATAATAATAATAATAATAATAATAATAATAATAATAAATGTATTATTTATACCCTGACCATCTGGCTGGGCTTCCCCAGCCACTCTGGGTGGCTTCCAACAAGATATTAAAATACAGTAATCCATCAAACATTAAAAGCTTCTCTAAACAAGGCTGCCTTCAGATGTCTTCTAAAAGTCTTGTTCTCTTTGACATCTTTGACATCTGGTGGGAGGGAGTTCCACAGGGTGGGTGCCACTACCAAGAAGGCCCTCTTACTGGTTCCCTGTAACTTGGCTTCTCACAGTGAGGGAACTGCTAGAAGACCCTCGGCGCTGGACCTCGGTGTCCAGGTAGAACAATGGGGGTGTAGATGCTCCTTCAGGTATACAGAAAAGCATGTATCCTTTACATTGAGATAATGTATCTTCTTCTTTTTAATAAGTTTTTTATTAATGTTTTTCACAATGCAGTAAGATTATTAGAGATAACATCGTGTTTACATAGGTTAGGAAGCAGTTCTTCAGCTTCCCAGCTACTGTATTCATAGCAAAATAAACATTGATTACTGTACATTGTGTGTATTCTTTTTCTCTGAAAATGTCATGGCTGCTCGCTGCAAGTTCAGGGACGACTTTGAAAAGAGAGTAGGAGTTTGTGAGTTGTGCTGTAAAACAATGCAGTTCTGTAACTGCTTTGATGCAGTTTGACAACGCAGTTGAAGCCTTACAAATTTGCCCCGGGTTCCATAGTTGGTTGGATACAAGTTTGGAATAGAGACAATGCTTTCAAATGAACACATAATCTATTGAATTACAGGTCCTTGGATTCCTGTTGTTATTGTTTTATATAATGTTGTTGGAGTAACCTGACAGTGAACTGCATTCAGTAGTAGCTTGGGCTAATGTTTATTTGTTTCTCTTCCATTTCATTTATATTCTTTGAAATGTTGTTACTCAGAAATTGTTCTGAAAAGCCTGACTTTGCTCTGTGTCATAGATGGGCAACCTCTTTTTTTCTATCATGGGCTGCATTGCCAGGGATCTGTCAGGGATCCCAGGCCAGTTGGGGTGGAGCAAAAGCTGATGTTGGGTGAAGCGATGGATTTAACTCATCTGGAATGAATGCTGCCCTGCTTCAGTTTCCCCTGTGGCTGCCTCTGATTAGAATTCTCAAGAAGGCAAACTCGGAAGTAAGCCCCACTGGGGTCAGTGCAATTATTCTTAATTAAGTATATAGAAGGGATTCTGTTAGCACAACTGACCAATAGAGCTATGTTTCTAGAAAGCAAGTGAAGGTACTTTCTTTTGGTCTTGGGGGAAGGGGTAGCCACTGTGGTGCTCTCTAGATGCTGCTGGCCTACAACTCCCATCAGCCACAGACAGTGTGGTCAATGATCAGGGGTGATAGGAATTGTAGTTCACCAACATCTGTAGAACAACAGGTTGTGAGTGCTACATACAGTGGTGCCTTGGTTCTCAAACTTAAACCGTTCCGGAAGTCCGTTCCAAAACCAAAATGTTCCAAAACAAAGGCACACTTTTCCATAGAAAGTAATGCAAAGTGGATTAATCTGTTCCAGACTTTTAAAAACAACTCCTAAAACAGCAGTTTAACATGAATTTTACTATCTAACGAGACCATTGATCCATAAAATGAAAGCAGTAATCAATGTACTGTAGTCACACAATCAATCAATCAATCAGCAGCTGCACTGGGTTCCACACAGTCACAAAAACAATAGAGCCACAAAAACAAAATAAATAGCAAAAAGCGACAAACTTCAGCATAACACTCAAAACGGAAGTGTGGCACTCAAAACGGAGCATGTTAAAGTTTTAAGTTAAATAAAACTAAAACTAAAATGATGGTAAAGAACATGGGGGAAGACCTAAGGAGGCAATTAGAACTCCAATCAGGAATTAAAGAAGTAAAAAAGGTAAAATACCTAGGAGTGTGGCTTACAATGAAAAACATAAATTTAATGGCTGATAACTACATTAATACCTGGAAGGATATCCAAAAGGAACTAGACATCTGGAACAGGATCAAACTCTCCTGGTCAGGTAGAATGGCAGCAATCAAGATGTGCATACTGCCGAAATTATTATTCCTATTCCAAAACGTTCCGGTGATTAGAGGAAGTGCTGTATTCCAAAACTGGCAAAAAATCCTCTCTAAATTTATATGGCAAGGTAAAAGACCGAGAATTAGATTTAAATTGTTAACGGATAAAAAAGACAGGGGAGGATTCTCGGTCCCAAATCTGAGACTGTACTATGAAGCCTCGTGCCTTTGCTGGCTTAGAGAATGGATTATTTTGAAAAATACAGACCTGCTAGACCTAGAAGGATTTGACTTAAGATTTGGTTGGCATGCTTATCTCTGGCAGAATAAGGAAAAGGTGCATAAAGGCTTCTCGAACCATATTATCAGAGGAACATTGTTAGAAACATGGGAAAAGAACAAGAAACTGTTGGGGGAAAAAAAACCCTGGTGGCTATCGCCTATAGATACGTTAACTATTAAAAAAACAAATATAGAAGGTGAGAGATGGACTTATGAAGACCTCCTAGAAAGATCAGAAAGAGGATGGAAAATTAGACCATATGAAGAGTTAAAAAGTAAATTATCAGGTTGGCTGCAGTACCATCAAATCAATGCCCTATGGAAGGAAGATTAAAAGATCGGAATGAACAAAAAAAAATCCAAGTTCCAGGTAGAAATAATAGAAGGTAAAACTAAACTGCTATCTAAAATGTACAATCAGCTATTAGAATGGGACACCAAGGATGAGGAGGTTAAGGATGTCATGACAAAATGGGCTATAGACCTCAGATACAATTTGGATTTCAACAAATGGACGAGGCTGTGGACTAAAGGAATGAAATTTACAGCTTGCACCACCCTCAGAGAAAATATGGAAAAGATGATGTACCATTGGTACATCACCCCTGTGAAACTGCAAAAAATGTATAAGACCGGCGATAATAGGTGTTGGAAGTGTAAAACCAAAGAAGGAAGTTTCTTCCACATGTGGTGGAAGTGTGAAGAAATCAAAAAAATTTGGGAATCAATATATAATGAACTGAAAAAAAAATTTAAATACACTTTCGTTAAAAAACCCGAAGCTTTTCTTCTGGGAATGATCGGAGACGAGATTAAAAAAGAGGATCATATAATGTTTCAATACGCAACCGTAGCTGCCAGGATCTTGTTAGCAAAAAATTGGAAAACCCCAAATATCCCGACTGTTAAAGATTGGCAAATTAAATTATTTGAATATATGGATTTGGCAAGAATGACACAGAATATCAGACAGCAAAAAGGTACAAAGTTTATTGATGACTGGAATAAATTTATAATGTACATGGAATCAAATTCTAGAGATATAAAAATCACAGTAGGTTTAATATAATCCTTGCGATGTTTAGATGATATAAAATGAAAACTGCAGAACAGAATTACTACTTTACATAATCCAAAATCAAGATGGAGGGAAGTCAACTTTTATTTGTGTTAACTGATGTTTGTCTTCTGGTTTGTTTATATTTTCTGTTTTGGTTGATGTCTTTCTTTTTTCTTCTCATTGGTGTGTTCGGTTTGTTTTTCTTTTTCTTTTTTCTGTTGTTGTTTGGCTTAGAAAATTAATAAAAAGAAATAAAACAAAAAACAAAAAACGGAGCATGTTTGGCTTCCCAAAAAAGTTCGCAAACCGGACACTTACTTCCGGGTTTGCAGTGTTTGAGTTCCAAGTTGTTTGAGTACCAAGGCATTTGAGAACCATGGTACCACAGTACAAGCATGCACAAACACAACAGAAGCCTACCAAATTGTTCTCAAACAGCTGATTGGGGAAAAGCCACACAACCAAAAATATATATAACAAATAATTATCCAAGAAAATAATTGCCACTTACAGGGTATAGTTGTTCTGAAACTATGTAGGAAGAGGTGGGAAACTTTTTTAAAAGCTAGGGAAAATAAGGAGGGAATTTTAAAAGGAAGAAAGGAACTCTGAAGGAATTGAAGAATAGGGGAACGTTAGGAGGACACTGGTTCCCTATGTACTGAACATCTGCTGTATTTTTCATTAAGCATCTAATAAAAGACTTACTTGGGAGCAGAGGGGAAATCTGGAAATTAGGCGGAATATGTTAACAATAACATTATGCTCTTGTTCAGTGTTGGCTAGGTTTTTGCTGTTGAAGTGTGGGTTCTCACAGCCTACCTAAGTGAGAGCCCTGGTAAATAAACTGATTATTGACTTGATAATTTGAATTTGATTCTGTCTAAGGACACTGTGGCATGAATGTTGTTAGCCTTAGTGACTAAACACAACTTTGGAATAACAATAGGCACTGATGGCAGTGGGCTGGCTTTTGTTAAAGTAAAAGAAACAGTGATAATTGGAGACTTCTCAGTTGTTCTCACACTTACCTATCTTCAGTGCAACAACAGGATATATGTATTTTTTGTAATGGTGTATTCTTCTTTCATGTAGAGTTCGCAATATGTCCAGTGTGTCGCCGGGTGCTTGCAGTTGATGCTCAGGGTCAATGAATATCGTTTTGCATGGGTCGAATCAGATGGAGTTAGCTGGTGAGTATTTGTTGTACAGAAAAAGATGAGCTTCTAGTATACCCATGATGAAAGTGTTTTCCTACTGATTTATGCATTCTGTTGAGCTGTTAAAAGAGTCCTTAGGATAAGTTTGCAAATCTAAAAGTGTTGTACAGTCGTACCTTGGATCCCAAATGCCTTGGCTCCTGAGCAAATCGGATCCCGAACGAAAAACCCCCGAAGTGAGTGTTCTGGTTTTCAAATGATTTTTGGAAGCTGAGCATCTGGCATGGCTTCCGCAGCTTATGATTGGCTGCAGGACGATCCTGCAGCCAATTGGAAGCCGTGCTTTGGTTTCCGAACATTTCGGATGTCGAATGGACTCCTGCAACGGATTCCAATCGGCTTCCATGGTATGATTGTAGTCCTATCTCATAGATAATTCTGGGTATTGTTCTGTGAGTGCACTGGATTCTTTAACAAAATTCTGTTTACTTTCCAAATAAGTCCCTTGATGAGAGTCCATGATATTTTTAAAGAACATTTTGTTTGTGCAGTACATATAACTTCAGTTGCTGCAATCGTGTATGTAGTATGGACTTCTGTAACTTTGCTCAAGAATACATGTAGATGTTTAGGAGAGATGGATAATATAGCTGGGCTTCTGAAAAGCCTTTGACACAGTCCGTAACCATAGCTACTGAGTAAATTTAGCAGTCATGTGATAGAAAGGCTGATTCTATTCTGAGAGACAAGGAAAATCTGTGGCTCTTGGGAAGTTGTTGAATTCCAATTCCTCAGCCAGCATGGCTAGTGGTTTGGGATGGTGGCCGTATGGAGGGCGAAATGTTAGCAAACACTGTTCCAAAAGTTCCCTTAACTATGCTCAGAAATGCAGTGGTAAATTTTGAAGCTTTATCACAGCAGCCCATATACAGGCCGAAAGGAAAGTTCAAAAATGCTGGCAGCATAATTTGTAGTTTTATTAGGGCTAGCATGACTATAATTTCATTGTTTCGTGGTAGCAAGCACCATTATATACATCGGTGTATATAGGTTCATATTTCAAACACATTCAGCTTTAACAAAAGATTTTAAGCCATTTAAAATGTAACCTTTAGTTTTCACTTAGAAATGCAAACCATCTTGTAAAGAATTGTTACCATTTGAACTCCTGTTGTGAAGTAGGAACTTCATCAAAGAAAAGGAAGGCAATACCAGCCTCTGCTTGATTATTTCTCTCATTTTGAGACTTCCTCTGTATTCTGATTTGTCACAAAACAACAGCAGCAGCAGCAGCAGCAGCAGCAGCAGCAGCAACAACAACAACAGTGAAACCCTACAATCTCAGTATTGCCTTATTCATTTGCTGGAGCAAGGAGGGACCATCAGATACCCTGTTGTTCCAGCAGATGATTTCACCTCTGCTGTGAATAAAGTAACTGAGCTTTGCTCCCTTGCTCCCTCCTCTACTCTACCCTACCCTACCCTACCCCTGGCAGACTAAATTGCATTCTGTTGTTTGGCTGTTTAGTGTTTGCTAATTTGTTTAGTGTCTCTCTAATTTGTATGGAAATATATTTGTGAAAGGCTTTTCTTTGACAAATTCAATGTGTCTGGAAGTGAAGAGTTTACATTCTGAATTATAGGATAGTGAGCAGCTGCCTAATGGTATGTTTCTTATGCTTTCCCCCTGCTCTCTAGTATCATGGGAGTATTGAGTAACAAATGCGGTTTCCAGCTTCAGTATCAGATGATTTTCTCTATCTGGCTGCTGGCATTCAGTCCTCAAATGTGTGAATATTTGCGGCGTTATAATATTGTCCCAGTCCTGTCTGACATCCTTCAGGAGTCTGTAAAAGAGAAAGTCACTAGGATCATTCTTGCAGCATTTCGGGTGAGTGAAGTATGTAGACAACAAATTCTTTATACTGGGGTGGGGGGCTTTAGGTCTTGGGGCCAAATGCAGCCCTCTGGGCCTCTGTGGCTCTCTGGACATTCCTCAGGCCACATTTTCCACTGGCACTGCCTCACACCCTCCATGACTGTTTTTGCCTGACAAAAGTATGCTCTTGAAGACTGAGAATGCCTTCTGCTTTCCTAGATATAAGAGGTGTGTATACAGAAACTAGCTATTGTGCAAAGGTAAACATTTACATTCAGCGATCCATCCACATGAAACTAGGGTGATGTCTGAACACTCCTCAGTATGCTATGTCATCTTCCTGATACAGAACTGTAAAGAATGCTAGCAGGATGTGGCAGGAAATGACAGTAGGGTCAGTCAAAATATAGAGGGAGTGCCAATTCACAGAGAATCCCATCAGTACCTTTTTAATTAATGGCTATCAGGGTCTGACACCGTTTTGTTTGGTTTTTCTTTCCAGAATCTTCTAGAAAAGTCTACTGAAAGAGAAACTCGCCAGGAGTATGCTCTTGCCATGATCCAGTGCAAAGTTCTGAAGCAGCTGGAGAACTTGGAACAACAGAAATATGACGATGAAGACATAAGTGAGGATATAAAGTTTCTGTTGGACAAACTTGGGGAGAGTGTGCAGGACCTCAGGTAAATTTTGTCTTCAGTGTCTAATGTTAAAATTGATACAAGGAGGGTCCTCCTTGGGGTATAGGCTCCCCACTGAAGCACCTGTCAAGATCAAATAGAGGCCTAGTTATTAGAATGATAGCTTGTCTAGTGATTGTTTTCTGCAATGCTGTAGATTCCAAAGACCATATGAAAGAAATAACTGTAAGACCAAGCAGGCTTTTCTTTTTTTAAAACCAACTTCACATGATTTGTACCTTGGGATGGTATCAGATTCAAGTAACCATAAAACTACAAAATAGTTATCATTTGTCATTACCATAAATAGGCTTTATTTACACCTCATTTGGGAGTACCTCATCATCTTATATAAAATCAAAATAAAGTACCAAAACAGAGTGCTTTAAGTGCAGAAGGAGTTGTGTTTTTAAAAAATCAACAGACATGGCATGTAATTAATAATAATAAAAATTAATGGAAATCAGAATTGCTATGCCTTCAAAAATAAAAGAAAATGGCTCTGTGGTTTTATATTTGGCTAAGCACCAAACTGTTGTTGTCCTAGGTTATTAGAAAATGACCATGCACATACGTAGTTAAAAGATTCTAACGGCTAGATTCCCATTTTCCAAAGCTGGTTGTGTGACCTGGGAGAGAAGCACATGTTAATCTGAGTAAGGAATGTTTTCCCTATTATGGCAACTTCCTAGAAGCAAACTCCAAATTGGATCTGAATGTCCTAGGCTACAATCCTATCCTTGTAATGCAAAACTGTCAGCAGCGGAGAAAAATCTGGAAAAATTGACTCCTTTAGCTTCAGTCTGGCCAAATTAGAATTCATGGTAAATAGGCCACGTTCATCCCAATGAAAATATGCTGCCATTTGTAAATTGTACTTCTATATTTATAAGTGTTCATACTTATGCTTGTAAGTGCCACTTACAATTTTTGTAAAATGCTGTACAAAGAATCCTAAGTGCAGTGGGAGGTTTGGATGTGCTGTTTGCTTTCATATATTGTCCTTGTGCATCAGATTTATTCCTCATTCTCATATGTTCGGTTTATTTTGCAGTTCGTTTGATGAATATAGTTCTGAGCTTAAGTCGGGGAGACTAGAGTGGAGCCCTGTTCACAAATCTGAGAAATTTTGGCGAGAGAATGCTGTGAGATTAAATGAAAAGAATTATGAACTGTTGAAGTAAGTTCTTCTGATATATCCCTGCTTCAGTTGAATTGTTGTGTTGCTCAGAGTAACCAAAGTTTCATTTAGGGTATCTGCATAAGGTAGAGGGACTATAATACCATTTTCAATAAAAGGTTCCCGTCTTAGAAAATGTCTCAAGTGAGCACAGTGAGAGAGAGAGAAAAACTTTGTTGCTTTGTATGGTATGGAAACTAAATTGGGAGCCTTAGCTCAGAGGGCTGTATACAGGTCCCATTAATTCAAGGACTTATTCCTGCACAACAGGACTTCCACTGCTTCTTCCTGCAGCACCCCCAATCTGTTCTTGGTGTTCTGCCAGCCCTCTGGAGGAGATTTCTTTTGTGGAGCATGAAGGAAAGGAAGTTCTGTTGCACAGGTGGAAGTCCTTCTGCTAATGACACAATTTCATAGGACACAATCTACTGTTTTCTTTTTGGAGCGCAGGTGAATTTGTAAGAGCATTGGCTTGCTTCTTAAATGAAATGTGGCTTGATTCTAGAACAGCAAATGTATGGTTTTGATATATTTAGACACTTCCTTAAGATTGCTGGAAACTATTAAAGATGGGGTTTGCAGCTAATGGCTGTGATATGATGTCCCTCTCCCCCCAAAAAGAGTTTTTCCCCCATCAGTATCCTTATCACTGCTGTAGCATCCAAATGTAGCATAAATATCTGTTCATAGTAGTGTCATACTTGCCTGTTCAGGAATATGCATTATTCATTCCAAATGAGATAATCAGTCAAGTGTCTGTGCTGTGATGTCTTGGCTTCGATGCTTCAGCTGTCTCTAGAGATGCCTTGCAGATCAAAAGGCTTAGCTGAGCATGAAGCAAAGTGGTAATTATCAGCAACACTGGTTTTGTCTTCATTGAGAGTTGAGCTAACTTATAGCTTATTAAGTATATTATTGGTTTCTTTAGTTTATCGTTCAGTGTACAAATCCTGAAAAGATATCTGTGAAATGAGTACAGTTTCCTCTCCCCACAAAGGCTTATTTGAATTTTTGCATGGCAGATTAATAAGATTAGAATTTACCAGAGAATGTATTAAGAATTTACAGCTGAACACATTTGCTAAATATGTGTTGGACATTCATTACCTAGATGATTTGGGATAGCATTCAACTAAGTCATACTTGGAACCGACTGACTGAAATCAGTGATGTTAAGTTAGTCGTGACCAAGTCTATTGATTTCACTGGGGTGGAATCTACACGCATGTTAAAAACATTGTGAATATGCTTTTTAAAAAATCATTTTGAAAAATGCATTGAATTTGCTATCGCTCACAGTCTCCATTTAGTGTCACAATTGTATACTGCACTTTACAACACATTCAAAACATTTTATTTGCAGCGAGATGACCGCCGCAACCCCAGAGTCGTCCGCGACTGGACTTAACGCTCAGGGGTCCCTTTACCTTTACCTTTTTAGCTGAGTCCTAGGTGTACCCTGAGTGTGATTTTGAAATATCTCTCAAAATATTTGTGTGAATCTAGAAAAGTTTTCTAGTACTGAAGTAACATGGCAGAGGTTTATTGAGTTTTATCAATTTTTTGTATGCTATATTTTGTACACTCCATAGTGAATAAGGATCTTGTATATTTGCAATCCTATTGTAGAATCTTGACAAAGCTTCTGGAGGTATCAGATGATCCTCAAGTCTTGGCTGTAGCTGCTCATGATGTGGGAGAATATGTCCGACACTATCCTCGAGGAAAACGGTGTGGAAGGCTTTTTCTTATCTTTGCTTAGCACCGGATTTAATATAAGGGCCATTTCTTATTACACAAGGAACAGTTAGTGTAACCTTCTGTTAGACCTTACTATAAAGTATCAGTGGATGGTTTAATTTGATTTTATATTTATGCATGTGAGATGCTTTCAGTAACATTTTTATATGACTATTTGAATTTTATTAAGTATTGCAATTTCTAGTGAATGATGTCATGTAAACTTTTTGATGATATGAGCTGCTTTGATCATAGTTCACAATGGAAAATGGCATACAAATCAGTTGAGCTAAAATGGACTGAGATGTTTGTGCTGAAGAAGCACCCACATTTGCTTTCCAAACTAATCTTACTTCACCAAACCTTTATTAGGCATTACAAGTATAGTCCATCATAAAACATCCATATATAAAATTTTAAAATATACAGATAAACAGTCACGTAAAATATTTAATGACGAGGATTTTCATTGGGATTTCTTCCCACTGAATAGTGCCATTCACCACTCTAAGAGAGACTATTGACAAAAAACTCAGCCACCCTTGCAGTTACTTCTGGGTTAATGTCAGACAGATAGTCTGATATTTTCATTGTGTCGTGATGTTAGATGACCCAAAAAAGGGACTAACAAGCCTTATTAGCTCGTTATGCAATGGACAGTAGAAAAGGATATGTTCTACAGTGTCCGGCACATTCAAATATCATCTGCAATGTCTATCATTTTGGGGATGTTTAAATATCTGCCCTTGACAAAAGCTGAGGGGAAAACGTTCAATTGGATTAGCATTAGCGTTAGGCTGGAATTATTTATTTTGAGACCCTGTTACCGGTTGTATTTAAACCATAGAACTTTGGGGAGCAAATTTTATGTACAGCTGACTCGATGTTTTGTTTTTCCAAACTAATCCATGTGCCTTATTAAGCTTTCGATTAGGAAGTTTTAAGACAGCATATTGAAGCTAGTTGAGGGGAATTCAGTTGAAGTAGTAGACAGTGGTGGGGAATCTTTACTGACAGGCAGTCAGGATTCTAACCTCCCCCACCTCATACATGGGTCTGCTGGAAATTTGTGGTGTTGGTACTGTAAAGTAACTTAAAATGGTGTGAGGTTGGCGGCTGCTAGTAATCAGAAGCGGAAGGAAACTTGAAAACACACAACACCCACCCACCCCTGACCACTACCTCTCTCTTACCCATGCTCTCTTCTCTTCTTGTAGTGTGATTGAGCAACTTGGTGGAAAACAGCTTGTAATGAACCACATGCACCATGAAGACCAACAGGTTCGCTATAATGCCTTGCTTGCTGTGCAGAAGTTGATGGTCCACAACTGGTATGTGACAACTCACTTTCACTTTGGGGATTTTGTTTTGTTTTGTTTTGTTTTGTAGATTTATATACCATCCTTCATCATAAGATCTCAGGGCAGGAGTTCTTTTTGGGAATGTGTGAAACTCAAGTCCTAAATTATGACATGCCTCTTGGGGGTTACAATAAAACTTTGGTACCCTCTACCACTGAAATGATAACAATCTTAGAATTAACTCAGCAACTGGCAGTAGTGTCATTGTTAAGTGAAATTTAGCAGCTCTTCTGCTGTCTTTTTTCCCTATTACCCCCCCCATTTTGTTATTTAATGAAAATTGAAGTAGACTGTATAAAACCGAATATATTATTATTCCTTTTTGTTTTCTGACGTTTAGAATGCCTGATATTTTCAGCCTTTAATTGTGTTTCCATTAGAATTTCCTGCAGCAGGATACATTTATATGTCCAGCAGATCTTTGGTGAACAGAAATGCAAGATGCATTTGTATTTTTCTAATAGCTGAACTGAAAGAAATAGATTCTTGTTAAAAAGTTGTTTAAAGGTTTCTGAACTGATTTGTTTTGTTTAACAAAATGTATGTACAACTTGCTTGTTAAAAAAAACAAAAACTTTTTTTAATGGTTTATAAAACATGAAATATATTGATAAAACATGGTTAGATACAGGTATCAGTAAGCATTTGAAGGTGATTGAAATGAACAGTAGCTAAAAAGAGATAAACTACATGTACCTTCTAAATGTCTGGATAGGGTTGCCTGAGCAAAAATGTTTTAAGCAGGTGCCGAAAAGAGTATAGCCTGCCAGACATCAAAAGGCAGAGAGTTGTAGGTGCTGTTAAATGAAACAATTTATTTCTTAGGATAGTTTTATAAACTTTTGTGCACAGATGCAGGGCATTAGGCAACAGATTCTTTAGCCTTGTTTCTTAATGGCTTGGGGGGCACTTTTTCAGCTGTAGCAACTTAGTTGAAACTTTTTGCAAGTAATGCAGGCACAACAGTAGCACATCCCCTCCATGAACTACCCCATTATATTTTGTAAAATTTATATACTAGAGAAAAGGCAGACAGCCTGCCTGCCTAGTATATATCAGATCATTACAGGCTATTCCCATCATCCTATTCCTTGGGAATGGAATAAAGAATTTCCTAATGTCATTCTTCAAGATGCATAATCCACTACTCCTGTTACCTAACCACTATAATCAACTACTTCTGGCCTGTGTATACTCTAGAAACTTATACAGAAGAGAAGTTTAGCATGGTAAATCTAACTTTGTAGTGTTGCATCCCTCCTTTTCATTAGTTTCCGTTACCTGTCATGGCCTTTCAGAAGGCCTGCAAGGCTTTTACCTCTGTACTCTTTCTGTGCAATTGAAAATGCAAGGAATACAGTTGTACCTCCATTTATGTAACCCTCTGGTTACATAAACTTTGGGATGTGCGCGGCAAACCTGGAAGTATTTTACCGGGTTTTGCCCTGCGCGCATACGCAGAAGCAGTCCTCAGGTTGTGGAAATCTCGGGATCTGACCAGACCTCCAGAACAGATCCAGTCCACAACCGGAGGTACCACTGTAATGACAAAGAGCAGAGCCCACATCCTGGTTTTATCCTCAGCATCACGTAAAAACAGAAAATTAATTGATCAGCAGCCCACATTGATACTATGGTACAATTTATGGCCCAATCCCATTGTGAGGATGGACTTTTTAGACCACAGGCAAAGAACAAGGCTCAATATAGAATGAATCACTGTCTGTGGCCTCGGATCTTTCCCTTCCAGGTAATAGTCCCCCCCCCACCTCAGTAAACTTCAGTAACCAGCATTTCTCCCATAGTAGTTGTTTCTCTTGTAGCCCCATATTCCTTTCCATCCACTCAAGTTTCTAAAACGAAAATACCCACTGTTTGGAAATATAACTTTGTGGATTGTTACTAAGAAGGCCTATTACACTGTCACATTTTTTGTCTCAAATCTCTCATCCACATGGGAGACGGCTACATAGAAAATTGGAACATAAAATGAGGTGAACGTTGTGATTAGCTCTTTCCCAATATATGTCCCACCAAGAGTTGCATCTGTTTGGTTGTGGTCAGCTGGATCATCAAGCTGTGTTTCACTTAGGTTTCAATTCTACACTCTACTTACCTTTTAAGGCCCTGTGAGGTTCAGCAGGATTTTACACGCGGGTGGCGCTGTGGGTTAAACCACAGAGCCTAGGACTTGCTGATCAGAAGGCCGGTGGTTCGAATCCCCACAACCGGCTGAGTTCCCATTGCTCAGTCCCAGCTCCTGCCAGCCTAGCAGTTCGAAAGCATGTCAAAGTGCAAGTAGATAAATAGGTACCGCTCCGGCGGGAAGGTAAACGGCGTTTCCGTGCGCTGCTCTGGTTTGCCAGAAGCGGCTTAGTTATGCTGGCCACATGACCCGGAAGCTGTACGCCAGCTCCCTCGGCCAGTAAAGCGAGATGAGCGCCGCAACCCCAGAGTCGGCCATGACTGGACCTAATGGTCAGGGGTCCCTTTACCTTTACCTTTAGACATGTATAGGTCTGCACTGTTAATAATATACTTTTGTAGCAATTGATGATTCTATAAAAAACACAACCCTCAGAGTGAGGAAAGTACAGCAAATGCATCCAAACCTGGTACAGTTATGTAATTTATCTGTGATACTCTTAATAACTGAACTGATAAAATGCAAAATTGACTATATATTTAACTGGTTTTGAAAAGTCATGTAATTTAGGTACTATTGCTTTTAAATAGGATTCTGAAGCAATATGACATTGATGATGAAGCTGTTTCTAAATTAACAAGCATGTGAATGTCTGCTATGCAGCTCATAATTAGCTCTGCAGCCATGTGAAGCCACATAAAATATTTTTATGTTTGAAATGAATATTCTGTATCTTCCCCTGTGAGTTTCTCAATACATCCCTGTATTTCCCCTGCTGAAAAATACATCTTGTACTTCACTCTTTCTGGGGTTTCATTTTGGGATACTGCTCTACACCTCTTGTTTAATTAATGTTTGTTTTTCAGTCTCAGTATCCCAGAATTTCATACAGGGGAACTGAAACGGCATTTGTTTGCCAATGACAGTAATTTATTTTCAGATTTCTATATTGAAGGAAATGGTACTTTAGACTGTGTCTCAAGCAAGGTTTAATTAAGGTTCAGTCAGTCACAATTTATTTCAGATTCTTAAAATTAGGTTGCTATGTGTAAAACTGCACAAATTTGTTTTCTGTTCAGCTTGGTAAATGTGTCTTGATTCATGTAGATTCATATTGGATTACTGAAGCAAATAAAGAATCAAGTCAAATGTAAATTAGTGAGGAGATAGGTTTAATTTAGAAGACATCTTTAATCTAGCATTGCAATATAAGTGAAGACCTTAACAGCACTTTACAAATAAAAACCTAGACATGATTGAGCCAAAGTCCAACACCAGCCAAATTTTGTTGTATTCTGATACAGTACCATCTCGTCAGTTTGAGGCAGGCTGTATTGTTGCCATTTTGCTAGAAGAAATTGTACAGTATGTCTGAATTCTCCAGCCTAAGCTGATCTGTTTGTCTAATTCTGGGAAATGGTTGCACATGTTCTGAGATTTAACATAAGCAATAAAATCTGAAACTATCACAATGAAACACTTTGCTGGTATAAACTAGCATGGCTAATGTTCAGAATATATATTTGTTGTTTTTTAATGTAAAATTCAGACCTGAGGCATTTAGCAAAACTGGCATCTCAGTGGAACTGCTGTGGGCTAGTTGAGGCAAGAAATTGCCTACTTCTTTTGAAAACAGTAACCGCTACTTATTTCCTTCAGAAAACTCTCATTAAGTATTCATCATTGGTCCTTTAAAAATGTCTCGCCCACCCCTTGTTTTCTTTCAGGGAGTATCTTGGAAAACAGCTACAGTCAGAGCAGCCTCAAACTGCCACAGCACGAAGCTGAGTCTGTCCTTTGGCGGGAAATAACTGGAGTAACAATTGCTATCTTGAAGTGCAAGTAAGAAAATGATGTGATTGCAGTTTCTTCACTGCCTACCCTGCTATTGTGTAGATTTCTTCCCTGTTATTCTTCCAGTATTGTTGCCAGGGGTAAAAACTAATCTAGTAAACAGTTTCTGGCAGTTTGCTAGCTGAAGCCCTTTAATATTGCAAAAATATACAAGAAATATAGCTGATATATGTTGCCTTTATTTTATGTATTTATTGTCTCTAAATAAGAAAAAAGAACACAAAGCATTAAAGAATAATCATTCCATATCATTAATTGTCTCTGTGTTGCCTGTTCTTCACTTGGCTATGAATAGTATTGTTCGGAAAGCAACATTTCATTTAATTTAGTTGACAGAATGATTGTTAAAGCTACATATGAAAACAGTAAAAGACCAATTCTTCATCCTCACTGGTGTTACCAAGAAGCTGGAACTCTGTACGTACATATTCTGAGCAATGAAAACATTGTCGTGGCCACCAATGTGAACCACACTCATGTGAGCTGTAGGCACACGCCAGTCACCCAATTAACTCCAGAATTCAAATGCAACAAACACCCTTAATTTGGTCATTAGTCTCCTTTTGTGAGTAAATAGCTTCCACCTGATAAGCATATCCTGCATTATCCTATTGCATTTTCAGAGAACTCCCAAACTTACCTAGTTTCAATGAAGGCAAAGAGCATCATGCTAAAGATAACAATAAATTGAGGACTTTCTCATGTGGTATGACCATTAACTTGACCTAGGATGTCCCTGGAATCTCTTTTGTACCTTGGACTCTTAGGTCAAGCCTTTTGGGGAGGGGGTCGAATTCAGGGAGAGGCCTTATAAGGTTTCCCTATCATGGTACATCTTCCATTCATTCTCCTTTTTGGAATGCTCCCACACAACTTCTTTTCAGATGCTGTACTCTTGTGATATACCATAGGAGATGACTTCTTTATTCCCTCTACTTAAGGTTTATCTAGATTCTTCCCTTGCCTCTTCCCTCCGTGGGTTCCCTTGCCTCTGCTTGTTGTTTGTTTCAGGACTGGAAAGACATCCAGTAGGGTCTTCTGTGAGAGGAAACCCTTTCTGTTTTTCAACCAAATTTGGGTGGGCTCACCAGGAACCTGGAGATAGATGGTTGTGGAAAGGGAATTACAATGAGGTTGAACTATCAGCCCACCCCACTTAATACCACCTTTCTGATAGGCATAAGGATTGTTTTAATGAATTACTCCTCCTTTGCCAAAGCATGTAATCCCAGCCATGATCATGTATCTGTGCTTGTCAGAAATTCAGAGCTTTGGGTCTCAGCAATGCCACTCACTTTCCTCATGAGGACATGCAGCTATTGCATCTCACTTTCCTTACTTTTCTGCAACTTCTGTGTTTTCTCTGACTCCAGCGAGATGGGGAAGCCTCTATTTTGCATGTTAACATTTCCCACTTAATGGATTCTTTCATTTTTCCCATAGCAAAACTGGGTGTTTAAGACGTTGCCTCATTGCTCTGTATTAGGTGACTTTCCACCTCTGGTCTCTTCCCTCTATCACTGTAATGGTAACTAAGTGTATGGTCCAGGCAATGCATGGCTGAATTAGTCTGTGTAATGAATTTTCTCTTCTGTGTTTCTCTAGTGGCATTCCAAGGCACAAAGCCATTGTTGTTGCCTCTATATCACTGTATATTGACATAGTACCTTTATTGAGTTATAAATAAATTTCTATAATTGCAACAGTGGTGTGGTCATTGCTGGCTCTCTGGATCAAGCATGCTAATATAGGTCAGTGCTAATTTTTCCCAAATAAACAAGGTAATCAAAGCAAGAGCAATGCCATATGTATGAGTTCAACTGTCTTCAGTAAAGATCCCAAGAGCAGTATTGCTTATTTCCCAAAATCAGCATTTTAGTGAATGCAAGTATTAAAAGCTCATCTGAATGAGTGTACGGGTGCACGTGACTAGCTGAATTGGTAACACCGGGTGGTATAATATATTTAGAATTGTGAAATACAGTGGTGCCTCGCAAGACAAAGAGAATCGTTCCGCGAGTCTCTTCGTCTTGCGGTTTTTTCGTCTTGCGAAGCAAGCCCATTAGCGGTTTAGCGGATTAGCGCTATTAGCGGCTTAGCGGGCTTAGCGGATCAGCTGATAAGCGGCTTAGTGGCTTAACGGATCAGCTGTTAAGCGGCTTAGCGGATCAGCTGATAAGTGGCTTAGTGGCTTAACAGATCAGCTGTTAAGCGGCTTAGCGGATCAGCTGATAAGCGGCTTAGCAATCAACTGTTAAGCGGCTTAGCGGATTAGCTGATAAGCGGTTTAGCGGCTTGGGAAAAAGGGGGGGGAAAGGAAAAAAACCCCGCAGGAACTCGCAAGACATTTTCGTCTTGCGAAGCAAGCCCATAGGAAATTCGTTTTGCGAAGCACCTCCAAAACGGAAAACCCTTTCGTCTAGCGGGTTTTCCGTCTTGCGAGGCATTCGTCTTGCGGGGCACCACTGTAATAATATTATTATTAGATCCAAGAATTGTCATCTTCACAAAAAGAGACATACTATAAATTTATTTTTCGTGTATCTCTCGCCCCCTCCCAAATTAATGTCTCATTTTGCATTATGTGAAATAGGTTCATAACGGTTGCTCTTGTATACTTCCTGGGGATATATGGATATATGAAAAGTGTGCACATTGGTAAGCAAATATCTGTGTGCATGCCCAGTTTGAAGAAAAAAAACCAGTAACGGACGGTGAATATGTAATAACAGGGGGGAGAGAACATGCACACACCATGCAGATACCATCCTATCAAGGACCATCCACTTTGGAATAAAGGAACACTGGTGTAGGCAGAAGACATTGTTTTGGGATCAGGAAAGCAAAGTGGACGTGCTTGTACCAACCAACCACACACACACACACACACACACACACACACTGAGCTACCCATTGTTCAAGAGATCACCCCTGCATAGACATAGCTGAGGTGAAACTGACAAAAATTTCAGTAGCAAAAGTGAACAATCAATAAATGGCTATCTAATTGTATAGCTTGTTAGTTGCTTAGTGAATTAATACAGGCCTTTATAATTTATTTTGGCGTTTGTAGCTGGCTGGTGTTAGGGGATGTTAATCATTGTGCTTTGTATTAAGTACATTTAAGATTTATTAAGATTAAGTACCAACATGAGTTTGACCAAACTTGAAGCTACCAACATGAGTTTGACCAAACTGCGGGAGGCAGTGGAAGACAGGAGTGCCTGGCATGCTCTGGTCCATGGGGTCATGAAGACTTGGACACGACTAAACAACAACAACAAGAAGATTAAGTACACGTATTAAGATTTAAATATACCTAAGTTAGTGTCCATGAGAAGTTTGAAGCAGTATTCCTTTATTCCAGTTGGCATCAGTAGCGTATTTGAATTGATTTATGCATGTACTGTTATTGTTTTTAAGTTGCTTCCATGTGCAATTGTGTCAACTTTTTATGTATTTTATATATTTTCTATTATATTGTAAATCGCTTTGGGATGCCTCATGGCAAATGATTCATAAATGAGATAAATACTACCACTAAATAGATCTTGAAAAACAGGTTACGCAGCAGAAGAAATGAAAAAAGACCTAGAACGTTGAGACTTTTACTTTTGGATAGATATTGCCGTGGCTGGTGCACTGCCTAGGAATTTTATGCTGCTGCAAAGAGCTTCTGGGGTTGCCAGAGCCCATGTCAAGCAGATGTATTGCACTTGTCCAACTTGGCAGTTATAAATAAGAGACCAGAGTAGCCACAAGGGTGGCAGAACTTTCACTATTTAAAATGAATTTCAACCCCCTTTCAAACAGGCCCTTTGTCTTTTCATTTCCCAATAGCCTTGGGGTACTTAAAATACTTCTATAATTCTTTGTAATCCATCCTAGAAGTTGGTTTGAAAATCACTGAAGGTCTGCTATGTATCGTACTTTGCCTAGCGGTATACTTGTGGTACAGCTCTCATATTGTACCTCTTCTGAATGCAGCTATGAAGTCATATATTAAATGCTTGCATGTAGCTCAAAATATTTGTATGGGACAATTGAGTTTGTATGGTACTACGATCATATACGGACATATTATTGAAGCAATTAAAGATTCTGTAGTTCACTCTACTGCATTGCTTTAACTCTGAGGATGTTGAGAGTACACGGATTTGTGTTAAGTTCATATTCCTTTTGTGTGTTTTTCCTGGTAAATGCTCTCCCATGACATGACCTCCCTGCCTGTGTGGGAAAATAGTCCATTTCTCTCTCAGAGTAACCAGCCAATTCTTGTGAACCAGGCCAAAGAAATATGTATTAAAGGATCTACGTGGTTTCCTTTTGGGAAAGATTAGTTAGTTGCAAGCAAACGACCCCTTTCTATTGTTAAAGCAGACACAATAGCCATGAGCTGAGCTTATATATCAGTACATTTATTTATGTATTGTTTTTGCATGTAGGTTTGGTAAATTTATTAACAATGATCATTTCAAGACTGGAATAGGCCTTGATGGGAATGCTTTGAGTTGGATCCCAAAGTGTCCCTCTACCTCTCATGGAAAGGCAGTTTCTGAGCTTAGTGGAACAGTGGTCTGGGGAAAAGTGACCCCAAATCCAGAGAAGTTCTTCTGTTTCTGCAAGCTCTTCTGAAATACTTTTTTCAATATCTCTCTCTCGAAACCATTTTATTACCCACTGCAGCTTCTGTGCTGTATCCTAGATCTTCCTTATCCAGTGTGTTTCTCATGCTGCAATATAGCACAACCCCAGATTATATTGTGGCACTGCACTGCGAGAATTCTTCTGGTAACACTTGCACAAAGTCCACAGAGCCCTGGTAATAACTTTCTCCATCTGCTCATAGTTTGAAACCAAGACATAATGAAGAAGAACAATGAAATCTCATCTACTGCTGTGTTCCATCCTCCATAGATGGGATCTAGAATGATGATTTTGAACAAAACTGGTGAAACAGATGTCAGAAAGAGCCAACCTTAAACATTCTCCACTGGGTGCTTATATTTATAAATCGTCTGCTGCTTAGAACAGATGCCTGGTATTTGGGATGGTAATGCTGTGTTTTGGTGCCATCCTCTAGTTCCATATTGCATTATCTGAAATCAATATGTCTACTAGATACAGTAAATGTGACAATTGAAATACCTTGAGCAGATGCTTCAGTTACTTCCCTCCGTGATTCGAACCATATTTTAGTTCTCATTTCTTTCGCAGGACCCAATAAAGCTCTGTGCTAATGTTCCCATAGGAGGTACTTAACATCACTCTGAAATCAACATGGCATCTGTTTAAAGTGTAAGGGAAAAGCTAGACCATACTCTGGGAAAATTCTGATTGAGCTTGTGCTTTTGTATGTTAAACTTAAAGCGGGCCTCTTCCATTAAATAAATGGAATGGGTCTTAACCTCCCCTTCAGTGATGTCTTCCTGGTCTAAAAGTCCCCCCTGAAGCTATTTAACCTATGGCAGAAAACCATATAGACATCATACAGGTAGCCACATGTTTCCCTGTAATGCACATAGCAGCTTTGGGAAGGGGAAGGAACTTAGAACTGAAAGGTGGTGTGGGTGATAGGTTGGAAATCTCCAGCATCACTTACCTTATCCAGTTCTCTTCCATCAGCTGCTTTGAACCTAGAAAAAACAAAAACAGATGAGACATCCAGAGATAAGTGATCTGGGGTAATGATTCTTTTCAATATGAATTAATAATCTGGTTTATTCAAATTTATGGGGAATATCATGGGGAATATATTGGCTAAAAAACCTAAAATGCAAATAACTTTAGATTCTCATCTGTTCTATATTGATTGTCCTCTTATGCTACAGAACTCTTATAAGCTACCCTATAAATGTAGTTATTTTCATTTGAATATTCAGCATTAATGCAGCTGGGATCAACATGAAACTAGAATTGTAACATGGCACAACCATAGTATGCCCAAGGCAATTGTTCTCAAAACAAAAGCATGGCTGTACTCATGCACTGTTTCCTTTAACAGTTAATGAATCTTCTGAACTAGCAGTTAATGTATTTCTATGGTTTAGCTTTAAATGCCAGAAGATAATGCCGAACATGAAAGAAGCGAGGAAATTATTAATTGTGGAAATAGGAATATGTTGTTTTTAACAGCTTGATAACAGCCTCACTGTGGTTCATTCACATTAAATGTTCATTGCAGCTAATGTTTAATAAAAAGTGTGCAAACAGCATATTCTTCCATGTATTAATGCATGGCACTTGCTTTTTGTGGAGTTTGCTTTAACCTGCAGCAAAGATACCAGGTTGTGGTGCAGGCCCAGCAAAAAAGTTGGCAAGACAACAGAAACTGGGAGCAGTCCAGAATGATCAGGGTGACTTTCTATGATGCTATGCTTTTTCATGGAAAAAAGAGCTATCTCTGACAACTTGCATTAACTCTTAGAGACTACTTCATTCCAATAGCCCCTCAGTCCCACATGGAGAAAAGGGGACAGATACGCAATGAGAACCATTTCATGGTTTGTTTACTAGCTTGTGCCCAATATTTGCCCTTCAGCTGGCATGGTGTGTTAAGGCACCACAGTGGCACACTAATTGCAGGCTGCTGAAACTCCACTGAAATCAACAATTAAAGCAAATAAAGTGGCAGTCATGCAGAGGCAAATCAGTTCCTTATGCTTTCCTTGATCTTAAAAAATTCTATGTAAATGTAAGATTATTATTATTATTTTTTTAGAAACAAGGTTTAGTCCTTTGCATGCTTTCCCATTTCTTTAATATCCATATAATAGTTGTGGTTTGCAGCTGCATAAAACTGAATACAGTTTTCAGAGTTACAGCTACCCACCCTCCTTCGAGTTATATTGTTGTAATCTATTTTCTTTTGTTAGAAATCAGAGCTGAAGGGTGGTTGTTTTTTGGAAAACCAATGCAGAAATCAAAGCCTGATTGTTCCCATGGTTTTGTAAAAAGATGCTGCCAGATGTTACCACTGTGCCATGTGATCTCTCTCTCGTCATTAATTATACTGTCTGTGAAATCAATCTGGTTTTACTTTGCTCACCGACGGAATAGTTGATTCAAGGATTATAGCTCTGAATTCTATTGCAAGTGACAGCTTAGCCTCCAGACCTAAAACACTCTTACTTTCCTTCGCTCTAGTTTTAACAGCTTGTCCCAGACCCCTGCATTAACCTTGTTTGGGTTCTATGAGCCAAGGTTTCCAAAGGCAAACAGGCTTAATTTGATTTCAGGGTACTAGAAGGGAAATCACAGCTGTATGGCTGATAAAAGAGGACTGCTGTGTTTTGGTGGGGGAAAGCAATAGAACAGACCCCTAGGAAAGCTATTAAGTCAGTGCTGGCATCAACAGAGCATTTTCGTTGCTGTTTTTTAATGCAAATTCATCCAGGACTGTGAGCAGGGAAGCCAGGTTTTCTGCATTCAGAAAACGTAAGGGCTCGGGTCTCAATTATTTTCGTATCACTAACATTTTTCTAGTTTATGAGCTAAGTCAGTAGTTGTCACAGAATGTGCTGGTCAGTCCAAAGTTGGAGTTAACTCTTTCTTAGCAAATGCATGATCTCCACAGACTTGTCTGAGTATCAGGCCTAATGAGCACAGCAGCTCCTTCCCGGTGGATCTTCCTCCAAGAAATCAGTTGCTGAGGCTGAAGGTCCTCGCCTCTCCACAACTGTCTAGGTCTCCTTCTCTCCAGGGCTTTCCCCAAGCAACTGGAGACTGCATTTCCGTGTGGCTAATCTCTCCTGTGCCCTTTTCATGCCTGGGAGACCAGGGGAGAGGGCAGCTTGCCACAGCAAGAGGGGGCGACACTTGGGCTTTTTCACCAGCTTAACACATCTCTGCCTCTTGACCTCCCTCCTCCCACTTGCCAGCTTCAGCTTCTGATTCTGGACTTTTCTCCATCACAGACTCTCCCTGCTCACTCAACTCTCTTCAGCTTCTGACACCTCCTCCTCCCCAGCTTCTCCCTCTTTTCCCTCTGACCACTCATCACTGTCCCACCACCAATCCCTGGACTCTGAACCTTCTTCTTTTGGTGGTTCCCCAGCTGGTTCCTCCCACCATTCCTCTGCGTCCAACCAGACCATGGCAGTAGTATTTCAGACCCAGGATCACCTTTAACTCAGAGTAGAGTCCATAAGACGATTGAATGGTACCCTTCCTTGTGGCAACTCCTGCAGCCAAGCTGATTCCAAATGTATTGCTCTGCTCTCCTTTGGACCACATGAACAAGGGGGGTGGGCAGTCTTGTCTGGGCAGCCCAGGACCTCCATACACACTGGGCAGGCATGTGCCCCAGAGAGGTCTCTTTGGTGGTGTTTAACGCAGAAAAAACAACATAGGAGACAGCAGCTACGAGTTACCAGTCTCTGCAGCAGCAGCAGCAGGCACTGTGATTCTCCAGTGGTTTGACTTCATCCCCAGAGGTGCACTCCATTGTTTCTTGAGACAGATGAATGCCAGCAAAACTGAGGCTACCATCTTTCAAGGAGAAAAAGCTAGAAATGTTTCACCAGTTGGAACTAAAGTTGCCAGCTAGGGGAAATGAGCTCTGAAAAGAGACTGAGCCAACATTTCAGATGTAATATGGATGAAGGCAGCTTTTGAAATTCGGTATGTAAAGTTCCCCTGCCCTTTCCCCTGTACAATCACACGCCAGTGTGAACTTTGAGAGTGGTCCTGTGGGTATTAAATATCTGTTTGCTGTTACTGTGTTATTAAACTGGAAACTGGCCTAAAGCTATCAAAAGGTCATAGCCCTGGAATAAAACACAGTGTAGATTTTGATTGGCAGGATGCTGGATGCTATGCCATACTGGCAAGGAGCAGCCTGTTGCTGGAAATTACATAAGGGCTCCTGTAACCCAGCAGTAGAGCAACCACCACGCCAAAGGTTCTGGGCTCAGTTTCTGACATCAGGACGCCTTTCTGACAGGCTAGACTGCTGCTGCCAGTCAGCGTGGAAAACACAAAACCAGAAATGCCAATCATTTGGGAATTTAGGAAACCGCCTTGTACTGTTTCAAAAACCAAGCAAACCAAAAGCAACAACAGAAACAAAAACCCAGCCCTTTGAACTCTGTGGTGCCTTACACTGGTTATAGTT